CTAAAGATTAATAAAAATAATAACGTAATTATTGCATTATTTTATTAAAATAATATTAATACGTTAATAACTTTTATTACCACCATTATGTTTATAACGTTTAAAAAATTATTAATTAAATTATTAGTTAATTTTTTAAAATTAAATATTTTATTAAAAACTTTTTAAAATTGTTTATTTAAAAAATTATAATAAAATATATTTATAACGGAAATATAAAATATATTGTTAAAATTTATTAATTTTATAATTATTTTAATATTAAACTTTGTTTTTATAAATTTATTAATTAATAATGTTTTAATAATAATAAAATTTATAATAATAATTAAACTTAAAATAAAAAAATTAATTATTAAATTAAAAAAGGTTATAATGGTTAATAATAGTTATAATTAAATAAATTATTATAATAAAATTTTATTTATAAATTTACGTTTATATAAAAGTTTTTACATTTATAATATCGGTAAAAAAATTATTATATTTAAATTATAAAGTATTATTATTTTTTAAATTGTTATTAATAAATAATTTAAAAAAGTTAAAATTATAAACGTAATTTATTATTTTAACTTTATTTATAACTTTATTTCGGTTTTATAATTTATTTAAAAAAATATTAAATTTTTATTTTAATAAAATTTAACATATAACGTTAAAAGTAAAAAAATATTTTTAATAATAATTAAAATAAATGGTTTATATATAATTAATTAAAAAAATAATAACTTTAATATAATAAATTTTAACATAACTTTTTATTTTTATTTTATTTTTAATTTAATTTTAAAAATATAATATAAAAAATTAAATTATTTAAGTAATTAAAATTTTAAAAAATTAATAAACATATTTATAAATATTAAATTTTTAAAAAAATATTATTTTTATAAAATTTATATAAAAGGTAAAATAAATAAAAAGTTTTATATAAATATATTAAAATAAAATATTTATAAATTAAAATTATTATATTTAAATAAAATAAATATATTTATAAATATTATAAATATTAATAATAATAAAGGTTGGTTAATTATTATATATAATTATTTATATATAATATAAATTATACCATTAAAAAATTTTAAAGATTAATTATTAATATTTAAAGATTTTTTAAAATAATAAGAAAAGTTTAAATGTTGTTATTATATTATTATTTTAAATATTTTAAATATATATATAAATAATAAGTTTAAATAATATTATTAATAAAAAGGCATAATTATTTAATATATAATTATAAAATAATTATAATTTAAAAATTTTTATTAAAAATATTATAAATAAATTAAAAAATAAAATTAAAATAATATTAATATAAATACATAATAATAATATATTTAATAAATATTAATTTATTATTATATAAATAACGGTATATTTAATAAATAAATTATTTTATAACGTTTTAAATAAAACCTTTTATAAGGTTTAATATAATAATTTTTTAAATTTAATTTATTTAATTATAATTAAAATTAACGGTTATTATTTAAAAAATTAAAAGTTAAATATATTTTAAGGTAAAATTATAATATATAAAATATTAAGATATAAAAGTAATAATATATATATTTATAAAGTATTATTAATAAATTTTAATAAAATTGTTAATGTTAATAATGTTATATTTAAAAAAAAATATTTATATATATTTATTAAAAATTTTATAACGTTAAAAAAACGTTTAAAATTATTATTGTTATTACTTTTATATTTGTTAATAAGTTAATTAAAATTAATTAAGTTTATTTGGGAATTATCTTGTATTTACCTCATTTTTATAATAAATCTTATTATGTTTAATTATTATATTTTACGTTATTTAAATTTTAATGTATAATTTATAATAAAAAAATCTTATAACGTTTTAAACCGTGGCGTATGTTTAAAAATTTTTATAAATGAAAAAAAATAACGGTTTAATTAATATAAAAGTAATTTATTATGTAACTTATTTAAATATAATTTTAAGTAATAAATAAACGTTGTATTATTTAATAAATATTAATTAAAAATAAATAAAATTTTTTAATATATTATATATTTAATTAATATAATAATAATAGTCATTAAATTTAAATTTAAATTATATAAAAAGGTTAAATATAATTTTAAATAATATTAATAGTATAAAATTATAAGTATTAAATATTAATTATTAATAAATAATTATATATAAATATTATATAAATTATTTATAAAATATAAATTATTATTTGGTAAATAATTATATAAAATTAAAAAAGGTTTAAACGATAAAATTATCCGGTATAAAATTAAATGGGTAATTAAAAGATTTAAATAAGTTAAAAGATTAAATTATACCGATATTTTTATATTAATAATTAAATTTATAAATTATAAAGCCATATTTGTTATAACAATAATCTTAAACTTAAAATTAAAATAAATAAATATTATTACTATTTTTTTATATAAAAATATAAATAAAAATATTTATATTAAATAATCTTTTAAATTTAAAAACGGTACGGGTAAATATTATAAATTTAATAAAATTTTATATAGTTTAAAATAAACCTTATAAATATAATATTAAACATTAATAATATATTTATAAATATTAAGATTTAAAATACTTAATTTAAATATAAAAGTATTTATTAAAAGTTATATTTATATAATAATTTATATAAATAATTTATTTATTATTAAACTTTTTAAAAATAGAAATTGCAAAATTAAAACTAAATTAATTAAAAAATTTAAAATAATTAATTTAAGCTTTTATTTATATTATTTAAAAATAATTATTAAAAAAAATTACTTTAATAAAACAATTAAATTTAATCAAAAAATATACTTAAAAAAAATTATTAAAAATTTAAACTAATAAAAGTTTAATTTTATTAACATATTTATAAATATTTTAAAAATCTTTAAATTTTTAAATAATTATACAGCAATTATCGTTAACGTTAAATAATATACATAAATTATAAAATATTTTATATATATAATAATAAATATACATTTTAATATTACATATATTATATTATACCTAAATTACTATATAAAAAACCTTATTATAATATATATATTTGTAATTAAAAAAGTTTTAAAATATTTAAAAAAAATTTTAAATTATAAGTTTATATATTAAAATAATTTAAAAGATTTTATAAAATAAATAAATATTAATTATATAAAATATATACAATTTAAAAAATTAATTTTAAAATATATTTTTAATATAAATAACAATATTATTAATTAATTATTAAAAAAACAACCAATAATTATTACTTTTATTTATAAATTTAAATTTAAAGGTATAATAAATGTTATAAAAAAAATAATTTAATTATATTAATTATTAATTAAATTAATTATTAAAAAAAATAAAATTATTATTATAATTATATATGGCAATAATTAAAAGATATTAATATTTATTAAAAATTTATAGTTTTATACATAAATTAAATATATTAAAATTAATATTTATTTTATTTATAAAAAATAAATTAACGGTAAAATAAACTTTATATATACTTTTACAGCTTAATAAATTACTAATAACTTTATTAAACCTTTACCAAAAAACACATTTATTAAATTTAAAAAAACAATAAACTTTTATTTATAAAATAAATAAAAGATAATAAAAAATAAACGTTTTATAACCGATAAAATAACTTATATTAATATAAAATACACAATTATAAAATATATAAATATAAAGTATAATTAAAAACATTAATTACAATTAAACCCGAATTAAAATATACTTTTAAAATATATTATTAAAAGCTTTAAAATTAATACACTTTAAAAACCATATATAATAACAATAAAGTATGTTTAAAAATTATATATTTAAGCCTTTTATTACTTTAATTATAAAATAAAATTATTTTATAAAAAACTTTTTTAATGATTAAAATAAATTTATTAAAATAATAATTAAAATTATATACTTTTAAAATATTAATATATAAAGATTAACTGTTATAACTTTAAAAAGTTTAAACTTATTTTATTAAAAAAAGATTACTTTTAAAAAAACGTAAAAAATTTTACATTACCAATTTAATTAATAATAAATATAAAAATAAATAATGGATTTGTAATAAATTTACTTTAAAACACTTGGTACCGAAATTTTAAAACATTTATAATAATTATTAAATAATATATATTAAAGTTATATTTTTTATATATATTAACAAGTTATATTTTTCCGTAACAATTTAAATCAAATAAATTAAATAAATTATATATTTAATTTTTTATTACGAAATTTATTTTATAACTTTATAAAATTAATACTTAAAATCGGGAAAAAAATTTAAATAAAGTTATTTAATATATTTAACAAACGATTAATAAATAACAAATAAAAAAATAAATATTAACATATATTTATAATAATTATTATTAATAACGTTATAAAGTTAAAAAAATAAATATTAATATAAAATTATAATTTTATAAAAATAACATTAATTAAAATTTATTAAAAATAAATATTATAAAAAAAACAACATTTATTTATAAAATATTTATAAAAATAAAAATATATAAATAAAGTTAAAATATAATATAACATTAATGTATTAAATAATGGAAAAAATTATTATTTTTTATTATTATTAAAAAAGATTAAAAAATAAGTATAATTTAAAGATTTATTTTACAAAAACTTTAATAATTTACGTTTTTGTTAATATGTAAAGTTAAAGTTTTAAAAAAAATACAAGGTTATATAAATTTAATTATTATAAAAGAATTTTAAAAGTAAATTACGGGTATAATTTAAGTAAAAATGTTAAAATATATAAAGTTAATAAATTAAATGGTTAATAATACGCTTTATATTTATGGCTTATATATAATAAATATACTTATTTAACCCTTTTAATAAATAATATAATAATATAACTTATATATACCTTATAACCTACGTTTAATTTTAACACCCAAGGCCTCGCCCAAGATGTTAATATATATTGTAAATAGGCAATGGGACAAATTGCTATAAGTAAAATTTGAACCAGTTACCTTAAACATAATCGAAAAGTCAACGGTAAAGTATCGCAATTAAAATGCCCTGTATTTTTCCTGCTGGCTCCGACGGAACAAATGAAGCAAAAGCGCTATATAGAAAGAGTTATAGTGGGTAAGGGCTTTTATATACACGTCAGTCACAAAATTGATCCATCACCCATATCTTGATAGGTCTCGTATGCAACATGAAGGTAGAAAAGAGTTTCCTACGTAAACATACATTGGCTCGTTTAAGTTGCGGCTCATGTGGGTAAGTACAGAGCTAGCTTTAAACCTGCGTAGCTGATCTTACAGTTAGCTCTTTAAATCTATATTCGAGATCAGCGTAACAATCTCTCCTGTTCCCATAGACTGTGTTTGATTGATGCGTGGAAAACAGGTCTTGGCGGGCACCGGCTAAGTCCTGCAATTTTCCAAGAGCCTCTATTGCCTGTCGAATGATCTTGGCAATGGCTATTGTTTGTGTCCTGGAAGCAGACTGGTCTTCTGCTTCAAGGGAAAAGTCACCAACTCCAAGACCCGTAGAGCCCCAGATCAGGCTACGACTCCGCTGACTGTGATTTTCGTCTATCACGATTGATAGGCAGACTTCCAGAAGCTCTAGAACTTGGTACATGAGTGTAGAAAACAACATCAGACACCTCGGGTTCTTGGAACTCTGCTGAAGCTCGATTAGATGTGCCACCTTCTCAAGCGTTCCCCGCAAGATCACCAACACAATTTTAAGCACTTTCAAATCTGCCACAATATAACTTTCTAGCTCGCTTATTATCTTACAGCACTCGACACAGCACTGGCTATCGAGCTGCCTCTGGTGGGATATTTCGAACGAAGTAGGACGGTGAGTGGGAGGGGCTATCTGTTGAACCTGCTCTGTCGATGAAGATGGCATGGGTGGCTGAGCCATCAAGAATTCTTCGAGACTTCCCTCGACAGCAACCAGTGGGTATTCCTCATTGGAAGAGAAGTCCATGGTAGCTCCAGGGGAAACAGATGATTCTTCAGTGGAAGTATGAAGATCAACATTTAAATTGGCGGTCTCATCGGACGTATTGAAGTTCCACCCAGTAGCCCACTCTGTAGAATCATCTTGCCCATGATCGGGAGAAGAATTAACGTCCGATAGAGAGGTAATAGGTGTCCCAGACCTGTGAGTTGCTGTAGCCCGCTTTTGCGATGGCTCTGGTCCCTGGCTATGAAGCTGTTTCTTTTTCGCCCGTATACCAGGGACCTTGCCGACCTTCGACTCCAAGTAAATGCATTGCGCCCCTGTGTTACTACAACGCTCACATCCACTCTTCTCCCCTGAGCATTTGACCTATAGTGTTCTCAGTTGTAGGTTCCCTCGTCAATAACCATTTGAAGACTTACCTTTGCTGCACAACATTGATTACACGCACTGCGGAGTTTGACTGGTAGCGCTCGACCGGCGTTCGGGCTTTGTGAGCTATGTCATGTATCAGCGCGGGATATTTATGCCATACGACGATACCTACCTGCGGGGAGAAGGAAGCATCGTATATAGTATGAAGTGTAATCCAGAGGTGGATGAGAGGTAATCAAAAGTTAAAAACTTCTCGAAACATAAGTGTATAAGGTGTAGGAAATAAAACAAAAGACCTAACATAAGCGCCTGTATTTGCCTGGATAATGGCATTCTAAAAGTCAAATAAACATTCAAGAGGTACCACCTAGATTTAATATTGTAGTATACTACAGAGTAAGATAGGTAGGTAGGTACTTATGCAACCCTATCCGTCATAAATGTAAGTGCGTAACCACTATGGTGATAGGGAATCAGCCATGGCGCCTACAGTGAACCATTTGCAACAGATAACGGCTTCAAAACGCGACGAAGGATGGAGTCTTTACATAAGGTGTCTTTCAATGGCACCTCATGTAACTGGTCACTTGTGGTGCGCAGCCTGCAGGATTTGTATTGCTACTTCGTATTGACCAGGTTTTTGGGGGGGATTTTTTTTTTTTTTTTTAAATAGCTAGTATTCAATCGTTCGTCAAGTTCAAATTCAACCCAACTCAATCCAATAACAAATATGCCGAGGAACGAAGTAAGAATTCTGCTCTTTATCGATCGATACTTAACAAGTTACACCCTCATTAACACATTAACACAGGAGAAAGGATTATATAAGAAGACTAAGGCAAGAAAGTGATTTTATGTGTGTATGCAAAGTTATTAAAAATACCTCGTCATCCGGGGAAATGAAATGCTGCAAATAGGCGAGAAAAGCAACTAATATCGCCGGCATATGCAGTGTATCATTGAAGTGTTAATTAAAAAGAGCTGACGAGTAATGTTTGGTACCTCTTTGCCGCCAATATGCATAAGGATTTTGGTTTTTATTCAAAGGGTGATTAGGTATGTTGCATACTTCTTTGGTCCCGTGTCGTAGTTCAGCCTGCACGTCTTGGTTCGCTGCAAAAAACACCATGGGCTACCAATTACAACATCCAGATTTGCAAACAGCATCTTGTCCATGGACCATGGTCTATAGTAAGTGATCTTAATTAATGATGCCCGCCCTCATGCGTTCATACATATGGACTATAGGTAGGTAGTGAATCTTCTCCAGGTAGTTGTTTATTAGAAACTAAGAGCGCAGCTTCATTGAATCTTTTCCATGCATCATGCATCCTTAAGTCTTCCCAGATCTCCATTCACCTTTGTTGGTAAGTACTTACTCCAAGCGAACCAAGTCATCCCTCCCCTCCTTGAATTGCCTGACTGAACAAGGATTCCCCGAGCGATATAAGGTCTTGTAGTTGGGACCGCAAGCTCGATGTCAACTCTTCATATAGGTAGTCGACAACAATCCAGAACGGCAGGAGCCATAGGTCCTTGACCGGGTTGATAACCCTTTTACCTAGCCTTCCTTAAGCGTACAAGTCTACAAAATAATCAGTGGTGAGACGTACAAGTTGCGAAATCTTCTGCACAGCGCTTCTATAACGGAAGGCATCGCGCATAGCGGTATGAACTTGTCACCACTCGTTTTGAGAAATCAGCCTTAGGCATTTTCCAAGCAGCTCTCCCACCAGTCACCCGGTGTTATTGTTGATTGCTTTGTAATGTTCATCCGAGTCCCCATATACGTCCTTGATCTGCTCCGGTTCGGTTAAAACTCTTTTCAAAGTCAGCGTCAGTGCAAGAGCTAGGCCATATTAACTCACTTCCAAGTTCATTCTATTCCATATACGATAAATTCTACCGTGCGTGTTGGTCCAGACGTTACGGTTGACTTCTCCCTTTAGAAATTTTGCAATATCGCCTTGTCCGTTAGCCATTGATATGAACATGTAGGAATTGGTATCTGTTATGAATTTTTGGATGACGTTATGGGTGGGTAGGTACCTATTTAGCTAGTTAATATTTAGTACCTTAGAAGATGGGAACTATTCATTAAATACGGATTACATAGCCATTTATACTATTATATATAGTCTCACGAGCACTAGACGTGAATGCTGTATGAAAATCGTCTTTTAACCTCTTCGGATATGAATATGTTTATAAACAAATCTGAAGCTGCCCCTTAAAACTCATAAGTCATGGCCATATGTTGGTACACGTTCTAATACCGCCTTCACCGCTGGCCTTGATATCATTCTGTCCCCCCATGATTTGATATTGGGGTATTTTTCCAAATCCACATTAAGAAATTTAAACATCCATGGCATAGAAAAGGGAAAATATGATATATCTGCCAGCGTTGGTCTATCGGGGAGAGCGATATAATCTTGATCAGGGATATCTAGTCGTCGCTCTAAAATATCCCATTGTTTGACACAGTTCTCGTGCAATCTATCCATTAGATTCCCATAAGCAAAGAACTGAAGAAAGAAAGAACCCAGACAGGGAATATGGAAGAACGTACTTGGCCACAGTTTTTGGTAGTGTGGTCGGGTTTTGGCGGGTTGGATAGCCTTTTAGAAAATATAACCAGTATTTTGCCGTAGGCCTCGAAGAACTATGTGAGTTATCACCTCGAATATAGGAGCGACGATAAACCTACCCGAGTCCAGCCGTTTGATACGCGGTCCATGATAGGACTGCGGCTTTCTCTGCCGCATTTCTCCCAGTCCAGGAACCATTCTCGTCGTATCTTTCTGAAAGGTACTGCAGGCATGCAGTGCTCTCAAAGACACTGATCTCAGTCTTGGTCACAGGACACCAGTCTTTAATGGCTGGCACGTATCTCTCCGGGTGAATCCGTCTGTACCAATCGGACTTGGTGTCGATTAAGGAGATAACGTGATCAATTTGGAGTTCCTCAGCTAACATCAACGGTTTCATGTAGTTGATATAATTCGTTGCATCAGCTGGCCTCATCCATTAGTATTCTTCTTCTCATTAAGATGTCAACCACCTACCTTTGATGATATACAAAATGACGCGGCCATCGTAGGCTAGGTCGCCTTGGACCACCTCGAATTTCATCTTCCCTCGACATTCACTTAAGACAGTAGCAGGAATAGTAACGGAGCTTAATAGACTGGTAAAAAGGACCAAGCCGTTTATTGGTTGGGTCAGGTGTAAATATATATCTTGACCAATATACTTGGATTACTTTGCGGGCCTTAAACCAATCGGAGCCCTCGTCGCGTACTTCATCGGATACCGGGCAAGATCAAACCGCTGTCGTTGTGACGGCAACAGCAGGTGACCCTTGCGTTGCTTTTACCACCACGTCTGAGAATTGCTTTGTCCGAGAATGGTGGTAACCTCTTTAAGTAAACCTTTATTTATGGTGTATTATTTATGATTTACTAATTATTTTTCGAATATTTATTTTTATTAGGAGAGATAAAGTATCACTATTTCCCCTTTACATTAATCTGTCATTTTGATACGAATTATGTTAAAATAAACTACTTTTACTTTAATAGCTTAAGCTTTAAATATGTGTTCGATAAATTGATCTATTAAACTAACTAATAAAATAAAACATTATTATTTTTTTTTTACAAACACTCAGGATGAATCCGAATGTCTGAATGACACGTGACGAGCAGTCACGTGTTGAGATGTACTAAGGTACATCTCACAATATGTGATATGATTATTTAAGTACATACTGCATATGTACATGCGTGCATTCCAGCAGCTATGGTGACGTAAGACGCATGCAAGGCCAATAGGTACGAACATTGTATACTTCGTACATAAGCTTTACACTAGTGTACATAGGCTAAATAGAATGGGGCCTCGGGTACAGCGGAGTACTTGCGCAGCTACTGTGGTGCTAAGGGAAAGTACCTAGGTACCTAGTACCTTAGTGTCCTGTCGCGATCCGAAATTCAATGTTGCGATTAACAAATGTCAGCAACTTCTCCCCCTCTTCAACATCTTGACTGCGACCCATACTTGGGATTTCTGTAATGGGCGGCTGATTTAAGCTACTTACAGACTCTTACCGCTGTCCAATTATCATTTATAGTCTAGCTATCTTTTTATGTATGTAGAACCCCCCTTGTCCTGATAAGTCGAAACACGGTTCCCTCCAGGGGTTCGATCCAGACCAGCTTTGGACCCAGACTGTGGCTCCGAAACGCATCATGTCAGGATTGCGGCTTCTTCAGAAAGCGAAGACATCTTCGTCTTCTCTTTTACCTACATTTTTGCTGGTTTTAGCTGCATTACCTATGGCTTCCGCACACGATCACAGCTCTACGCATATTGAGGATGGCCAGGCCATTTCGGTTGATCCGATTGTATGTCCTGTCAACTAACTAAAATCGATTTGGCTATGGCGGATGCGCCGGAAACTGATGGCTCATACAGGACACGACGCTATGGATTCATATCTTCATACAGATGTTTGCTTGGGGCATCATCTTCCCCTTAGGGATGGTTCTTGGGGTATGCATCATATCATATACTCGAACTCCCCTCGCCCATCGATCTGAAATCTGACTATATTCTCCATTTTTAGATCGTCAAATCCCGATGGCACGTCCCCGTTCAGGTACTCGGCACAGCATTGGCGATCGTCGGATATGCCCTAGGTCATATGCACGGCGGTCGCGAGTTTCAGCATTCCAACGTCCACTCCAAGTTCGCATCGCCGATTTCGTTACTACTCTTCTTTCAAATTCTTATGGGCATTTACTTGAAACTACATCTCGAGAAGGGCATAAATGGGAAGATTAGACGGTTCGTGAAGATTGGGCATGGAATAGTTGGTAAGGCATTGCCTGTCCTCTCATGGACGCAGATGCTTTTCGGCGGTATTACAGCTCTTGGTTTTTGCCAGGGTGATCACGTCGGCCAATGCCTAGCACATTTTATTATGGGAAGCGCTTTCATCGCTTACGGGATCCTCTTGACGCTGCTATTGCTGGTCGGGCAGCTTTGGCTAAGACGTACTGGACGTTCTCAAGAGTTCTTCGACAGTGCCGTCATCGCTGCTTGGGGAGTAGTTAATACCTTTACCGAACACCGATGGGGAACTGAATGGGTGAAGAACGACTGGCAGCATACCGCAATGGGTATAATCTGGTGGTCTGCAGGATTGGCTGGAGTTTGGTTGAGCAAAGACCGTGATGGCCGACCTCAGCGCAACTTCATCCCAGGTTTCGTCCTCTTGATCACCGGATGGGCAATGAGTGCACATCCCCAAGAGTTGATGATCAGCGCCGAAACCCATAAGATGTTCGGATATACCCTCATGGCGGCTGGTGTCACGCGTATCATCGAGATATCCTTTGTGCTTCGGGATCGACCTGGCTCATCCGAGGATGGCCGCGAAACAACTAGTTTCCAATATGTCCCCGTCTTTGTGAGACTCCCAGTTCACTATAATGAAAGTTTTGCCTCACTAACATGTATTCAAGTTGCTTTACGCCTCCGGATTCTTATTTATGGGTGCTACGGAGGAGCAGATGTCTCTAGTCGCTTCTTCAGGCATGGACCATGTTGCCTATATCTTAATATTGTATTCCCTCGCCTTCTTACTCTTCCTCTTCGTAAATGTCCTTGTCGGCGTCTACGACCGGAACAGTGCTCCGACCCTTCCTGATAAAGAAGTAGCAAATGGTAGATTAGGGCCCCGAGTAAACGGCAATATACCAGTGAGGGATGCCCAGGAGTTTGAGTTGGAAGGTTTAATGAGCGATGACGAGGACGATAGTGCAAGACGACTGAGAGATGATGACAGCGGCTTGAACAGCCCAAGCACTGTTGGCAAAAACAGTAATGGGGTTGTCCACTGATCATTGTGAGATTCAGTCAAGCAGAAAATCTATACGATAATAATGACGGCTGGCTTAAAGGGAGAGATATATCATTATGGTTATTGCATAGACCACGGGCGTTTGGACTGGAGGTTTTGGGGGGTAGCTCAAACGAATTACATTTAAGTAAAAAAGCCACGCCATTCAAGGTGTTCCTTGTGTGATTTACCTCATCACTTCTTTTTACTAATACTGTGATTGCAGGACATAGGTGCCTAAGATAAACAGAGGTGGCTAGCTACCTACTTACCTTAGAGGTAGTTATTGAGTGAATCTATATGTTACAAGGGCCTCTTTCATCAGCATCGTCGAGTTTTCCGGAAGTTTCCCCGTTTTCTTTCATTTCCTGAAGTCCGAACTCTGTCTCCAGTTCTGTTCTCAGTGGTACATGTTTCTCAGTCGCCACTGCAATGAAACCCGAAGCGCCAAATGCCATAGCCACATACCAAACTACTTTCAACGCTTCTAAATACACACCCGGAACCTCCGGCTTCAGAGCCGGCTTCAACATCCGTACGTACGACCCGCTCGAAAATTAATATGCTCTTCCATTTCCTAAGGCTTCTCTTACAGTAGGATCCGAAATTTGGTAAGAAAGTTGGCTAAAACGATTGTTGAATATGATTCCCGGAATTGTAATTCCCCAAACATAGCCAAAGCCACGTAGAAATGAATACACCCCTGTAGCTGCGATGACATCTTTCTCTGGTAGGCTTGCTAAGATCGCAGGAAGTGTTGTAGGAAGGATCATTGCACGACCCAGCGCGTCTACAATCTGGAGCATAGCCCATACACCCGCGTACGTATTTGTCTGCGATGTTCAGAGAAGATGAGACTTGCGGAAGGGCGATAGCGAGGATTGATCCATCAAGGGACGACGTGAAGGCGATGAGACATAGGGAGACGATAACTAACCAAAAGGACGCTCCTTTCTGTAGAGATTCTGGAGCTGCCATTTGGGATTGTATGAGACGAGATGGTAGAAGTGTAAGTGAGAAGTTCTCAGTAGTTGTAAAAGATAAGGAAGGCCGGCGGACTTATACCTATAATCAAGAGGATGAATAAAGTTAGTAGCGCTCAAGGCGAACAAAAGGGGTAGAGAAATCAAGTAGATAGACACTACCTTAATGAAGATCATGGTGTCACAGCAGGATATGAGGACGAAGAATTTAAAAAGCTCCAGATAGGCACATAGGGCTGACACGGTCCCGGGACACCTTATATTGTTTAATATATCGGTATGTGTTGTTGGCAATATTTAGCGGAAGAAATGATGAATGTAGGTCTGATAAAGAATCAACCACACGGGGATTCGAGGCAGGATAGAGGTAACGTGAACCTATTAAGGATGGCAAACAGGCCATTGAAATTCTACCTAGTATGGTTTATTTGCTTTACACTCGCCTTGCATGTCTAGTAACCTCTATATTTGCCTAAGGTATCGTCTTGAACCATGCCTAGAGTGGTAACACAAACATTGGCTCGACAAAGTCAACATTGCTACGCTATATTGAACTCCCTTGTGTTATAATCAAATAGTTAGATAACCGCAACTAAAGAAAAAAGATTAATTTTTTGAATTGTATCGGTTACTTGATTAGCTAACTGAGGTTCTTTATGAGTGAACAGGAGTAAGTTAAAGGGATATAGTTAACGAGGTCGGGTATGGAAAATGTACAGGTATCGTGACGCATTTGCGAACATTGCTGGATTTCGAATCAGCGTCAGTAGGCGCTACCCGGTAAGCCCCTACACATCGCTTGTAAAGGCAATCCCGATAATGCATTATTATACCTTACCCCCATAAAATCCCTTATCACACTTACAACGCGACCATACCGTGCGGAACGACTAGAGTGCTAAGGTCAAACCAGTATATTACTTGACAGAAGTGGTAGGTTTTAATGGGAAACCAAAAATACCGTATTAAAATGATAAATGATTGTAACTCGTCGTTTAACTCATTAATTATACTTATATAATCTCAACATCTGAATCAATTTATAACCTACTAATTATCATGTCCATTCCCGTCTGCTTGGTGACCCAGCTACCGTGGACTTTCCATCCCTGGTCGGGATGTACTAACGTGGCATTATATCTTCGATAAAACTCCACCACCAACTTAGTTATCATCAAGATGGCTATATTCTTTCCGATACAAGTATGCGTACCAGCCCCAAACTGTTCGCAAAGGGCCGAGTTAGCTCAAAGCCATAATGAGTTGGAAAGCATAAACACCAGGGCTCGAGGATATTGGTTTAGGCTTACAGAGAATAGACACCGGCTCATCTCTAGGCTTTTCTCTTCAGTGGCCTCTATCCATCTCTCGGGTCGAAATTGGTCGGCATCCTCGCCGTAAACTTCTTTATTATAGTGAAGGACCCAAGCATTAACGCCGACGGTGGTACCTCCGGGGATGTGATACCCGTCTATAACAGCTCCTTCTCGCGGTGCTTTACGTTCGATGATCGTACCAGTGTTAGGATGAACGCGTAATGTTTCCTGTATGACGGCGTTTCTTCAAGTAAGTTCCGGCGGTTAGCATTCTAAAACGTCGTGGGCAGGGGGAGAGTAATAATAATAATAGCTTACAGATAAGGGAGTTTAGCGACAACGGAGAAAGGGATTGTAGAAGAAGTCGAGTATTCGTTACTGGCGGATTCTATTTCGGCTCGAAGCTTGCTTAGGACGCTGGGGTTCTGAGCAAGGTGATACCATATTGCGCGGATGGTGATAGCTAAAACATCATGTCCTGCCGTGCTAACGATGTGTAAGTACCTTACCATGGGAGCATGCTCTAGTACGTACAGGTTGATGAATATTGCGGCTGTAAGGTCTCTTATGGAGACTTTGTCTGGTTGCTCTAGATGAAGGTCGAGCAATCTGCCCAGCATGTCCGTCTGCGTCTGAGATGACTTCCTCCTAGCCTCTACCTCGCTGAGCGTAAACTGGGGTGCATTAATAAGCGTCGGCTCCCGTGTGCCGGTTGTAGGACCAAGCGGACTTACTTTTAATACTGGCTCCGCCTCTTCCGCTGGCACGAGCGATCTGAGGAATCCTAAGAGCCATTGGAGGATGGGTGCTTGCGTAAACTGGTCATCTTAGTAAGACGTAATAACAAGAGTACGGAACGCCACAGACATACCAGTCCGACCATGAAGAATATTTTGTCAGAGGACTCGATAGTACCGCCCACGTCCTGGCCCCTCTCTAAAAACCCCAGCTTCTTCGAGACGTTGATTTCGCTGAGGCAGTCGTAGGCAAACAGATGTAACCATACAGACATATCAAGAGTTACAGGTCCATCTCGAGTTTTGTCTGCTAGCTGCCTCATAAATAAGTCGATACAGCTGTCTACCTGAGGTTCAAAGTCCTTGACTGCGGACTTCGTATATAGCCCCCCTATATTCCTCTTCAGAGTGGCGTGGCGTTGGACGTCTCTGAGCGAGAACAGGTTCTCGAGTGGTTCCCCACGGTAGATAGGAGCTCCTACTTCGTAAAAGTCCGACTAGTCACCGCAGGTTATGATTAGCTTATGTTGATAAAGGAAGACAAGCACACCCTCACCTTTGCAAATGCCTGCCGTGAACCGTGAATTATCTGGAAGGCGTCCGGACTAGCAAATGATACGTGATTGGGGCCAATGCGTACGACAGGGCCGTATTTCTCATGCACGCTCATATTCCAGCCGGGCATATCTTCATAGTAGACGGCGGCAAGTTTCCAGAAATTACTAAAGCTTGCGACAAAGGGTCCAGGAATGGAGTTTAACTGTTTCCGGTATCGCGTATACAAGAGTTGCAGATACACGATCAAAACGATCGCCGCGAGGGCAAATGAAACGAGTGCCATTCTTACTATGGAGGTTCGCAGTTAGCGTATGCGAGTTTAGAGCTCCTTTAGCATATCCAGAGACTATTAAATAATACCTATGCGCGGCAGGATTCCTAGCCATAGTGCGATCTTATATGCCGATTGCCATGATCCTTCGGCGGGATACCTTGTCGCATGTAACAAGGATGCGGAGCATTGCCGTATTCACTCTAAACGCGACTGGTGATGGTTGTGGGTAATCATATGGATTTATTTTTAGCTTCCTTCGCCCGTGGCTCAGCTATTTTGGCCATTGTCTCCACGTATATGATCTTGAATACATTACCTACCTAACGTAGCAGTAGGAGCTAGGCCTACGCAGTAGCGGATCCAGGACTTGTGCCGTAAATAATGCCTGATGACGCATATAACTTACCCAGCTCTGCCCCAGCTGGCTAGGGTTATAGGTAAGATGACGGCAATAGTTTTGGCCTTGGGAGACCTACGAGTATATTCTACCCGTTGCGGTGCAAGTTGACGACTATCTATTCACTCTCCACGGCTAAGCTTCATCTTCACCACGATGGCTCATATGCACATTTCTATGAGGAGCAGCCCATTAAAGGGGTTTATCCATCCATTCCTTTCGTATTTCTTCTACCTTCATAAACTTGTATTGCGGATAAACGGCCAAAAGCAGACTCAAATAGTTACGAAACCCTCATATCCGACGACGACAGCGTTCCGGAGGGTAGACTCGGAAGCTCAACTTGACCTTGATTATCATGCGCGGTACTGGTGGAGATCTTCAGGATACGCGCTGGCTGTTCTTCTTGAAAAAGCAGGATACTCTAGCCATGCGCAGTACGACATATTAAAATTCGTTAAGGCGATTACACCTAGCCTAGGCGCTGCTTACGTGCCTGAGAGACAGCGGTGGAAGAGCTTCATGACGGATGATCACAATCCCATAGAGCTGAGTTGGGATTGGCGTACGGGTGGCAAATCGCCCAAGATACGATTTTCTATCGAACCTGTTGGGGTTCACGCCGGGACTCATCTCGATCCCAATAATCAGTACGCTGCCTCTAGGCTCCTGGACTCGATGCTGCAGCTACTACCTGAAGCAAACATGGAGTGGCTTGCCCACTTCCGGCTGAGGCTAAGCAGCGAGGAGGTAATAGGTTCGGTAGAAGGTCACCAGTCAAAGGAATTCTATGCCTTTGACTTGGGAGAGGACGGCGTCATAAGTAAAGCATACTTCTTCCCCGGATTCATGGCAAGGGCGACGCGACAATCCAACTTTGATGTCATATCCGACACGATCCAGACGGCGCCTGGCAGCTCACCGGAGAAGCTTCAAGCTCTGAAGGTGTTCCAAGAGTACGTCTGTGATCCGTCGAGCCCGCAGCTAGAAATGGACATGCTAGCCATAGATCTCGTGGATCCAGCCGAGTCCCGCTTCAAGATCTACTTTCGAATCCGCGATACCAGCTTCGCCTCTGTCAGGGCTGCTATGACTTTGGCGGGTCGTGTTCGAATGCCGGACATGGAGCGAGGCTTAAAGGATTTACGGACGATATACCACGCATTATTGGGCAAGGGTACGAATCAAGATGGTGATGACGCACAACTCCCCGCTAAGGATCATCGAACAGCTGGTATCCTCTATAATGTGGAGTTCAAGTACGGAAGCAAAAGTCCCAAGGTTAAGGCTTACTTGCCTGTCCGGCACTACGCACGAAGCGAGGAAGCTGTCATGTCGGCGGTTGATGCGCATCTGCGCGGAGCCAGTCCCCTGTCTAAAGTAAACATGGTCAGCATGGTTAACTATCGGAGTGCTATGGGGACGATATTGTAAGTGCCTTACATAGCTCGTCGCATTCTTTTTCCTTTCTCGTTATTCTCTGTTACCCTATCACTAACAATAGCAGCTCGCGAGAAGCGTTAAGGGCGCGTAGCGGACTACATACCTACATTGGATGTTCCGTAGAGGCAGGTGGCGAGCTACGCCTTGTTTCGTACATTAATCCTCGCCAATTGAAGTTTGCCCATGTGCCCGAGGAGATCTAGGTTGCATGGATGTAGACCGAGTTGCCCAATTGGATTGTGAGAATTGGATTATTCTATTTTCATTATCCTTGTAGGGTCTCCATCAGGTACAGGGGCACAGGGGCAGACTACATACCTAGGTAAGGATGGACTGTGGATTCAACGGCTGATCCATCCCTACATCCTAACGGCTACATATGTACGTAAAACGACCAAGGACAACCCCCTGAGCTCTCAGCCCTATGGGTTGCTATCTGCCGTGTCACCTTCTCTACCTGGTCTTACTATGCATATGGTAACCTTCTCTAACCTCGCTCTGGGGCCTAGGCCTTTTCACGTGGGCTGACATGGGACTTTGCAAGTTATCCAACCATCGGCGGTACCCGCTCGTGAGCTGGTACCAACAATAGCATGCATCTTGTTTTTTCTCCTTAGTTCCGGGCAAGGCAAGGCAAGGCAAGGCGTAACGGGTTTAGCTACGGGTTTAGCTACGGGCTCAGCTTTCATGATTCCCCCTGTAGATATCTACTTCTTTATCGTGTATTGGATTTAGGAAGGTGGGATACCATCATACAATTATTATCAAAATTTCCAAACGATGTAACTGTAACTAGCATCGTTATACATATAAACATCTACTGTCCGTTGCTGAAATTTTATGGAACCATGACGCCTGATTAACGACCCGCTTACATTCCAGGATTCCGGGCCATTTTCCTCATACATATACCAACTCGACTAATGCCATACTATATCCGGTAGATATACTATTAGGATTGTTTACCTTGTCGAATCCTTCTTACCTAGGATATGGATCGTAAAGTGCGCCATCAGCATGAATCTAATCCTGTACAGCCCCGGTAGGCTTGGTTACAATGTGTATATCAAATTGCTACGCCGCCTTGAGTATTTGTAACGTTTAATACCACATAACTAACTTGTATAAACTGGTTTGTAAAGGGTGTAAGTAAGTACCTATTCATTCATCGGCTCTAGCCTATACGCGACAATCATGGATCCATTACGCGAGGAGGCCGTCTACAATGAACGCCATGTCAAAATAATATGCGTCGGAGCAGGCGCATCAGGGCTATGCTTGGCATACAAGCTTCAACGGTCGTTTAGATCCTATTCTCTAACGGTTTGAAACATGATCTAAATGCGATAATAACATCAAAAGTCTGACAAATCTCTAGATATACGAGAAGAATCCGAGCGTAGGGGGTACATGGTACGAGAACAGGTACCCGGGATGTGCCTGTGATGTCCCTTCGCACAACTACGTATACTCTTTCGAACAGAAGCCTGACTTTTCCTCTGTTTACGCCGGTTCGGATGAGATCCAGAACTACTTTGAAGAGTTTGCGAATAAGTACGACTTAAACAAACACATTGAACTATCCCATGCCGTCCAGAAGACTACGTGGGTGGAAGATATGGGTCAATGGCAGGTTGAAGTCAAGAACTTGAACACCGGAGAGGTTATCCACGATTCCTGTCACATCCTGATCCACGCCTGTGGCTACCTTAATAAGCCATCCTGGCCGAAGCTCCCCGGAATTGACGATTATAAAGGTGTCAAGGTCCATAGCGCGGACTATGATAGGAGTATACCGCTTGATGGTAAAAACGTGCTACTCATCGGGGCCGGGTCCTCGGCCGTACAAATCCTGCCCACGATTCAACCTATTGTCAAGAATGTCACCATATTCATTAGATCCCCCACCTGGGTACTCCCTGACATTTCTACTGAGGCTGGACAGTTCACTCGAGAGGAGATTGAGAAGTTCAAGAAGGAGCCGGAGACCGTCTTAGAGCTACGACGAACCAACGAAAGGACTATGAATAGTATTTTCAGTATGTCGTCTTAACATGAATAGTGGTGCTCGTCAATAACCATAGAGATAGGTCTTTACCTCAAAGGTACAGTGTTACAGGAGCAGTGCAGGACTCTGCTTAAAGGTGAGATGGAGAAGATATTCGACGACGAAGAATCTCGGAGGAAATTGATCCCCAATTTCGCGGTCGGTTGCAAACGAGTGGTCCCTTCTGGCTTCAGATATCTTAGGGTAAGCTACATACTACTTTCTAAGGAGATTCTGCTAAATCTAGTTGTAAAAGGCCCTCAAAAAAGAAAACGTCACACCTGTATACAGCGGTGTTGAATCCTTTACATCATCCGGTGTTATCAGCAACGAGGGGTCTAGCTACGACGGCGATGTGATAATCTGCGCCACAGGCTTCGACACGTCATATATATCTCATTATCCGATCTATGGTCCCGAAGGACGAAACTTACAAACGGAATGGTCTGAGTCCATCATGGGATACATGGGTGTGGGCGCGTCCGAGTTTCCCAACACATTTACGCTCCTAGGCCCTTACACACCGGTCTCTAACGGTCCCACACTTATTGCCATCGAAGCCCAAGCAGATTATATTTGCTCGTTCATCGATCGCTACCAAACAGAGCCGATCCACAGTATGGCACCGAAGGTAGCTGCCTGTACCGATTTCAAAGCGCACGTAGCTAGCTTCATGGATAAAGCCGTGTGGACGGATAACTGCCGCAACTCACACAATAATCATAAGGTGGGTGGCCGCGTGCCGACTACTTGGCCTGGGAGCACGCTGCATTACCTTGAAGCGATCCGCGAGCCTCGTTGGGACGATTGGGAGGTCAAGTATGCCGGGAACAGGTTCAGTTGGTTGGGCAACGGGATTTCCCAGACGGAATGGGATCCCACGGCAGACTTAGGGTATTACATCCGACAGAGCGATGACGGCGTGTGGAACAGTCGGTGGAAGCGTAACGGATTAATCAATAAGAGCGGAAGTATGTCGCCGAGAATATTACACCGCCAGGCAAAACTGGCCGTTGCGGCGCCGACTGATAAGCCGAAGCCGGAAGAGGCGAAGGCCGTAGTGCAGGCGGCGGCAGAGAGCTCATAGGGATAGATAGTAAATTATAGAATGTTATGTCGTATACCTATCCTTCTTGTTCCTAGATGCTTTGGCTTCCTTCTCTAGTATGAACCTCGTATATCCGATACCAAGTAAATGGCGATGCTTCAGTTAGACCATAGGCCTTAGGCCTAAACTTAGAACTACTTCGAAAGGGTCTTAAGATATACTTGTGTTTAGAAGTCCACTCTAGATTAATATCAAGCTAGAGATTTTTATATACTTTTGGATGTTATACATACAGAGATGCCACGATCCCTTGGTCCGCTAAAATTACCAGAAGAAGAAGAAAAAGAAAAAACCCAATTCCCGCCTGAAACCACATCAGGGATAAGACCGGTCAAAATCCCTCCTAATCTCGATATTCGTCTCTACGCGAATTTCGCTTTTGCTTAGATCCTTACCGTAAGGATCGCGGGAAAAGTGCGCGGGTGGTACCGTAGGCCGAAGCGGAATCTCACTTCGGCTCCGCAGACCCAACTCGTCGTCGCCTACGATACTAGCATACTGGCTGTTGTAGTACCTGCCCAGGCGCAACTTATCAGTTTGGTGCGCGTATGTGCCCCCAGCATTGTCGGAAGCATTTAGGACGCGCTTTTTGACGAAATGCGGCAGGCGAGAAAGGAGTGGCCGCAACCCTATCAGACAAGCGGCTGAGAAGTACATGCCGCATTCGATTGCCGTCCATGAGAATGCCTCATCAGCAACTACGGGGGGTTAGCAGGCAGGTTAGAAACGAGTCGAGGTCTTCTTACATGTTGGGTCGTTCATAATCACATTCGCATGGGTATAGAACACGCTGGTACGCACGCATGAGGCTATCATACCGCTGAAGAAGATGTAAGCAAGATGCCGACGCGTGGGGGGGGGGGGGGGGGAGAAAGCCGCTACTTACATACTACCTGTCAGGCAGACAGTTGCGATACCGGCCTTTCGCCCGACAGAGGCCTTTAGTCCCCAGACGGTTCTAATAGGTAGAATCATAATCATGACGTCGCCTATGATGTTCGGGAAATTGGTAAGTTGATACCATAGTATCTGGTTGAAGCATTTGCCGCCTTGGATGCTCTTGTCCCAGGTAAATGCAAGGGGCGTACATTCGAGCTGGGCAGCGATGACGGTGGCGAGGCAATTCGCGATCAAGAATCCCATGACGCCCCAGCAAGCAGCTCGCGCCCATTTGTCGGTGAAGATGCGTAGATATAAGATGACCACCGATATCCGGGACAGCATGTTGGACGGGACGTAGAACCAATCCAAGAGATACAGCAGCAGCAGATATTTGGTCACCTTGTTGGGATCTTCCATCACCACCGCCACGGTATGTCTACCAAGCCCGGCCTGTGTTACTTCGGCTATCATAGAGCAATTAGTACGCACACAGTTGAGGAAGAAGCAAAATTCTCAACTTACCATATAGACTCCCACACAATGCTAGTAAGAATATATAAGCCGGAATTAATACATGATCGTCCCATCCTCGCTGTGCTGTTGTCAAGCTTCTTGCCCAAAGTCGTAGCCCAAAAAGGACTGTGGTTATAACGAGAATAGTGGTAACGGCAGCAATCACTCGCCCGCCGTGGTCCTCTTCTAGATACCCAGGTGGAAACTGATCTGGTGATGGAGGTGGCGCCGCCATTGTTAGGTACCTAGTCCTAGAAGGCTCTCGATTGTATTTTTAATTTGTTGGTGATGACACAACAGCTTGGTTGGAAGTTGTGTAATGCTTCTAGTGTTTTTCGGCCAACTACCGTAACACCTGAACGTCTTGAAAAAAAAACTAATGGGCTTGCTGACAGATGTGTACTAGCAGGCCGAAGGCTTGATTAATAGGTACACGACTACATGTAGGTATAGCAAAGAATGGCAGAACAGACCCCAAAGGAGGGGAGGACGAATCGAGATCGCGTAAGCTACGCTGAAGCATTTAAAGGACCAAATCATATTCAAGATGACCACCCAAGAACATCTAAGACCATCCTTTCATGCTCTCTTCGCGTTAGATGATATGATTGCAACGTCACTAGTAAATCCTTCCGATGCGATGATACAGGTCGGCCAGACTCCTCCAATGCCTCTAAGCACGCATACGATAGTGAATCCTTCGAGCGTGATAATGCCACTCGGCGTTGCAGCGCTTATTGCTAGAGGTGGCTCAAAATCGCTAAAATTAGGTTGAAAATGGAGACGAGTCAAAGAGGGGAAGTCTAGAGTAAAGTGGCGAATACAGACAAGGACAGGGACAAGGATAAGGGGGGGGGCGTGGGGACGAAACGTGGTTTTCCTATTATAGCTTGACATTATTTGAAACACAAAATCGGATAATAAATATAAAAATAAATGATTGATTAACTACTTTTAATCAACGAGTTCCTATAGTAATGAGATATCAAATCTATAATAGAATCGAGTTCAAGGTAGAGGTAGTTTAGGTACCTTAGGCAAGGTAATATAGGAAAATATAAGCCACCCTCCCAACCCACTATATTGTTCAAGTCAGCCCAATAAAGAATGATGCCCGTACCCGGCACAGCACCTCATCATCCTTGATGCATGTGCCGAACCCCTCGATCTATTGTACCATAACTGCATAACTGCGCCGCTAGATGCTACCGAGCGGTCCCCTAGAAAGGAAGAGCGTAGGATATACAATATTTCCTAAACAAGGAGTCGTTAAAAGCGTTGCAATTGCACACCGAAATGTTAGAGGTTGTTCTCCTGCCTCTCGCTATCGCTCCCCCTTTTTTTCAACTCCTATCTTTCCTTACTCGTATTCCTAGAGTAAAGGAGTAAGCGATATCCAGGTAATAACAACCCCTTTCCAGCAGGCTAGAACTCAACCACCATCACCGCGGTAAAGAGCCCAGTATATCTAAACTACATACCAGATATATACACCAAGTACAAGCCGAGACAAGATGGCAGCGACAATTCTTATCACGGGGTCTACTGGCCTGATCGGTTTTCGCATCCTTCTTGCCGCTCTCGCCGCCGGCCACAATGTGCGTTATACGGTTAGATCGGAAGATAAAGCCAAGGTAGTCTCTTCAAACCCTGCTGTTCAGAGACTCGCGCCTGGCGAACGCCTCTCTCCGGTCATCATACCCGACTTCACTGTCGAAGGCGCCTTTGATTCAGCCCTGCAAGGTGTCACACACATCATCCACGCCGGCTCACCCGTGCCCCTGCCGAACTACGAGCCCACAACGGAGATATTCCAACCCACGATAAAAATATCTTCGGGCTTGCTCTCATCCGCGCTTAAAACACCCAGCGTGAAGCGCCTCATCATAACTTCATCCATTGTCGCAAATCTCGGCGCCGTGCCGCCCCCCACCGCCGTCTCGGCGAAAACGCGCGTTCCGCTACCTGACCCCGTTCCCGCTACTTTCGACAACGTCTTTGATGCGTACGTGCTGGGCAAGATAGTCGAGCTACATAACTCGGATGAGTTCGTCAAGACGCACAGTCCTCATTTTACCGTATCCCATGTGGTGCCCGGATACGTCTTCGGCCACAACGAGCTCGCCCTCGACGCCACTATGATGCAGACGCAGAATAGCTCCAACAACTTCCTGATGGTGGGCATGGTGGGCGGGGAGCTGCCATTCCCGATCCACGGCGGCTTCGCGCACATCGACGACGTGGCGGACGCCCATCTACGCGTGGCATTCCTCGACCCACAATCGGATGGACCTAAGGACTTTGGTATTGCGACGAAGGTAGACTACGGAACAATATTCGATCACGTCGCTAAGGCATTCCCCAAGGCTGTTGCAGAGGGGGTCTTCAAGAGGGGTACGGTCCCGACGTTGCCTGTTGAGTATGACTCCAGCGATGTAGAGAAGCTGCTAGGCGAGAAGTTGAGAACATTTGAGAGTGCGGTGGTCGACGTCGCTGCCCAATATCTTGAGACGCTGGGTAAGGAAAAGGCATGATGCGCGGGATTATGACCCGGGTGGAAGAACGATGGAGCGCAGGCTAAACATGGCTGACGTTCGACCGGGCTTAAATACAATGTAAAGGATATTTAGAAATATAAACACTCTTGAATTACACCATACTAGCGTCTAGTATTTATTCTCGTAGGGAGAAACCCCGAACTTCCAATAAGCCAGACAGGTAGGTACCTCTCAATCTAGTATAAAGATGTCTGTCTTCATAAGCCGTCAACTCATGTACCTATTAATAAGGAGGGCTCACGTCCATCTTGATTGAGATTTTATCCCGCGTGGCCCAGTTCATGTAATATATGGCCAGACCTCTCATATCTTCGCATCTCTTTATCAGATCTCTATCACCGTTTTGTGCTTTAAGAATCTCACGTTCCCTTTCCGTAATTACAGTCGCCATTTGGAAAGCAGTTGCCAGGAAGAAGGGAGCTGTCAATCTGCTCTCTTTTAGCACGCCATAGCCGATAGTTTGCAGTACCCTCTGCGCATAGCCCATAAGCTTGACTCGATGTCGTTCAATATTGTCGTATGGATCAATGAATGTTGCATGTAGCCTCATAGTGCGCGTCAGGGCTAGCATATCGCTAATAAGAAGCCGAAGAAACATAGCAGCTGCACATTGGAGGGTAAAGATCTGGTAGTCCCTCATCGAACGGAATGAAAGAACGGTGTCGACGACGTATTGGAGATCTGACTCCACTGTAGACCAGAACCCAGCGCTCGCGTTTTGGTGATTCAAAAGCCAGACTGTCAGTAAAAGCCAGACTGTCAGTGGGGTTTCGCAGATGGTCGTGTACCAACACGCAAGCTGCGTCTCGATTCGGACTAATAGTGTTTCGGCTTCATTATGCAGATTAATTAGAGTCTTTCCGCTGTCACTGGCGCTGTGGGAAACTACCCCTGACATATTCGCAAGTAATTGGTCATATTTAGAGGCAACGGCAGCTGTCGAAGCGACGTCTATTATTAGATGATCTAGTGGATCGTGGAGGTTATTTTCCAGAATCGTGATCGGATCCTTGAGTTCATACTGCGCCGCTCTTATTTCCAACGTAAATGCGGAGTGAATAAGAAATAGGTCTTGTCGTAAAGGGTCGGAAAGAAAGGTAGGCCGTCTCTATGAGAGTGTTTGCAAAATCTGTCACAGCTTAGCTCTGGTAATCTACTGAAAGTAACTTGAGGGGTACTACTATGAACAAGCGTGAAGCCGCTAACAGCCTCAGATTATTTTCCGAGTAGGCGTGCTCGGAACCTCTAGACATAATAGCGGCAGCCAGGCCGCGGATATGATTTTGCCACATATGTGAACTGGGAAACATTTCTAGCTTTGCTGAAATTAGAATAGGCACCTAAGGTGTTTAAAGAAAACTTATGTATTATCTTACTAAATATCTTGATATTTATAGGTTGCGGCGACTCTAGTTGTAACAATACATAAATTCTTTAGCTAGTTTACCCCCTATTCCTGTTGTTCCAACCTCTCGGCTGACATCTGTCCGCATATCTCGTCTCATATATCATATTCGATCCCTATCACTGGCACCCGAAGAAGCAGTTAACTTGACCGAGTATAAGCTTTTGTTAACGATATACAAGGTAGCAATAGGGATTTTGTATTGGCTCGGAGGATCCCGGTCCACCTGGCGATGTCTACGATTGAGAATACAAGGGAATATGTAAACTAATGCATTACTATCATTGACTATCACGAAAAACAGCGACTCTTGCTCAATGATTGATGGAGTAATAGACGCGAAGAATTCCGATCTATAGGCTCCCGGGTATCAATATCCCAAACCGGAAAGTCGTCACAATGAGGTTGCACAATTCACGAGGAGCCGCAAGGTTCAGTTATAGACATCTCGTGAAGAGTCTTGGCGTAGATTATATACGAGAAATTCCAACCTGGGGAGAGAATAGCCGCTGATTTGTGGGGAATTATTCTCGGTCCTTCGAACAGAACAAGGACATCCTCCGCTTACCCATGCCCATACCGTGAAGGCCGGGGTCCGGCAAGTTCCCGCTTGGCGGCGGAATACTAAGAATCTATAGTCGTTCGATCTTGAGGTGCTATTCAGGGACTCAGGTTAAATAGCTCTTCGCTGGCAAATTTCTCTGTAGTGTTACCCCTTTTGTTTGCCATGCCAGAGCAGGATAACCGATATTCTCAGTCCTAGTCGCAATGAGAGTCCAACCCGCATTGGCGACCCTTCTCTGGGCTCAAGCTTTCATTGCTGGTGCCGTCGCAGCCCCTAACGGAACGGCGTTATCGGATGAGTCTATTGTAGAAGGGGCGTACATTGTCGAATTCGATGACAATGAGGGTTCAGATGTATTATATCGAGATCTCAAAGCTGACGGCATTGAGGTGGAGCACCGGATGGACTTAAAATTCCAGCTCTTTAAAGGTGCATCGTTCCACCTCAGGGGTGATATTGCGGGCATCGAAGCGGACACGATAAAAATCGCCTCAAAACCGCGTGTCAAGAATGTCTGGCCAGTTCGAAGAATCGCATTTCCAAAACCTGACACGACGTTAACCGGGAGCAACGTGACGGAGTTCCTCCAACGTGTTAAACGGCAAGAAGTCACAGATGGAGTGTTCACTCCGCACCTCATGACTCAGGTTGACAAGCTCCTTGCCGAAGGCTACACGGGTAAAGGTTTACGCATCGGGTTGGTTGATACGGGCGTCGACTATAAGCACCCAGCCCTTGGCGGCTGTTTTGGTGAAGGATGTCTCGTTGAATACGGCTACGACTTTAATGGAGATAACGACACGTCGCCCGTCCCAATTCCGGATCCGGACCCGTATGACGGCTGCGTCGGGCATGGGACTCACGTCGCGGGAATAATTGCCGCTCAGCTTAATGAGCACAACTTTACAGGGGCTGCGCCTGGAGTCAAGCTTGGCATGTATAAGGCGACGGGCTGCGGAGGGATGACAACTAACGAGATGCTGATTGCTGGATTCAACGCCGCATTCGAGGCTGGAAGTGACATCATCTCTTGCTCGGCCGGTGACGATTCTGGTTGGGCTTCAGACCCCTGGGCTATTGTCGCTTCGCGTATCGCTGCTGCTGGTGTTCCTGTTGTTGTGGCTCCCGGGAATTCAGGAAACTTGGGTCTATGGTACCCGTCCACGCCAGCATCCGGTGTTAATGTCACGGCCGTTGGCTCTGTTGAGAATATCGTTCTCCCGATGCTAATAAAAGAGGCTACCTTCACTATTGGTAATTCAACTCGATCCGAACGTTTCGGCGTCAGGTTTGGCAGCCCTTCTTATCAAGCGAATATTACTTTACGATTATGGCCTGCAAGCAACAATACAGCTTCGGAAACAGATGCGTGCCAGCCATTTCCTGACGACACTCCAGATCTATCCAAAACAGTTGTTTTACTTCGCATGCCAACTCAGAGTTCGGAATGCACCGCGGAAATTCAGGCTGCGAATCTTGCGGCGAAGGGAGGCCAGTATTTATTATGGTATAGCCAGTCAAATAGGTAAGCACATGGGGTTTCAGCTCCGAAAATTTCCCTAAGCAGAGTTACTTATAAGTGAATTATAACTAGGGAAGTTCCAGATATATGGATCTCCAATGAATCCATAAAGGGTGTCGGGTCTATATCCTCTAGTCAAGGCACCGAATTTATAACGCTACTAAATGAAGGGAAAGATATCGTTGTAGATATCAACGACTCGAGGTCTGCAGGGTTATATGTCCAAAATCTGGATAACCCGGTAACTGGTGGATATACGAGCAGATCAAGTAGTTGGGGTCCAACTCAGGAGGTCCAAGTCAAACCTCAGGTCACAACTCCGGGTGGCAACATCCTGTCGACTTATCCCTTAGCCTTGGGTGGCTACGCTGTTCTATCGGGGACCTCAATGGCGACTCCTCTGCTAGCGGCTATCTTTGCACTTATCTCCGAAGCCCGCGGGACCAAAGATCCTCAAATCCTCCGTAGTTTAGTTTCTGCTACTGCGAAGCCCAAAGTCTGGTTTGACGGTACGACCGCGCATGACAACATCCTCGCGCCAGTCGCACAACAGGGAGCGGGCATTGTTCAGGCGTGGGATGCTGCACATACATATACAATCCTCAGTGAAAGCAGCATTTCGTTCAACGACAGCGACCACTTCGTCGGCGAGAGGACCTTTACGATTCAGAATACTGCCAGCGAAGATGTAACATATGTTCTTGGGCACACAAAAGCTTTAACAATGTACACCTTTGCGGATAACTCCAGTCCCGTCCTTAAAAGCACCACATTTCCAAATCCTACCGCAGACGATTGGGCTGAAGTGAAGTTCGCCTCTGATGAGATCACCGTGCCTGCAGGCGGAACTTCTGAGGTTACGGTTATACTCTCACCACCGCAGAATCTTAATGAAACATTACTTCCTGTTTACAGCGGCTATATAACCATTAATAGCACTAAATCGGGGTCATTAGTGCTGCCATACTTAGGCGTTGTCGGTAGCCTATACAATACTCCCGTCGTTCAGGCCGGCTATGACGGGGGAGTCTACCTCACCAATACCGACGGTCACTTCAATATTCCGGTTTACGCAAATACCACATTTATAATTGATCGCCCCAGGAGTAACAGTAGCTCCAGTGGTATCGTCTACCCGAAGCTCGTAGTATGGCCCACCCTAGGCGTGCCAGCACTCCGCGCCGATGTCGTAGCCGTAACTGCCACCAGCCTACCGACGACTAAATGGAAAGGTTACGAAACTATTGGTTCGCTACCAGGTTACCCATTATATCTGGTCCCCCGGAATGGAGGAGGAAGCTATTTCAGTGGTTTATTGGATGACGGAACCATCATCCCAGAAGGCACATATAAATTCGTCACTAGTGCCGTCAGAGTATATGGCGACCCTGCAAAAGAGGACGACTGGGATATCGTTGAAACGGTGCCTTTTATACTCAAGTATAAGTCATAAGGCATCTTGACGCGATGAGTAATTCATTATTAGTAGTCGAGTGCTGAGATTGATCATGCTACTACCGTTAGCCAGCTATCCCAAAACTGTTGTAAAGTATATCAATAGCGAAATCTTCCTTATAATAGGATACCAATATATTAACTTCTTGGGCGTAAATTACAAAGACACTAAGGTTGAATATTATTCAATTTCATCACCGGGTGATTGCTTATTGGTGGAAATTTATCATCACCAAGATCTATACTCCCACGTTTACCTTCCGCATGCCCCTGCATCTTTCGCTTTAACCCTTGAATATGTAGCAGTGCAGCTGTACAGAGAAGCGCGGACGTAACATTCCCAGTCTACTTCTAAATTCATCCAAAGCTAACGCAAGCAATGTAGGATCCGTCACCCAATCAGGCCAATTTCTCGTTTAGATGCTCGACGTATCCAAATAGGCTAATAGTTGCTCAAGGTATAAGTATGATCGACACGACACGGTCCATATTTTCTATCAGCATAATGGCTTCTTATTTCGGAAATTTGATACTCTTCCTCGCTGTGATCCAAAGCGCGATCGCAGCGGTGACTTTTACCGTCCCTAAGCAGGCACACACAGGGGGATATAGATACGCGCCTCTAGACCCTGCACCAGTTGGTATATCGTAAGTTATAGAAAAACAGAAATCTAGCACTGCTATAGGTACTCACCAAAGCCCCTATTAGTTTCGAGTTCTTTGCCTTTCCATCTTATTTTTCCAATGTGACCGCCACAAACCAGTGTCTTTCCAATTGGAAAGACATGACGGGAGTTTGGCCACCGATACGCATTGGAGGTACCACGCAGGACAGAGCCCAATATGACTCTAAAACCTCGGCCTACGTCGTGTATAGTGTTTCCAATCCGGCTGACGCGCCTGCGAGTTTGACATTTGGCTCGAGCTTCTTGACTCTAGCAGGAACTTACGCGGGAAGCGTCGTAGTGGGATTAAATAGGGGTAAAAATCAGATCCAGAACACGATCGATGCGGCAAAGATTGTAATATCTGAGGTGAAGAACTTGCTTGCTATCGAACTGGGTAATGAGCCGGAGTGTATGTTTTCGATCTATTCCATGATTCATCACCAAAGCTGATCTCCTCTTAGACTATTCCAGGAATGGTCAACCCATTGCTTCTGGCGGCTGGTCTCCGGCTATCGATGCCGCCTCGCAGAATAATTGGGCATTATCAGTTGGCTCGGCCGTCCAGAAGTCGTCAATCATTCAAGCCGGCAACTCCAACGATTCTCCCCCAACGTGGGGTGCGGCAGAATTGATCGCAACAGAAAACGCAACCGTCAAGAGCTATGTCAAGACATATGCCCATCACAATTATCCGGGAGGGAGCGTGGACTCGCTGATGAGCCATAAAAGTATCTCTAGCAATCTGCATGTCTTCGACGCCGACGTGACAGCAGCGTTGAAAGAGGGCAAACCATATGTTTTCGGCGAGACCAACTCAGGTATATATTATCCCAATCGCCAAAGTCATTTCGCACGATATTAATTAAACTTCTCGTAGTATCCGGAGGAGGAGCTGCTGGGGTATCACCCACCTTCGGAGCAGCGCTGTGGACCATGGACTATGTTCTCCGTGCCAGTTACAGTAATATATCAAGGACGTACTTCCACCACGGAACTGTTGGCAATTGCCAATACTGCTTTTGGGGAAGATATAGCATGGGAGCGCCTTACTATGGTGCGTACGCGGCAACCGCGTTATTAGCAAAGGCCTCTTATCTCACAGCTCTCGACGACGGGACCACCAATTACGCAGCATATGTATCATTTAGCTCCGACGGCACGCCTCTACGAGCGCTTCTATATAACTCTGACTACTTTAGCGGGAGCGGGAGCCGTTCTAGCCAATCATTTAATATTGGCGGTTTATCGGGAAGCTCGCTGAAGGCTAAAAGACTAACAGCAGAGAGTGCCATGTCCAGAGTAGACCAAGGTGGTAAGGTCACTTACGGAGGACAGACGTTTACTGACGGCAGCTGCAAAGTTGCCGGGACTGAGAGCACCGAGTCTCTATCTGTTTCCAATGGGCAAGTAACTATCACGTTAAAAGCTAGCGAGGCCTTGTTAATCTATTTGCAATGAGTTGGTTTAAATCGTGTAGATTAGGTAGTTTCATAGCAGTCCAAGAAGATAAGTTGTAACCTGAGCTATAAGAGGCTGGATGTTCTATAACTTCTCTACCACTATATCCTGATTTATTGTGTGAGATCCGCTCAGTAGGAATAAACTAGAGTTATAATAAATTCATCATACACACTTAGTACTCCGTGTAGCCTTCTTAATCCGACCTCTTTACCCTTGCATAAATCTCGAATACATGCTAGTGCTACGCATAGCTCTGTGCCTGGGGCTCACAATGTACAAGGCGTTCAAAAGCGTTCCTTGTCCTTGACTGGGATGTCTGAGCCCGTTGTCTTCTTGTACTGGTCACGAATATAGTCGGAGATCTGCTCATCCTTGGCTTGCTCAACAGCACTCTCGCTACTCTGATCTCCTTGACCTAGTACGTGCTCTTGTACCCAATCAATTCCTATATGTGACACATGTCAGGTATATAATGCAAGACGAAATGACGGTCCAGACAACCATAAACTCACGTACCTTTATCGAGGGCGTCTTCACTCTTTTCGCTTTCTTTACCACCACCAGCCATGGAGTTGAGTTTGTCCATGATACCGGTGTTGGACTTCTGCTGCCCATCCTCTGGGGTGTTCTCATCCTTTTCGTCCTTGCTACCCGTGATCTTATTGATGAAATCCATAATGAAAGTAATGAACTCTAGGGTCAAATGTAGAGGTCTTTGCAGAGACAAGTTACAGTTCTTATTGAAATATACCAAAAATCTTTATTAATCGAAGGTTAGAAGAACAGCAGTTGACACGTAGTGAAAGATAAATCAAGAAATATATATCGAATTGGGTATGGCAACGTAAGTGGCGCTAGGAAGAGAGTGATGTCACGGGGTTTAAAAACAAAGAGGAGCAAATTCTTGGCAGCTTCATATAATCTTCATAAGTCGATTTAATAATTCGACAAAGTTGTTAGCACCAGTTCATTAATGCAGTCCATTAATGGAGCATGCTTTAGGTACCTAGGTACCTTAGGTAATGCCCAGCAAATACCTTACCTAAGGTATGTACATAGGTACATACCCCTCACAACGCCCTTTTGGAGTAAATCATCTACCCCGCTGCGGCTGAGGTAAGTACCTATCGACATATCATACCTTACATGAAAGGTATTTACTTCCTTACATCTGCAATAATAACCTGAAATATATCGTAAAAAAACACAAGTGCTACATGTTTATAGCCTGTTACTGCATAGAAAATGGGTGTAAACTTGCCCAAGATACCTAGGTACACATATCCCTCTTTATTGAACACAGTACAATTAAAATAGATGACATAAATTCAAACAGGGACGCAGATACCATCACTTTAGGTAGACAAACACCATACCTTTTACACGCGGAACAAAACAAATACGTGCGTCACGCAGTACTCACATAATACTCACATAGCACTCACATAGGTACCAGGTAAGGCACAGCCTTATCATTCTAGTGGTTACCTATGGAAAGCATCCCAAGTCCGTAGCAACACATGTGTAGATGACTCGAGCTCTTATTTTACTTTACTTTTTCTGTTCAATAAATAAATACAAATAACTTCTTGAACACTATATCTTCATGCGTTTACATCCCTTACCAAAGACCGCAAAAAGTAAATTTTGCAGGTTATTCTTTACTTACTTTTCCCCTTTCGAGTTTTTACATTTTAAGAAGTACTTACAGCCTTACGGTTTGACTCCTCTTCCGTTTCTAAGGGAACCATAGGAGTACTAAAGGTATGTGCACATGATCAAGCTGAGTTGTTTTATTCTTTACCGTCCAATAGATAGAATATGTTGATTTACATGCTCACAAGCTTACACTGTACCCCGCCTAGAAAAACCAGGTTCAGTGCGGGAACCATAAAGTATAGTCAGTCTTAAACACGAAGGTTGAAAGAAGTTGACGCGCACCGTTTACATTAACACACGCGTGTTCACATACAAGCAAGCATCTTCTCGTTCGTACTAACACGCGTTTATCTTTAGGTACTCGGATAGCTTATTTGTGTTCAGCCTCTCCCCGACCATAGGTAATATTTAATACGGTGCCTGTGCCTGGACTGTGCCTTCAGATACCGCAAAAGGGCCGTCACATCAAGGCGAACAACCCTTCCCGTTTATCAGCCACCAAACCATATCCTTCCTTAGGTACTGTACTGATATTATATTACCTACGTGACCAACTGGTAACACAGACACGGACACGGACACGGATACTTGCATTCTCCAACTGAATGAATCCCGTTACAGCCTAACGGCCATACGGAACATATTCGTAATGGCTCCTAACTTAAAAGATATCAAGGATATCTCTGCCCGGATCAACTGTTTCGGGCGAAACCACAAAGACCAAGGTTCGATCGATAACGGCAAGCCCTCTCAGGTCCCCAACTCAACTATGGCGAAACCATTGTCAAATCCAGTCCAACCCAAATCGCATGGGCCACGCAACCAACCGCTTGCAATGTTTCCTAAAAAAGATGGCAACAACTTGCCCCTGTCGTCTCAGATTCCATTTGTCCCTGAAACCGTACCAACATCCTCGAGCAATACAATTGCACAGTTACTGAATCCATATCTTATTGCACAACCACCCGCAGGTGGAATCTCATATCAGGCAATGTCGCCAGGCAACCCCTCAGCGGGCAAGTCAGCGGGCAAGTCAGCGGGCAAGTCAGCGGGCAAGTCAGCGGGCAAGAAGCCAATAAGTATACCAAACCCCGGAGGTCCTTTCACTCAGATCAACCCATCCGGTACCATACATATTCACAAGGGTTATCTCTCTACGGCATCGCACGACCATTCCGGATCATCTCAAGGATCGGGCACGTCGGCTAAGAAATATCCGGCGTCTATCACATGGTTTCCACAATACCCAGAGGGCCATCCTCATCTGCACACACAGCCTGCTCCTCCCTTAGCCTCCGATGATCCCATAGGTTCGTCATGGGTTCAAGCATCATATTTCCCAGAGCATTTACCTATGCACCATATACAGCCTCTTCCTCTAGGCATCCATCCAGTAAAGCCCCTAACTGGCCACCCACAGCCTCTCCATTTAGGAGCCGGGTCCAAACAAACTCCAACGTTGAATAACCAACCTGGACTAGCCTATGACCAGCAAATGTGGAATAGCTATTATCTCGATCAATATGGCACTGCGCCGGAGTACTTTGCAGTAAATGATTATGAGATGTTCTCTCCCTTTCTGCACCCAGGTCAGGGACCTCAAGGCGACAAGATGGAAATAGACGGCATAAGCCTCGAAGACAACAGCGAGGATAGCAACGAAGACAGCACCGAGTCAACGGACCTAGAGCAACCTCCCGAAAATACAGCCATGATCGAAACAACTCTGGCTGACTTGAAGCCCTTAGGGTCATTCGTCCTAGGGCTCCTTAATCATGCCTGCGCCGGATGTCATAAAAAGAAGACCATGGGGTCTGAAGATGTTGTGAATATGACGGCAACATGGACTAGTGGCAATGGTGAGTTTTTCTTATACGATGGTTTTTTTTTTTTGATCCTCTCGTGTCAATATTTCCCTTTTTGTTATATATGACACATCGGTGTGACAGTGTACAAGGTACTCTATCTACTACAGAGTTGTGACCTTTATCCTTGAGATGATACTCTCTATGCATTACTCTCTATTCTAACGCGACGTAGGGAAGGTTAGCCTTGGTCTGAAATGTCAAGAAAAGTACTGCGAAGTAGTCACATGTCTCGGTTGCGGGAAAGCAATTCATTTCACTATGACAAACCCGTTAGGTGTTACCCTCAATGTCGCCGGAACGAGTGCCACTGTGCAGTGGTGCTGTGATGATGGCAGACTGGCCGCGATCTGGGCTCTCGCTTGCGGTTGGAAAGTCCCAAGGTCGAAGTCTCGAGCTGGTTATATGATCACAAGGGTTCGAGGAAAGGTCAAGATTAAGGAAGCTTCAGTGCTCGACAAGCTACGAGGACCTCACCCGCCGGTCACTGGGAAAGGAGTCGGTTACGGCGACGGGAATACTCCTCATGCTTACTTCTTTGGTCAGTATACACATCACCCTAAGCGTTCGATGCCAAAACAGTCCATAGACACTAAAGAGGACCTTGTGCACGAAATTTATTTCAGGCTCTTAGCTCTCCTACTCCCATCCTGCAAAAGAGTAGCACAGTTCGACGCCTCGCCGCCTAGCCTTTTATCACACATGGTCTCGCGCAGCCCCTTACTAGAAAACTCTGCAATGATGTTCAGCAACGGCTCTATTGACGAAATATCATCTAGAAGTCAACTTCACGATTCAGTATTGGACTTCTTCGATGCTTTAGGAAGCCATCCAGCAACTGCAGACTTGGTATACACTGACCGTAACCTTTATTACGAAAATGGGGGTAATCTTCTGGAGGCCTCGCTCAGCCCCGAGAAGAGCAAAGGTAGAATTGTTCCGAGGGACACGGGAAAGTCTCTGATCGAATTGCTAGGCAGCATGGCGGCCCAATTAGAGACTCTCCTCCGGTATGCCCAGTTAAACCGTTCAGAGTTCCTGAACTCCGAAGGACAGAAGTTACTAAAGCTTAGCCAACGTGTAAGCGAGGTGTCTACTCGGCACATCGCAAACATGCAACAACTCCAAACAGCCATGGATATTACTGAAGACAAGTCGGATATTGACTTTTCCGAGTGGCATCGCGAAAACTGTGTCAGAGACGTCCCCGACGACGCGGTCCTGCGTAATTTCGCCTACGCGCGGGAGGCAACCAGAGAACCCCCCCTGTGCCCAGGATCACGTGGGCGTATGAAGAGACTGATCACGGAGATATCTACGCTGCTAAGCTCACTACCAGAAGGCATCTTCATATGCCACGGATCTTCCCGGCTTGATATCATGAAAGTCTTGATCATAGGTCCTCGGGATACACCCTACGAGCACGGCCTGTTCGAGTTCGACTTGTACTGCCCGCTGGACTACCCTAAATCCCCACCAAGGATGCTTTTCAAGACCCCGAACGGCAGCAGAACGCGCTTCAACCCGAATTTATACCAAGATGGCAAAAGTAAGTGATACTCCCAAACATTGCGGACTTGCACCCGAAATCGGTATTAATACAAAATGCCTGCGGAGAGAATTCGCGACGAGACAGTTGCTAACGTTAGATGTTAATAGTTTGCCTTTCCTTACTCGGTACGTGGCCTGGGGAGCCTTGGAGAGGAGATCAGTCTACTCTGCTCCAGGTGCTTGTCAGCATACAGGCCATGATTTTCTGCGGAGAGCCGTGGTACAACGAGCCCGGTCGAGAGTGCAGCAAAGACAAGACGCAATCGGACAAATACAATAACAATGTTCGAAGCATGACAATGCAGTATGCCCAGCTGCCCTGGGTCAAGGCAGTCAATGCGAAGGATACAACCCAAGACGTAGTCTCCGGACCCAATATGGTGTCACTGTGGAAGGAAACAGCCCGGCTCTACTTTCGCGCAAACACGAAGGACATCTTAAATGTGATTAAGAGTTCATCGAAGTTGAATGTCTTTAATCTACAAGATGCAGCGAAAGCCCTCAAAAACGCACTCAAGGCTAGCGGCTATTTGGATTGAAAGATCCAAGGATATCACCATGGGGAGGCGAGCGATTCTAAGGTGAAGGGTTTCGGGAAATACTTTGATGAGGTGGAGCTCTTCATCCCGCTCGCGTTTAGTAACATGAAGAGAGAGGAGAGAGGCAGGCTTTTGGTGTTGGCCCAACAGACACAAATAAAGGCAGGATGGCCTAGCCCCGCCAGCAAGCAGAGAGAGGGCGCTGAGATTTCAGGCTCCCCTAGGAGTCAACCAGTTGAGTGACACTGGAGATTAAAGTCAACGCGATGAGGATGCAAACATGGACGGATGGGCATAGTAAGGTTTGCTTACCTGTTTTCTATACGGCACAAATCAAGTACATGCGATAATTGTATCTTCTAGCTTCGTAGCTTTGTAGATTAGGTAGCTACTAAATTGCACTCAGCTCATGGTACTCAAGGAAACGCATCTAACATAGACAATCCGACGATATCAATGCGGCAGTGAGATTTCTTTTCCGGTATCTTTAATGCCATGAAAGATAGGCACCTAGGAGGTAGCTAACGAATTCCTGGCAAATAGGGTAGGAAAGGGGTTAGACAAGAACATGCTCAGGGTAACTTTACCTTGGGTCTTCCAACTAACTCATTAGCCAACACGTACACATGCTGTAAAACTCATATTCTGACCCCCGATACGGATATGAATTTCAGTGACCATCGCCAAATGGATAGTTGAATTTGAGTAGGCCGATTAATCCACCAACCCACCCGTCATCATCCTCCGCAATTCCGTCTCTATCACCGTCACCCTTGATAGGAGACCTGATGACACAAGGCACCCCACCAGCCCAGCTACCGCCAGAAGTACGGCCAACAGTCTCACCTTCGACGCGGATCTCCATACCAACGGTCACAGCAGCCCTTCGCTTGCCGTCGATGCTGACTTCAAGTTCGCGTCCGCGATTTTTCTCGCTCAGCTTGAGAATTACCTTAGTGTTCAAGGGGAGGCCAAGCGGCCGAAAGCTGAGACTGCGAGCGCATATTGGGGTGATCAACAGCGTCTTGACCAAGGGGTGCATAATACTACCACCGGCGGATAGCGAGTATGCCGTGGACCCCGTCGGCGTGCTGATTAAGATTCCATCGGCCACCGCCTCCGTCAGGAAGTGATTATTCACATAGACATCGATAATGGCAAGGTGCGTGTTTGGACCACGATGGATAACAAGTTCGTTCACGGCGTGGAATGGTCGCGACCCGGCTTGTCCCTCATTCCTCCCTACAAGATTTAAATCGGTAGGTGTCCCCGACGTGGACTGCTGCGGCTCGGCGATCGGAGTGGGTATGAGTTGCTCGTTTATATTGATACCCGCGGCGTCGTAAACTCCAACCTTTAACCGATGACGCAGAAGAATTTTGCTGGACCGAGTAAGACCCATGCTCTTCCCGCGGAGGCCTTCCCAGTTACTGTGAAGACGGCCTTCGTCCCCATCAGGCCGGCCGTTGGTAGCAAACTGTGTATGAGGGTTCTGTAAGTCAGATACGGCAACACGGCTTCCGCTCATGTATACTTCACGCCAAGCGCGTTTAAATTCCTCAAACTTCCACTCGCCTAGAAAGCCTAGCGATCCCATGCTAAATGATAAGATGGGAGGCACGGACGCATGTAGACTGAAAAGGCTAGCTGCGCGTAGAATGGTTCCATCGCCACCCAGGGTGGTCACGAGATCAATCTTGCGAGGAAACAGGCTTGGGTCAGAAGAGTATATAGGAAAAGACAGGGACTCGTGCATAGTAGAGGCGATTCGGCGTTCGAACACGAGATTCAGATCGGGGTATTCGCTGTGAATATGGTTCGCAAAAGAGATTGCAGAAGCGGTCACCTTAGGAGCATGTAGCTTTGGAATGATCAGGATATTCCGCGGCGGTTCCGGCCAATGTAAAGACAGCAGAGAAGAGGTTGGACTCTCCTTATACTCGGGCATAATACGCTCGGGAAGTACAGAGGCATCGCGGATCTCGCGGCGGCAGGAGGTGAGAGAAAAAGATCTCACATCCTGACAGCGTTGTACGAGCAGACCTTGGCGGATACGGGGAAAGCTCCGTCTAAACATCATCTTCAAGTTTGATCTTTGCCTAGACCAAGGACCGAACACTCACAGCCTCTCTTTTCCTCTTTTCTCCTTTTCCAACTTAGAATTTCTCAGCCGCTACAACTATCGTCCGTCGCGATTCACGTTGCCAAAAGTAAATGCAACGACAACCGAACAAGATATGATTAGTCGCAAGAGTCGCATGGTTTGCACCAACGGCTATGCAAAGTGGATAATAACGAATAGAGCACATATAGCGCTTTAGAAATCAGTTTTCTGGTGGTCTAGATCAAAAGACTAAAACAGATATTTAGTAGATAGAAGAAGTATTGCGGATAATATTCATCTACCAATTCACCCCATGATCGAGCAGTCGAGACCCCCCCTCCTTTTCACAGATCGCAGTGGTAATGCAAGCAAACAACAGACGTGCGATTATACCATCTCTCAAATTTCTATCGTGTAGCTCCTGTTATTATTGTTATTATTGTCGTCATTAGGAGAATAAGGCAGGGATGTCTGTGGTTTTGATCCGATGATGTAGGTACCTACCTTGTAATTAGTTCCGTACAGAAAAAAAAAGAATGAAAATTAAAATAATGGGGAAGACCGAGTACCGAACAGTTTCTTCTGTCAAACTTCGCACAGTATCTCAATGTTCAATATTCAATATTCAATATTTCATAGAGTTACACGATGAATATATTAATATATCCAGTACGAATTAACGCCGAAACAGGTACGTAAAATGGAACCATTCGACCCGCAAATGATTGAAAAAGGAAACTTTAACAGTTGACCAGTTGGAGCAGAGCATCGTGAAAGCATCACGCAACATGTAAGTTTTTATTATATGAGGTAACTATCTCTAGCGAACAGTTCCTAGATGACGGAATATCACTAGGTTAGATCGTCTCACTTTACTCGTATGTAAGTACATACGTAGCGTAACGTAATAGATTATAAGTAGGTAGAATCTATCTCTCTCTACTTAAATGACTCGACTCTCCCAAAGTTTAGATGTCATGTCCTCAGGAGGTATTCGTTCATCTTCTTAAAACAAATACACAAGCAAATATCAACCACTCGTGTCTATCTATATATAAATCTTCAAAACGATAACATCATGGCCAACTCAACCACCAACCTACCGCTCAACGTGGGCGTCATCGGTTACGGGTAAGACGTTTTACTCATCTCATATATCATACATCATATATCCCGTTAGTATGCTATGTATAAGCTCACTCACTCACTTACCCCCTCCCCAGGTTATCCGCTACCATCTTCCATATCCCATTCATCACGACCACCTCAACCCTAAAACTTCACTCCATCCTGCAGCGCAATCCCAGCCAGTCCGGAAAGTCGGCCCCGCGTGATCATCCCGACGTGAAGCATTTCACCTCTCTGGACCAATTCCTCGCCGACGCAGACCTCGACGTGGCCGTCATCACCACTCCCCCCGAGACGCACTTCTCATTTGCCCAGCAGGCCCTACAAGCAGGAAAACACGTCCTCGTAGAGAAGCCCTTCGTCCCGAGCGTTTCCGAGGCGGATGCCCTGATCAAGCTCGCCAGAGAAAAGGGTCGACTGATCTGCGTGTACCAGAACCGCAGATGGGATAGTGACTTTCTAACGGTGCGGAAGCTATTAGCCGACGGCACGCTAGGTCGGATCGTTGAGTTCGAGACGCACTTTGATCGCTTCCGGCTGGAGAAGCCTTCCACCTGGAAGGGCACGCTCGGCATGGATCAAGGCGGCTCGGCGCTCTACGACCTAGGCACCCATCTAATCGACCAGGCATACGTGCTGTTCGGGATGCCACGGAGCGTCTTTGGCATCCTAGCCAGCCAGCAGGACGGGCTCTTGCTAGGCCCGCAGAACCCGGATCTAGATCCCGACAGCGTTACCGCACAGCTATTCTACGACAACGGCCTAGTCGTTTTCGTGCGTATCGCCAGCGTGAGCGTCGAGACACGGCAGCCGAGATTCTGGATCAGAGGTACTAAAGGTAGCTACCGCAAGGAGGGTCTCGACACCCAAGAGCCTCAGCTCCGGTCCGGCTTGAAGACGGACGACGCTAATTTTGGACGAGAAAGCCCGGAGTGGAATGGAAAACTTACTCTTGTTAATGATGACGGTAGTTTCCGCGTACAAGACTGTCCGAATGTGGAGCCTGAAACCTACAGCAAGCTCTTTGAGCTCTTTGGCGAGGCCCTTGTTCGAAATCGCGAAGAAGATTTGCCAGTTCCAGCATCGCAAGCGAGAGATGTCCTACGAATCATTGAAGCTACTAAAGAAAGTGCGAGAAGCCAGCGCCAGGTTCAACTTTCTTAGTGAAGCGTCTCTCTCGCGATTCTTTCTTTGATAGTATCGAATCAGTTTCTATATTCTGCCTCTGTCGCCTGGTTCGGGGTTTGAGTAGGCTCCCCAGAGAGCATCATACATCATGGTACAAATAGCCTACTATTATTTTAGGACCTCTATACCTCTTAAAGCCTAGGTTACACTCTTTCTTTATAGCGGGAAGATGGATTTCTATTCAATATGCCATCTCAGCGTCCGGGGAGCCTCATACGCAACGACTCAACGCTTCAGAGAGCAGCATATACATACTACAGCAGATGTTCTTCCAAGAACCCAATTATATCAATTCTCATGATCAATAATCATCGTTTCTAAAATATGCTCCATCAATTTACCTGTAAATTACGTGAAAGCACTCATGCTTATTCCGGCCTTCCCGTATATTGCCTATGTCGCAGTACGTTTTATGTGATCGTCGACGTATGTACCTAAATCTCAATGCTTCACAGGTACTTAAGCTAACGGAGAGGATATATAATATTTACCACCTATTTCCTACAAAATATCATACCCCAAACCATTGATCAACACAGTTTAGAATATCAGGCTATCAAAAATTTAGAGCTATGCATTCGCCCACCCAGTCCGAAACTCCCATCCCCTATGTTACATATTCTTCATGGTATCATTGATATATGTCGTCGCTGGTATCTAACGATAATTCTCTTCGTCTCTTACCATCGTTCATGCAACACCCGCACAGATTATCTATTAGCAAGCAATGACCCGCTATCAATCGACTAACCACGTGCGAGGGTACGCAGAGTTCTCAGAAAGAAACTAAATATCAACCCAAACGAACCAAGCATGACGAAAATTTTGCCGAATTCCCACCAATACTGAGTTCGAACTTCCGTCTCGATATGACCCTTAATGCCGGCCTCGTTTGCCGGAAATCGGCCTGTAGAAACGTACTGCTCCAGCAGAGCATCCTTTTCATACCATCGTTCACGAAGCCACTTATCGAAATCATCCTGGTTATCCAAAGGCATATCTGCTAGGGCAAACCGCCTCCAATAGAAATTGACCGATTTAGGAGGCCGCCCCTGAAAGTAGGTACTCGATAGGGTGAAATAGTCTTCTCCGTATTTCCCTCGGCTAATTGGCATGTTAGTTACTCAAGGCCATAGAGAAGTACTAGATATAGCAAAAGAGCAGCACATACGGAACGCCTTCGTAGGCTACGGTGCAATCATACACGTAGTCCACGGTCCCCTTAAGTTCGTTAAGGCAGAAGAACATGCCGGTACTTCGAGGTAACATCAAATGCTCCGTATCTTTCAGTCCCGTCTTGGCGGCCCATTGAGCTGACTTGATTCGGCCGTTTGAAGATAAATTAGTCCCTTCGGGGAAAAGAAGTAACCACATTGGGTTCAAATAGCTTTCGCCGTCAGGGTCCGTATGCTTCGTTTTTAGCTTCCTAAGCCTGTGGGCTAGACGGGGTTGATCGACGGCCATCTTGCGTGACATAAAAATGAAGCCGAGAAACATGCAGCCCGGTCCAAGGATGGGAATTCGCTTCAAAGACTCTTTTAGGATGATGTAGATATGTCCGTGCATGTGAGGGTTGTTCGTATATCCAACCCACCACAGATATAGCCAGTCGGTATAAATCTGCGACAAAACGTACTTGTCAGCCATTCACGTTCTTTGGTGCAGGCCATCAATCTGGTTCCAGACCTGGTGGTTCGCGATCATAACCATGCGCTCCGGAAAAGCGCATTGGACCCTGCCATCAGGCGCCAAGCTAAGCTGCCCTGCAACAGAAGAATCGCCGCTCATTCTTATCACCGTAGGCGCCCACCACTGGGTCATGGTAGTTATCAATAGGCCGAAAGATGCCTTGGTCAAGGACATATACGCATAGTAGAGGTCGCGGTTGGCGTAGTATAATGGGGAACCGATGATCTGAGTAAGGTGTATGCTGTATACATATCAGAAAGATTCCTCTTTCTACCTAGGGTATACGATGAGGGGCCATACGACAAGCAGCCACTTGCGAAATAGACAAAGACAGAGACAGCACGCAGGAACGCCCTAAAGCGACCGTACTTAGCCTTGCCTGCAGGGTGAGCGGTGTTCGAATCTAGCGTCGGTCCGGAAACGCCGGCCGCTGATTTCGGGTTCGAGGCATCGCCGGGTAATGGTGGGCGTCGCCATAGCTCCGCGGAGTTCATGGCGATAAAACGCGACAACATATGAGGGCAGAGAAGAGTTCAGTAGTATGTGGAGGGAGGAGGTAGTCGTAGGGAGAATAACGAAGGGCCTAGAGCTTAGGCGGGTTCAGAACGGTAGTAGATGGTAGGACCTCAAACGCCGCGGTCGACTGTCACAAGTAAACGTGTGTGGGGTCGCATCGACATCCTAGAAAAGTAGAAGTCTAGTTAGATTAGAGCCGAGGCGATGAGTACCTAACATAGGTAGACACAAGAGAAGGGAAGTGGATAAAGATGACTAGTGGCAAGGCGGGGAGGTTAGAATAGTCGACATTCTTAGGTTCCGTTTGAGACCGAGACTCTGGCGACCTCGTGCAGTTTGGAAGAAGATGGAATGTGTATATACCTAGGTAGGTAGGTAGATAGATATATATATTTAGGTACGGGACTTACCGAGAATTCCGAAGAATAAATAAATGATGCGGTATCAGACTCCGAGCTCCATGTTGAAATTATCGCAAGTATTATGCCACCTTTTTTCTTTTTTTAATAAGAGTAGAGGGCATTCGATAAGGACATGAACCTATGGGAATGAATACACGAAGTGAGTTTATATAACAAGAGCATCGTGGCTTAAGAGATGGGGAGATGAGTGGGATTCGCACTAAAGAGAGAAGAAGATTTGACTGGTCGAGTTTAATTGAATTTAGGTCACGTAGGCAGATGCATACATACATACATGTAGGTACATAGTGGTAGGCGGTTGCGGTTGCGGTTACCTGTATGTAAGTCTACGATTACCTAGGCTGACAATGACGACACGTGCCTCTGGTTCGTTTAAGGCAGGTCTAAGTCTGTAAGTTAAGCGCACATGTGAGCATGTGAGCATGTGAATAATAGGACAGCTTGCCCACACGTACCTGTATTCTTCCAGGGTTGCCTAGCGCATTTAGCATGGGGTCATGTGCATTAGGTGCCTTATTAGACCAATTGCCTACCAATTATTAATATTTGCAGCACTCTCTAATAACGACAGATCTCTTTAAAAGGCAGGACGGAACTAGGAAACGAGCCACAGTTTCTTGTGGCTCAAATTCTTCCTGTGGCTACGAATATATCTACATGTACCGTTAGGAGCTTTAGGTACATGGTTATTGATTGGTACAAGCAGGTCAGTGAAGCAGGTTGTAAGTAAGGTTCTATATACCATAAATAGGGACCAATAGAAGATTCATCAAGACCAAACCATACCACTACTCTAATGACCACTACTCACTTCCTAGCCTTTCCTCCGAGTCCGCTCGACAACGGACCCGAGGACTCGCGATCCCGTGACATCCTCATCTTCTTCATCCCTGGTAATCCGGGACTCGTTGACTACTATGAGCCCTTCCTATCAACTCTTCGGGAACTCCTAGACGAGGCAAAATCACTTGAGCATATACGCTTTCACATCTACGGCCAGAATCTAGCCGGATTCCTCGACGATGACCACGAACCTTTCACTTCGCAGAGGACACCATATAACCTCCAAGACCAGATCCAGCATACGCTTGCAGCCCTAAAGAGGCTACGCGTCGACTCGGGACCACGCAAAGGTCTTCCATACGACGAGGTCCTACTCATTGGACATTCTGTAGGCAGTTATATTGCCCTCGAGCTCTTTCATCAGCTCTTGCGCGACCCGGATTTAGCTCCGCATTTAAATCTTGGGTCCGGAATCCTCCTGTTCCCGACTATCCACCACATATCACACTCCCCAAGTGGGAAGAAACTCGACTTACTCCGCCAAACACCCATACTAGGCGACAATGCCTACCGGATCGCGCAGGCATTCCTGCGCCTGTTCCCCCAAGGCGCCCTCCGGTGGATCGTGCGCAGCGTAATGGGATTCCCAGCTCACGGAGCAGAAGTAACAACACGTTGGCTTAAGAGCCGGGACGGGGTGTGGCAGGCGCTGCATATGGGCATGGACGAAATGCAAGTCATCGGAGAGGACAAGTGGGATGAAGAATTGTGGGAAATTGCTCACGAAGCAGAGACGCACGACAAAGTCATACCCAAATTCTTTTTCTTCTTCGGCAAACACGATCATTGGGTTGCGAATCACTACAGGGACGACTTCATCCAGAAGAGGCAGAAGCAAGTCGAACGCACAAGACTCATAGTAGATGAAGGAAACATCCCTCATGCGTTTTGTATAAGTAAGCAAATATAACTCGACTCGGTACTGAAAAAGGAGCTAAAATAAAACACAGGACATAGTGAAGCCGTTGCTGAAAAAGTGAGTTTGTGGATTAACCAGATATACAGTCCTAGCTACGGGAGAGAACTAGATACGACAACGACGTCTTCAAAGAACTAGACTTATGGGGAAAGCGTCCGTGATATTGAGGGAAGGAGACGATATATGGAATATAAAGTAGATTATCATTGTGTATATAATACACTATTGTCAGAAATATCCCTGTTAAGCACTTGAGACCAGCCTCCACGAAGCAAGCATATGGCAATGCAAAGCCGTCTTTAAAAATGAAGTCATAAATAACCCACATCTGCCACTACAATAGGAAGACCAAAGGGCAATAAGCTTATCTCGAACATAAGCTGCGACGACAAAATAAAGGATGACACATAAGACAAAAGAACTCATACACCAAAACGTCCGCATCAAAATATCTACAATATACTAACTCATGAATACTGATAGTTGCAATTAGTTATTCTGCGAGTCTAATACGGAAAAAAAGCACAGCATCCCTTAATGCCATACAACGTAACCACTACGTATGAATCTCTTCGAAAAATAGCTTGGCCGAATTACGCCAGAATACAGGGACAGAAAATACTATATAAAAAAGCCATATTCAACCGTGTGATATAACTCCTTTATAGCATAACCATACCAGCACCAACGCCCATGGCCACCAACACATACAGGCTAATAACCATATCACCCATGGTCATAAGAGGAGTCATACGGACGGATGCAGGCGCAGCAGCATTCTCGCTGCTCTCACCGGTAGAAGAGGAGCTCGCGGAACCCGCAGTAGCAGTGGCAACAACGGCGATAGCAGAGCTGGCCTTGGCCAAAGATGCCTCACACCTAATCTATATTAGCTCATCGCCACAGAGACGATATTGGACATTTACTTACGTAGAGTCTTTAGTACCATCAACAATCTGCGCGGCACCCTTGAAGCTGCAAGCAGTGGACGCGCTGTTCTGGTTAGTGTAGTAGGCATCGAGGACGTGTCCGAGCTGCTCCTTAGCATTGCACATGCCGTAAGGGCCGTAGACACCGCTCTCAGTATCATGCTTGATACCGACACAAGCGGCGGCGTCGTTCTCACAGATGTAACCGAAGATGTCGCCATAGTCCTTCTCGTCAAGGTCATCGGAAGGAACACAAGAGAGCGACTTGTACATGCAGTCGCAAAGGGTGCTGTCAGGAGTAGGAGGGAGAGCCTCTGCGGCCTTCCAGTTCTTGGAGATGGCTGGGCACGCGGCAGGAGAGTTGGTAGGGTCGAAAGCAGCCATAGATGTAGACGAAGGCTTGACGTCAGCAAGCTTCGACTGTAAAACTTTGTAGTTCTTCATGGGGGTCGCAGTGTCGCCCTTGACCTTGACCAGACCTAAATAGCTATTAGATCCTGGAGACATATGGAGTTAACTAATTGACAACTTACCGTAGTCATTCTCCTCTTCGTGGAACATGTAGACGATACCGCCGCTGAAGACACCGGTCATTTGGCTCGAGTAGATAGCAGTGGTATCATCCCAGAGACGGCCTTCGGCACCACCAACAGTGTTGCAACCATACTCGGCGAAGAAGACGGGAACAGAGAAGTTCGAAAAGAACTTGACCTGGACATCATAACCAGACTCGGTGAAACTACTCTTGCCGCACCAGGAATAGATGTTGTAACCCCAGAAGTCAATCGCACTGTCCTGGTCACCACAGTTGAAATATTGAGCCATGTTGGCACGAATATCGGCGTCATCGTTCGCGGCATAGCCAACGCCCATCCATCGACCACCCTTAGCTGTCTTATCGGCGATATACTTCTTAACATCTCGGGTAGCGGCCTTGACGTAGGCCGAAGCATCGGCTGTGATAACCGACGTTAGCATCACCTAGAATTACTAATAGACTTAGATACCATGATAACACGCTAACTTACTGTTGGTGTTGTTGTTGGTAACCTCATTTCCGGAGAAGAAACCAATGACATTGTCATACTGTCCAAGGTTGTCAACGACACCCTTGTAGCGGTCGAACAAGGCAACATTCCAAGCGGGAGATTCACGGTTGATAGAAAGAGCTGGTTCACCCAAGTCGGCAACGACGTAGATACCGGCCTTCTCTAGCAGAGCCATACACGCGCTGTGGTCGGCTTTAGGGTCGATGGCGTATGTTCGGATGGTGTTCACTCCCAACTTCTCGAGTAACGGCACATCACGCTCGCAAGTCGTCTCGTCGGCCAGAGGATCCACGTACTTAGTACTGGAGTCCGTGCTGCCGCCAGGCCCACCACCAGCCTCTTGTTGGTAGGCAACGCCCTTGATAAAGAACTGGTCGCCTTTCTTGGTGAAGAACTTGTTTCCCTATCCAAAGCAGGCATGTTAGTCGTTTTACTCTTGCGCTCAATTGCTGGTGGTTTCTAAGGAACCAATGGCATTACATACCTTCATGATGATAGGGTCTAAGGCGGCAGCATTGCTAGCAAGCAGCAGGGATGCTGTAAGAGCTGATTGTAAGAAACCCATCTTGACCTGCTAATTATTTCTTGATCTCCGGGATCTCGAGTTACGCTGATGTGTCTCTTATGACGATTAATGAATGACGTAGAGATAACCTCGGTATAAGCCTTCCTGCTCTTCTGCTTCTCTTTTTCTAGTAATGGACTGAATAATGCAATAAGGAGTGTATGAATAACGCGTCAATGAGTGTGCGTAGTTGGAATAACCGGATACCTCTTATCCTTCTTCGCGTGCCGATTAATTACAAAGGCTAGAAAAATGAGAGAACTGTTAGAGACAGAGAGAGGGAAAAGATGTGGCATAAAAATGAAAGGCCTGGTCTCATAAAAAAGGGAAGAGAAGCAAAAAATAGTACGAGATGTCAAGTAAAGGAGAAGGGGACCCCGGTTCAACAGGAGAGATTAAAACTGGTTCTAGCCAATGGGGTTGTTCAGTTAATTGGTTCTGATTGGCTGGGACCACAGTTAAAAAGACCGATGTAGATTAGTGGAATACTGGGGCTTTTGCGGGTAGATGTACATACAGATGAACAGGGGGGAACAGCTAAGGGGGGGGGGAGGGGGGATGCAGGGGGTTTCTCCTAATTTTCTAGCTCTCCTAAATCCAGATTTGCCAGAGGAAGCTATTGTACATATTATTACCTATTTTTGATCAAGCCTACTTTACACGAGGCATGTGATATTCCTCCCGGTGGCTAGCTGGGAATGTTCAAACTTTTGAGACTTCTCGTGAGGATTTGTCTCGAAACGCTATAATATCTAGATGTAGGTAGGTAATGTATTCGATACATCATCCCCAACGTATGTACCGATATATATATCAGATGCGCCTACCTCATGTAGGTACATGTCATATTTACGGATCCGTACTAAAACGCCTATTAGATTGGCGCTAATATGCACTCTATCTCGTTGTACCTGTCGATCTTAGGGGAACTGCTAGAACTGTTTAACCAATTAACCCCGACCCATCTTCACTGTACCTAACACTAGTCGACAATATGCCGAGACTAAAAATGGGTCCTGATGGTTTGCTAGCCCCATCTCCAAGCGAGGCGCAGCAGCGAATAGTGAGACATTAACACCTACTTATTTTGTTCAACTCTGGTTCTGTTATTAGCTACATACTTACCTATTTTGCCATTTGTTTCCTTCCCAAATGTCTTTGTCTTACTTTTTGTTCAACCGAATCCTATCTATGTATATAAATCCTTTGTTGTCTGCTATAAAAATATAAGTAAGAATAGGTATCGACCAACCAGCCAACCGGGATAATTAACATACTTGCAACTAATAGCCTTTCTTAGCATTGCATTGGTTGATTGCTTTCTTTCGATTAATTCTGGTACTCCTATCTTCAAACAGCCAAGCTTTGCCAATTCTGCCAATTCCTTGCGCCAATTCTCCAGTTATATGTATGTAGGTACGGAATACAATTGTAGTAAATAGGTACATAGAGTAGACTACAAGGTAGGCCAAGGTAGGCTATGTTAGTAGGTACTTTGCAGGACAATTGGTCACGTCAGTCATTAGCTGCTTTTAGCTCTTCTTGGTAACGAACAACACGAGATGATAGCGATCTTCGACGATTTACATTTCTCCTTTTTCTGGTTCGCATGATCGTCAACTCCTTACGCACAACACACTTTTTCTACACTATTCTGTCAAAGTCAAATATCATGTATCGTAAATTACATAGGGGAAACCGATAGGCAGTGCATACGCCAAGCCTAGGATTGTTTCGAGACCGTATCGTCCCAAGCCTTTCCCCTTTGTCTTTCTTTCTATGAAGTGCTGTATCCCTCTACATAAAAGAGGCGATACCAGTTGGAATCGTCCCTTTCTGTGACCTCCTATGTAAGAACGAGACAGAAATATTATTAAAAAAAAAAAAAAGTGGCACACCTAACAGTATAACTATTAATAGCTGTCAGTATATGGTAGGTTAGGTAGGTAGGTAATCTTACTGTCTCTACCCGCTTGCTTTATGACATAAGAGGTCACTACTCATCCAGTCTCGTCACCAATAGATTGATATCTCACTGCCCCGATAAATGTTTTCCGGGATTTCATTCCGTACGCGGCAAGATCTTCGACCACAGCCGCGCTCCGAAGCCGAACAGCAATCATCACGTCTTGTTACATCTTACACGGCTACGCCTCCGTCCTATCTATTGTGGAACTGCCGATGATCCTTTATACAAATTTTCAGTTGAAGCCGGCAGACCGTGATATCCGTCCCCCGGTCGCATTAAAATGACTAGGTACTCATCTTCATCTCGGTGATACAGCTAGTATTTCCCTTATAACCCACACTCAATTTCGTTGATGACCTAGCATGTTTTATTATCCCTTGATCCCTAGCCCGTCGTATCGTGATAAATCTTGAAATCACTACATACGTCTTAAAATTGGATCGGTTGCTCTCATTATTCGTTATAATGCGCTGTAGTTACCGGTCATAAGAACGAGTGTTACCACAGTGTCAAGATCAAGTTAATCACCACGCACTAAACGCTCATTCGTTAACTCTGTAATTTCTATATGGTCATCTACCTACATAAAGTAAGTACTTTCAGTCGATGGATTGATAATAAATAGCAACTGCTATTCCCTTTAGTCTACACGGTTTTTCCCCAAGTATGATATACAATCAGGACCGAACGACTGGGTGATGAAATCTAAATTATAAGAAGAATAGTTAAGACTTTAGTAAAGTTGTAATATCTATTATCAATATGAAATTAGCAACAAGAGTTATTATTTGACTAGAAGACGTATCTGTATTTACAACAGATCGATACCTCGATTGCTAGACTGGTTCAAAAACGTTATCTTGACATATAATGTCATATACCATAAGCCATGGTCAAATTGTGTCATAACAGTATGACACAACGTAAATTTCAGAAGATCCTCTATCATTCTAAATCATTCGAGATGCCAGCTAGCTGAAAGATCTTCCTGTGTAGTTGAGCCCAGAATCATTCCCGCCGTCAAAATTATCGTCGTCAGCGACGAACGCTGCCGTCCCGTTAGAGTACTTGCACTCTATATACTCGGGCATTGGCATTATGGGATAGTATCTATCCATCACCCTCTTAGCTCTCTCTCCAAAGGTAGCGTCCCACGGCATGCTCATCGAAGGAGGGATGGGCCAGCCTAGTTGCGTATTGCGTAGCCATAGTCGCACTAGATGTCTTGATGAAGTATTACTATCTAGGTACGACTCTCTACCATGTAGAAGGGCAAGATTGTTGATAAATATAAGGTCGCCAGGCTGGGTATCAAGTTGTATCTGGTGCTTCTGTGCTGTCTCTTCGAGCACAACGAGTGCCTCCTGTTGCTCTGGTGTAAGATTCGGAATTGAGCCGTTGCGAATTAAGGGATGCGGTCCTATACGAGAAGGGTCCATCGAAATTAATAGGTTCCCGGCATGGTACTCTATTAAGGGGCATAGAACAAAGGGGGGCTCTCTTCTAGAACTTCTTAAGTGATGTCAGCCATGCTTGTCTTACTATTCACAGGTATGGACTATAGGTTCTACTTACGTTTGAATTGGCCAGTCGTGTTTCGCCAGGGCGTGAAGGACCCAAGGCTTCGTCTGTACTAGGTCGTTATAAATGGCGGCCATGGACGCTACGCAGGTACGCCCACCCTCATCGGCTCGGTCTCGGACTTGAATAGACAGGATTTCGCATCCCATATCATTGTGGAATGGCTAAGACTGTCAGCTTAGGTCGCAAATTATCTTTGTATCTTCTGAGGCAAATTAGCTACATACCAAACTATAGTTAGTATGTATCCCGTGGCGTTTCTCCTTAGGTACCGTCCAGGACTTGGACTCGGTAACATGGGCTTTCCCTATGAATTAGCAAGCGGCAGAAACCAACAAGATGCATATAAACTTACATAACATATCGCCTTTGGCATTTTGAAGACCCCTTTCGTCTCCAATATAGCTTGCAATCGCGAGAAAGAGGACAATATTATCCTCAATAGTATAATTATCGGGGTTTAGTCCACGAACAATACATAACCCGCAGCCACGGTGAACTTCAAAAGCGCATTTTTCAAGCCTATCTTGAAGGCTCTGAAGAGGGAAACACTCCCGTGTTACCTCGTCGCCATCCAGCTCGAGTTCTGTGCAGATCCTAGTTAAATCACGTAGAGCCGGGGCGCGAAGTTTAGTAGGAGCTTACCATGGGACGAATTCAAAGTCTCCTCTACTGCCGCTACATCGGGGCCATCTAGGTCAAGTCTGTGTGGCTGTATTTTGTCAGGTCCATGGATAAGGGGTGGAAATCCCTTGGGTGGCTGGGAGACGCCGTTTTGCTGCCGGGACAAAACATCCGCGGCAAGACCATGGTCCTCGCGATGCATCCAAGGCTGCAGGCTGACGGGATTTTCGGAGGTCTGCGGGACTGTGTGGGTTGTCATATTGATTCGTATAATGGTGCGTTTAAAGGAGCTTTAAGGGTTGTTTTTGAGGATGAGAATCCGTTATCACTTTGGCGACTTATAGTGGCATCTACTTAAGGCGTTTTCCTCAGAATACCAGTCTTGACGACTGGCTCAACTATGACACAAAGCTGTGTTCCATGCTACCTATCATTGGCTAGGGCTAACTCCTCTTTTCCTGGAATTAAAATAGGGCATTTAGACTTGAGTTACAAACCGAGAAACTAATCGCATCGACTTTACATGAGACCCCTTAATGGCCATACCGGCGAGACGCAAATAGATGTGGTAACACTATAGAGACTCGGGGAGTTCTTGTGGTCTCATCCGGCCGAATTCCCGGAAAGAAACTGTATCGCTGTAAATGTAGACTGCCATTCCTTCGAGAAGGGAGGGCCCTCGCCGCGGTAAGCGGGATGGTGGGTATAGTGAAGCCTAATACTAGAGTTGAAGGGCGGTTTGGCATTTTCGCAAGGAAAAAGGAAAAAGGAAAAAGGAAAAAGGAAAATAAAAAATAAAAAATAAAAAAGGAAAAAGGAGAGAGGAAGCCGCCAGAAGCTTCGTTACCTAAGCTCTTAGCCCGTCATCGAGTAGGTAACGTCTCGTCTGATGAGCGCCAGAGCCGCCCAAATTTACAGTCTGCCAATTCCCTTATCCCAACGAAGACGAAGCTTCTAATGGTGTATGGGCTACAACAGGTATGGGTCAGGGCTACGGAACATTGGCATCTTTAAGTTATTAAGGGACAGCGGTCGAGTTCACGTAGTACAATATTCCTGCTTGATGATGTGAGCAACCGCTTCCCCGGGGGCACACTCCCGCGTTTTCCCCCACGAACCTCAGGAGACATTGTGCCTAACGTGGCGACCGGGAAAAACGGAAAGGGTGCCCTTGCTGTAAGGCAAGACTAAGATGGGACAATGGCTTTTCCATAAAGATTCTATTTATTGGCAACGCACCTCTCGGATGAGTTTCCAAGGGGAGCGTCTAGTAGGACCACTATGGCGATTGGTCCTTATTTGTTCCCTTTTGTCGATCGCATATGAGGCTGTCGTCGAAGGGGAGTTGCGGTCCAGCATTTTGACGAGCAGGGATTGAGACCGGCGAGGAAACACATATGGCACCTGAGCCTGGATCTCTAGGATCGTGTAACTGCGGCATATGACGGCGACAAGTCCGCACGAATCATTACAAAGTAGGGGGATGAAGATGAAGATAGTTTTAACTATATGACTGCTGTAGAATTTTATATCTACCTTAGGTACTTATGTACCCATGTTGTAAGTGGAATATAAGTTATGTATTATTAGTTCTATGATGATGATGACCCGCAAAACTCGACCGGCGGCTGTTGAGAAGTCAGGCTGGAGGCCTTCATGCAAGTTTCAATCCTCATCCTTGTCGTTATTCCTTATGTAATGTGCAGTCCAAGACAACATTGCAGCATGCTGTATGCTGTACGAGCGGTACGAGAAGACACAGGCCGGCCCTGCATTATTACCTCTCCGTCTTCTTCTGTCATGTGTTAGGTACCCAGGTAAGCATACGGAGATGTGTGCTAGCTGTTTATATTGTTGCAAGTGTAGGTATATCTGTTAATCATATAACCTATTAAGCATATACACACGTATATAGGTTACTATGAATGTATATGAGGATTATGATGATAACAATAATAACAATAATAACAATAATAACAATAATAACAATAATAACAATAATAACAATAATAACAATGATAACAATGATAACAATAATAACAACAACAACAATAATAGACAGTTTGGGAATGAGAGGACGAGGGTCCTATTTTTTTTTTTATTCAATCTTTTTATATTTCTTTGTTGATTAGAAAACTTGCATATATGTAGTAGTAAGTCGCATTAAGCAGTGGCTTGACTTCTTGCTTTTATCTCGGTCTCGGTGTGGTGCGAATAATTTGTTAGTCTCTACATCCAGACCACTCCAATGGCCATTGAGGGGTCGGCTCTCTGGTCGGGCGTCGTGTGTATACCATAAACGTACAGGCAAATGCGTAAGCTTACTTCTTTACAACGTCTTGCCACAGATCACCATCACACAGCTTTTAAAGCCCGTCGCGGGGAGACCTTTGCATAACTTTCCGGCTTGACGATCGTCCAAAAGTAGCTATCTCAGGGGGGAGTTTTATTTTTCATCCGGCGAAAAAAACTCCTGGATTTGAGATACCCCGTCGTGCTGCATCCATCCTATCCTGCCACGAGAATCAAGCTGACCGGGGAGAAACTCGTACCCATATTGCGTATTACGAGACCAGCAGTTACCCACTCATGGTTCTTTGCTACACAGTATTTTCGCCGGTTTCGAATTTAGAAGAATTAAGAACAACGATTAACACCCCCCCTGCGCCACTTTGCTATTCTTCACCGGCCGAGACGACGGTGAATGTGACGTACAGCGTACAGCGTACAGCGAATCTTTGAGTAACAGGCAGTTTTGATACGCGCACACGCGCACACGCGCACACATGCACACACCCTAGTGTCAGGATCATTGTCGTTGTTAGCTGGCTAAGAAATGAGATCAGATCACTAGGTAGAGAGAGCCCATGATGGATGGAACTGCTGTTTCCGTGGTCCAACCTGTTCCCACACTTGTAAACTCCTCTTCAGTCCACCGCTCGACCTCTACCGGGGTTACGCCAATTGACCAGACGTCATGGAAACCTGGGAAACGGTCTCGGATCACATTATCCCCTTCCTCAGCCAACTATAACCCCAGTCCTCCTCCCCCTTCCTCACGGATCACGAAAACCAATAACTCTAAGCAAGATGGGTCCAAGCTGTCACCCTCATCGCTGACTAAACCGTCACCCAAGAGACGAAGAACAGCTGCCGGCGTTGTGACTTCAGTTGCCGCCGCCGTCACCGCAACATCGGACGATCTTAGGCACCACCCTTCTAATACTAATACTAACTTGGGCCACTCCATTCCGCCGGGGCCTCTTAATTACGGTGTAGAACCCATCGTATCAAATGCAACGAGGGATCACTTCAGCCTGTCACCTACTACCCTCACACAGGAGCAAGGTCCGAAAGGGTATGACTGGTCTGACAACGATTTAGCCCAATTGGCCTCAAGTAGCAGCAGCTTTCCCTCAGTATCCTCCCCGTTAGTCTCTTATCTAACTACACAAGAACCCACATCGTACTATAATTTTCCGGGAGGTTGTTTGGCAGATTACTCAGGTTTAACGACGCCCAGCTATCCTACCTATACCTTCCTCCCCCCTTGGAAGCCGGTGAAGACGCCAGACATGCTCGTCGAATATCGACCCCGTCTTGACGGTGGCTCCTCTTTTCCGGAGCGACGGCCACCCGGGTCCAGCCCCTTAGTCCTGGAGGGGCGTGATGAAAAGAATCCAAGCGAGCCTATAGATGAAGGGTGGGTAGATTTGGGGCTATCGATAGAGAAGGACAGTGCTAGCCATCACGACGGTTCCCCACAGGTTTCCGACCTCTCAGGTAAAAGCACTCCCATACCCGAGGAAGAATTATGGGAAAATGTCGATGAAGACGACGTTGCCATTGATGAAAACTGCCCAGTGTCTCACCCCGAGAGGCGTTCCCGGTCACGCCCGAGTAATCAGAACCGTAAGGAGACGGGAAGCACCCGAAAGTTAAAGGTAGATTCTTTTCTTAAACCACCCCTTTCTTACACGCCGTACTATGGTAGCGTCTTGTCAATAGCTGACGTGTTTACGGGCCTGCATTCGATGTCGTATGCAGAAAATAAAAGTAGGTAGACCAATTATTAAGCGTATGTGATGCTGCGAAATATTATCTACTCACACCTATCCCACAGTGCAAAGCAGATCCGAAAGACCCGCGAGGAGTTGATTGCTTGACCTGCCGTGACATCAAATTAGAATCTAAGAAAGTGATCCATAGACTTCCATGTCTGCGATGGAAGCTTGCCGAAGTCGCCCTTTTCCGCGAGGGTGGTCTTGATTTAACGAAACGATGGGGTGGTACCCAAATGAAAGATCTTGGACCGCGAGACTGGGTTAACAGCAACGACGTCCGCACAATTCATATGGTCATGGGAAGCCGCCGCCCGATGGTGTTGAAGGTCAAGAAGTTCACGCCTATTGGTGGGGATGTCACTTGTAAATACTGGGTTGATACGAAGGGGGAAAAACACAAAATCGATATCGAACCTTATGCTCTCGCAAGCATCTGGGAAACTGCTGAAAGATACGAGGAATATATATATGATTACGCGCGCCCGGCTATACGAGAGTACGCTCAAGATCGCCAGGTCGATGTTTTGGTGCGAAGGACTTACCAGGCGGCGTAAGTAAACAATTCCTCAGTGTCTGTGTCTGGACGATTTCACTTTCCACTGTCATGAATCCCGTCGAATGGAACAAATCTTACAATGTGTCTCCGCAGGATAGAATACGCTCAGAAGTGTAAAGTGAGATTATACACCCGAGTCGCGTAACATTCTACTAAGGAGCTGCTCTTAGAATACCTCGGTTGAATCGCGATTAGAAACTATGAAGAATGCGGTTCTACTCGAACAGTATTTTTACTTGTGGTTTGCAACTAGTTAGTAGCTTGTGGATGGTATCTCTGGGCCTGGTGGGATGGCTGACTTGGAGGAGCAGGAAATACTCTGAGATCAGCATTCATCGTGGGAGAAGAAACGCTGGATATGAAGGCAATAGATAACCCCGAATGTCCGTACTGTGGGACGATACCAATACCGCGGATGATCCCAGCGCAGTTCGACTCCCTCGGAAACCGGGTGCTTGTACGATCAAGAAAGCTTGTACTCGAGAACTTATGGAAGGTAATGGCGGGCAAGAATCCGCACCACTTTTACTTTGTTTACCTGATCGTGTTCATGCTTCTCCACGAAGTTTCGTTCACCTCTGCCGATAGGCTACGCCGGGCCAAGGACAATAAATATACTGTGAGCGCTGAGAAGCGATGCCAGCTCATAGCCGGCTTGGCTAATCTAATGTGTATGTAGGAATACCGATACGATCTGGCGAAGTTTATGGAAGGGCTCCAAGAGGGGGCGAATAATATCCTTAGCCATTGGCATTATTATAAACGAGACGTCAATACATTGATGATGGAAATAGAATCCGAGGACAGGAAGAACGCGGTCTGGGGAACTTTGAGCTCCGGCGAGGCGAAACTACTGATCGAAACGCACGAGGCCTATAGAAAATGTGAGCATCTTGGCCTTCTAGTGATTTAGGTACCTACACCTTCGTGTTGACTGACGAATAATATAATATACAGTGGCAGGGCAGAAGTTGGAATGGGAGCACGACCTTTACTTTGTATCGCAGATGTTTGAAGAAAACTGGCATCCGCGTAAGACATTTAGCCGGTAGAAATGAGAAGGAATGCACCTACACTTATATATACCTTATATATATATATACCTTAGGTATTGATGCGCACGCGAAGCAAGGGGGACAAAGGTGACGATAGTTGCTATCAGCATACTTCGGCATGGACTTAGCAGCTGGGATTTCCACGAATCACATTATATTGACTGCATGCCTTGAATAAGTTCGGACATTCTCTTGTGACTAAGAGGTATATTACATTTAATATGTTAAGATGTAGAAGAAAAGATGCAGCTTTTTAATTAAAATGCGGTCTGAAGGTTGTAATTCGTACCGAATGTAAGGGGTGGAAAGGGTAGGTACATGTAGCTAGGTAGAGCTAAGCCACTGTTGCCACAGCATGTACGACCCTACATACACATGATTAGGTACCTACGGATCAGTAGTGTAATTCTTATCTTGCCAAGTGGCCTCCTATCAATACATCTGTCATTTTAGGTATGTACATGTAGGTACCTGAAAAGCACCCGTACAAGGTAGCGACGCAATTGTAAAAGTCGCCAGATCGCATTTAAGAATATCGCCAATTCGTCGTTGTCTCTACCCAACCGACCGCTGCCACCTTTTTGGTAATTCGCTTGCCGCTCCCACTTTTGTCATCCACGATCCGAATCTGAGTGTTCTACAATTTATATACATTTACATTTCCTACTTTGTACCAAATAACCAGTCCAGCCTCGATTCTTTGGCAATCCGAAAACCGCACCGCCGACATGTCTTCCGAGCTCGAAACTTTCATCATGCTGCCCTTGCAGATCGACCCTCAGACCAAGGCACTAACAGCGACGTCCAGCTCGCGCGCTCTACAATCCGAGCTGGCTTCGCTCAACGCCTTACACCGCTCCCTCCTCGCGCTCGATACGCCAAACCAGGTCCCGCCCCCGCCACTCCCCGTGAACCCGAAGCGGTCGGCCAACGTTAGTAAACTGCGAGATAGCGGTAACGCCGAATATCGCAAGGGAAAGCACGCCGACGCCGTCAAATTCTACACCTTGGGTTTGCAAATGGCCCTGACGCGGCCGCCGTGGGAACCCCAGCAGCTGGTGCGCGAGGAGGTCGCTGCCCTCTACGCCAACCGCGCCCAAGCTCACATGGCCCTGCAGAACTGGGCTGAGGGCGCCTCCGATGCCGAGGCCAGCGTTGAGGCCAAGCGCGTCGGTAACTCGAAGGCCTGGTGGAGGCGGGGCAAGTGTCTGGTGGAGATGGGACGGCTGGTCGAGGCCAAGGAATGGGTTAATAAGGGCTTGGAGATGGAAGGCGAAGAGGGCGAGCTGGTCGCCTTATTGAAGGACATTAACGTAAAATTGGAGAAGAGTAATTCTTAAAGTGTACACTGGCGTTGCTTTTCTTTCAAGTTTTACGTTCCGAGATCAGGTATTCACTCTAAAGGCGTCTAGGGAGTTGGTTGGTAGGCTATGTATATATCATTCTTTCAGACTTTGTTATATCGTCCCTCATTGACCTTGGACCTGACTAAACCTTGCCGATTCCTGAAGGGCTGAATCACACAAGGGGTCGGAGAGAGGGGACATTTGACATGCAAGTGGATTGCCTGCTGAAATATGGATAAAATATGCCAGTCTCTAGCTTGTATCTCCCTTTCTAGCCTCTTCCACAATCTACCCTATGCATGCTCCCTAACCATCTAGTGATGGCTGTAACCTAGGAAGATGATTCCCGGGACTTATGATATTACCTTTTAATATCGAGCTCCAGCCGAACCCCTCCAGATACGCCTCGTCTATCGTATCCGTCATAGACAACTAGTAGGCTGACTTGGATTTGTGAAGGGATGTGATCCTGTCGCAAACTCCATTCCTCTTAGGCCAGATGCTGAATCAGCCTGCGTGTCTCGGTCCGTAGGTAAAGATTTGAATAGAAATGATATGTCGGCCTCTCGAATTCATCCTTAAGACCGACTAACAATGAGATAAAACGACGACAACATAAAAAAAAACAGGAAATGCTTTAGAGCTATCGCTGTCGCTCGCCTGGTATCATCCTCCAACGTCCTTTAATTACTTGCTTCTCGTTTCGGGTTGTTTCGTTTTCCTCTCGATTTACAGTAGCCTTAGTGTTGTTGCTTTTCCGGATCCTTCTCACGGATGCTTCGGTTCCTTGGCCTCATGACGGCATCTTGACTAGTCATACGACGCTCGAGCGCACGGTCGAGCTTAGCACCGAGGGCGAGCTTGTTAAGGTTGGCCGACTTCTCTTCAGACAGGACGACTCGCTGACTTGACAGAGCCCTATTCTCCATGCGCGCGAGCCCGGTCTCGATTTCGCGAATCTCAGCGTGCGCCGAATCGGTCGTTAGTACTGTTGCCGTCAATGACGGCGCTGTGCTATATGTGCTGTATCGCACTGATGCGCGGGGGGAGCCGATCTATATTTTGAACGGCGCGTGTTAGCTCTTCATGTCTCGGGATTGTTTTGTTTTCTATAATAAATGCGCAAGACCGATGATCAAACTACATAGGTTAATAGATTAGGCTGGCGAAACACGAGCCAGGTAAGATGAGAATGAGGTAAAAATAAAATAAAAATAAAAATAAAAAAGACATTTATTACGTACAGTAGAAGGCGCCATGATAGGGCGCGATGAATCTAACGAAGTAGGCATCGTTTCTGCGAGGTCTACCTAGGTATATACTAAATATCGATTTCTCTTTGTGGTGGGTTGGTTACGACAGGCTGGTTTTTATGACAGATTTAACTGCAAATGCTGACTGAAAAGAAGCGTTGGTTTGGGAGTAGTGGAAGTAGTGGAAGTAGTGGCAGAGTAGTAGAGTGATAAAGTGGTAGTATGGTGGTAGTGGTGTGGTGGATTCGAAGTTCGAAACGGCGCTATGCAGGGATGGGACGGACGAAGACGGGATTGAATCGATACATGTATGAATGACCTTATGCCTATCAATTGAGTAGTTCGCTGTAAGAGGGAAAATATGTTGGTACGCAACTATATAAATATCACACGATAGAAATAGTTACGAACAAAAAAAAACCATGGAATAGGGGGTGCTAAGCATCAAGAAAAAAAAACAGAATCTAGACACATAAAAAAAGGGGGGGAGGGTGATGGTGATGGTGTGTTAGGTACCCGTGTAAGTGGTTGAAATGCAGATTACATACCTACTCGTGGGAGCCGTGGGAATGCTACTATGTAAGTGCTATGTTAGGTTATATTGTCCAGCCAGCCTAAGGAACCCTGCGAGGCAAGCTGGATAGATCATCATAAAACGATCTGAGCGGTATTATATCATAATAATAATAATAACAATCGTAACTCCTTGCATCATGAAACTAACTCGTAAAGACTTAATGCATAATAGTTGACGTAAACCTAGGCGTATTGCATTGACCAATTTTATTATCTACTACTTACTTGGTATAGTTATACCTAGTTATTTGAATAAAATCTACCATCTATGTGAAGTTTGTATCCCGTCTTCCCCTGTCCCGCTGTCCCGCTATGAGTAGGTAACGGCGGCCACATGGCTCTGAACCCGCCTCTCGGCCACATGTATGCAGCATGCAGTCAGCTACCAGCCAGCCAGGGAGGCTCACCGATTTATGACTAGGCTATCTACCTAGGTACATATGTACCTATGTTATGAATAAGAAAATAGTTGAGAGTAGCCTTTGTCGTTCTCTTGTCTTGTTTCAAGAATGTCGTGGCCTCGCGTGCCGTTCTTTTCTAATGCATTACCTATACTACCTCATAATACCTATATGTAATTCTTGCCACAATACCCCCGCGGATTCCTGTACAGGAATGGAAGTTCAGGTAAAATGGTACCTGGTTGACTCCGCCCAAGGTCTCTCTTGAGCTCGGTTTCTGCTGATCATGCAACATGACGACTGCGCTATTAGATCCTGCGGTTACTGCTACACGCGTGAAAACCTACCGTACCTTGAAGTAAGTAGTTATTCATTACCTATACCCAGAATATTAACTATCGTCATGAGTCATTTTATCGTGTAGATATCTAATATAGTTATTTGCCTATGCTAGCATAAGTTACTTAGAAAGTCTACTAGTTACCTAACCTAGGATTATTCGTATCGAACAGCCCAAGCAGCCAAGGCAGATTTATAGCCTTGACGCCCGGACGTATTTTTGCTTGGCAACGTGTGTCTACAAGGTTCTTCCCCCCTCGTTATCTTTTGTTGGCGAGGAGTTCCATGGAGACCAGCACGTGGCCCAATGATCATCATGTCGATCTGCCAAGGAATCCCGTTTCTCTACCTAACCTAGGCAATGAAGGACCTCCATCGACCTAGACTCTAACCGACGATAATTCGAGGGGTAGCAGGCTCTAACCCAATCCTAATTGAGGGGGCCCTATCGCGGGATAGGTGATGATATGCGACTTGCATTCTCATAAACGGAAATGATACTGAATATGTAATGTATCACACTTGCAGACACATGCAGGGAGAGAGTTATCACTTCGTCAACCCGCCAACCCGCCAACCAGGCTTAAGGAATAGCCATTTTTCACTATCAAAAGTTTGGATCGTTGCTAATTGCAAAACATACGGCCAAGGGATCCCTGTCTGGTCCAGCCTATCTCACAGCTTTCGTCAGACCTGCATGTTGCGCACGTGGCGGTAAGGTAAGCTGAATGTAACCCTGGGGTATTATTGACAGCCTCCGGATGGCAAGGGTATTTTATACATACACATCGCGCAATAGGAGATGAGGTATGCAATGATATTTCATATTCACATTACTTGTAGGACAGCCTCTCTTTACACTCACCCGCTTCTAATAATGCCTCGACCCGCCATGTCTGTTAACTAACGTCCGTAATGTATTGAAGATACCAGTGAAGTAGTCAGCTTTGCCGCGAGGCCCAGACCAGATATATTATTCGGTTATTCATATTAAGCTCCTAACTGGCGGCTGAGACCTAGAGCGAAGCTGTAATTCTTAATTGAACCGCCGCCAAACGTACACTATTTGCTGAGCACCTATCTAGGTAGGTATCTGTTAAGGTAAGGCGCAATATTCGTGCGGGCAATGTAACTTCCTGTCCGTTGCTAGATATTGCGTTCTAGCTCCTTTTCTCATCCGCTAGACATTTGCCTCTACGTTGCAGAAACCAACAAGTTTTCACATTCACACTTCATAATAGACCCGAGTAGCTGGCAACACGCCGAGTTTCATCTGGTCTCACTCTGCTACCGGTCAGCCGGTTACAGTCAGTGGCGACCCGCTACTTGAAGCGAATAAGGACTCTCCTTTATCAAAGACGAATTACTGTCTCAGCTGGTGGATATTAAACGAAAGTAGTACTCATGTTGAAACCGATACGGGTTCCTTGGCCATACCTGGTTCAAATTAGCGAGAATTGAGGCCAGTTTAGTGATGACCCTATCTCGCATAGAACGGGGTAATGCTGAGAAGAAGCTGACCACATATGCTAATGACATTTCTACGGATGGGACACTCTTAGCGGTGAGGGCAGCGAAAAGACATGATACATTTTGGGATCGCTAAAGCGACGAGTTCAACCACCATCATTATACCAAGAATGACTGAATGACTAATCGTATATCTAGTACGACTCTTGCTAAGGTCCGAGAGCGGCAAGATATCAACCGGTCAAGCGTACTAGTAGGGTGAAGTAATGTATAGGGTACGTTTCACAGATATCCCTTTCTCTCCGCATGTATGCTATGGATACGATACAGCCCTATATGAGTATACTATCTTTCAACAACGTTTCCCTCCGTAACTGACTGTTATACCGAGTGAGTGTGGCCTACTGTGTCAACCCAAAAGCCAGTAGAGACTATGGTCCTTTTCTTTCCCTCATTGGTATAGACTCGCGTATACAGTTCAATGATGGATGCGGCCCTTGTTGTGTGATTTCTTCTTCCCGTTCGATATTTTTGGCTTCTTCGAATATTCAGCGCTCGTGTCGTGGCTTAGCCGACGGGAGCCTCGAGAGTTTGAAGTTGTTGACGAAGTGACTGGTTCGCTTTCATCTGACACGGCGGGACGACTCACGTTGTTGTGGCTGAAGTCGTACGCCGTTCCTCGCTTGTGTGCGGAGCCTCGCGCGGTATTATGAGCCTTGCGGCTGCTCTTCCCTTTTCGAACTTCCGCGAACGATATTTCCGGACTCACGCCTCGCGACGTCGCTATGAATAGTCAGGAGGATCTATTCCCATGTGCACAGCAGTTTAGTTCATACCCTCACAGGATGGGCTGCATGAGCTGCAGCAACCATGCCCACAAGGCATCTCCATCTCCTCAACCTTTCTTGTTAGGGGATTCCAATCCGTCCTACGGCATAATGAGGTGCACCACCCCTGAGTATTAGGACCTTTTCCGCAGACGCAGCAAATCCAGCTCCCCATTAGGGCCTTGAAGTTGCAGTTCTGCAGGGGACAGTCGACGTTGGTTGGCTGCGGCGTTGAGTAGATCGGGTTCGAGCAGGGTGTCTCATATCCCGTGTCCAGATCGAACATGGCTTCCGGACAGTACAGCCATTTGACCGATGTGTGAGAGCAGGGGTGATAGTGAGGGTGTCCGTGGCACATTTTCGCCGGTTTTTTGGTGCGAAGACTTAAAATATGACGGCACACGACTACGAGGTTAGTGTTTTGCCGAAGAGGACGAATTGATCAATCTCAACCCAAGTCCCGGACATCTTCAACCTCTTATATATGCTTACCTGTACTCGTAGGAACCTATGTATTTCTCCGGGAGCGACGTGAGTACTGGTAGCCTGTTGGGTCTTTTTCCTCCCACGCACAAGTTCCAGCCTCGATCATCCTTGTGTCGATAATGATGAAGACACACATCCCCCCCTATCTGGTGCGTCACAAGCAAGACGCCCCAACTCTGCAACACGTCGAGTGAACAAGATTTCCGGGGGTAAGGATCAGCAGCTCTTTCCTTCGTATTGGCGAGCGTGTTCCCTCGACCCAGGAGCGATGGCAGCGACCTGGGCGAGGTACAGATCTTTGTCTCGGGTAGCAGTGTGAATTAGTGCGACTATGACGCCCCCAGCAGCAGCCTACAGTCCAATCGCGATATTCGCGCTCCTACTAGGTCAGCCCATCTATGCTTATTCTTCCTCCCCCTTAGCCGGACTCACTATTGGGTACTTGACACACATGTGCATCATGTACGACACCGTATATTGCCGAGCGGGTGGGCCTGACTGGGTATAGATCTCACACGATCTGGGCGATCCAGCTAATTGCTTTTCACGACTGAGACCCGGAAGGTGTTCTAGTTACTGTGGCGTCATGTACGGTTCTGAGATCGACCAGAAACCAAGGAGCCGGATTAGGTTGGCTGAGGATCATTGCTTTTTTCGCTTGCTGGCCAGCAATCTTCCACATCTACCACTTCCTAAATAGACCTGCTCTTCAACTTTCAACTCCTTTCCGGATCGATATTTTTAGTTTTATTAAACTCGTTAGGGTACGGTACTCAAGGCCATCGTGAGCTATGAACAACATGTCCGTCATATTCTAACGCTCAGGTTCCCCTTTTTTTTCTTTTCTTTCCTGTACGGCTCTTGGAGTGCGATGTTATTGCTTTTAAATTACCTTCCTATTCTGTTCTCTGTGGCTCCCGTAACGAAGTATTAATCTTTCATTCAGGTCCGCCACATTTAATCATCGTATCTTACACAGCTTCAATGAAGATATGCCGAAACTAATCCACGAATTGAAGTCATCTTTTTATGCAAAGGTGGCCTCCCCCTATTCGTAGAGTTGAATATCGAGGCCTGGTTCCCAAACAGTGAACTTTTCCTTCCAAGATTCGCTAATACACAGCCCTTTTATCGCTGTAGCCCTCCTCCCTACTAAGCCTCAGTAGCCGCTTCGCATGTTTCACAGCAAATATGCCCACAGCGATACTCCTGTCTATCAATGATCATCACGCAACTACAACGACCTAAGGCAACGTTAGAAACCGCAGAAAGCCTTGATTCTTGATTAGAATTATGGTATCGACTTGCCTTGGTCATTCCACTCCTTGCCACACCAGCAACAGTTCCAATAACCTCCTCGTTCCTCGAAGGGACAGTTTGTCAAAGGGCATGTGGCCTGTGTCCCAAACTGTGGTGGGGGTGGCCAAGGCACGGCATTTCGAATGACCCTGCTACAGGTCCTCCGTTCCTTGCGTGACTGTCGAGATGGCGGGGGAGCATCCGAGCAGTAGAGGGTTCGGGTAACGACGTGCTCGCACCGGAGCGTATAGGCTGTTTCGGTACACATGATATGGTTATGTGGTTTCTTGGGGGGAATCTTGGGATACTAGACAGAAAGGGGAGAATGGAGTAGAACTAGGTCATATTGTTTACGTCGAGTCTTGCTTGGTACTTGGGCGGCCGGCACATGCGTGGTTCTTATCTTCTGGGACTACCTGTGCTTCGCCCTAGTTTTTGCGTAGTGTAGGTACAATGGAACGTGCCTGATTCTCGTTGTATCTGCTTCTTAGAATATACCTGTAGATCGGTCGAAGTTTATTTGCAGACGTCGGCGACCAAATCTAGCGTACCCATCTATTCTATGAATCGGGAATTATTGAACTAAAACCCACGTGTAAATTGCGATCATTGCTTATAGCGTTGTGTGCTCGCCTACCGTAGTCGAATCACGTCCCGACACTCTGGTCCACGCGGCGGATGATCCAGAGACCTGGGTGAAGCAACCATCCGCGCGGTACCAATATCCAGGGGCGCTTGGGGTACACGCAAGATGATGTACGATCGCTCGGGAAGCCACATTTGTGTGGAAAGACAGATTACTTCTAGAAAAGCAAAAATATTCTTCATGGGGCTCGACAAGGCGAGCGCAACTATCAAAAGCTGTCATACATAAGATCAAGCTACCACGTGGCGAAGTCGCCGATCTCGTAATGAGAACCCAATAATGCAACCAATATAATCTAGCATGACTTCCCAAATTCGAAACGGGTCTCACTCTCCTAACTCTTAGCATAAGGAGGCTCATCTTGGCTTTTCTATCCCAAATTTTCGATAAGAAGGGGAGAAGGAATCACAAAGATCTTGTAAGTGATGGAGGAGACACCGCGGAGGTTTATACCGAACAAAACGACAGGCTCTCTGTCCGAGTTATCAAACTCCCCTTTGCACACATACCCTCTATCCATGATCCGGACGACAGTTCTGACATATGGAATGATAGCAAAGAGCATCGGGGATCTTCTTCATTGGACGAATGCACCACCTGAGGGTATTCCCTCCGCGATTACACTGGCAGCAAATCCAACACCCACCGACATCCTCCAGCCTGCAGCTGCCAGTACTGCATTGTTGCGAGATGAGGCAACCCCCAGTAACGCAAGGGTTGTTGTAGTCTAGGCCCTCAATGGAGTTGTACTCTGGGGCATAAGTAAGCGCCTCGCATGGCTGTTGAATCCACTGCTCTCCATTCTCGACATTGCTGGCGCCAACAGAACTTGGGGGACTCAAACTCAAGGTGACGGGTGCTGAATTCGGACAGAAAGAGTAGTGTACTGCGTACTCGATGTCCCGGGTGCAAGGGGCCAAGTGGTGATAATGGAGGTAATAATATGTACACATATTTGCTTCTTGGAGTGCTTAACGTCAATCTCAGTTCAGATTAGCGTAGGGATATCTTAGACCATGAGTAAAGACCGGGTAAAAAGGGCTCCCTCTGGGACCGAGAATTAGTCCTTTGGCGATTTAAACTATTACATGACACGAAAATGCGATTTAGATCCTTGGACGCTCTGGGCCAGTCCTTGAGGCTCCTAGCGTCGAAATAAGATGTTAAGAATTATAAGATCATGATATGGATGAACAGGAAGCTCTGTGATACACAAAGACGACGGCTTGCCTCAATGGCTCACCCTGCGTAGGTTTCTTAACAATGAGGAATAGGGAGAATATGGTAACCGCATTGAAGGATTTGGATAGCTAGAACATCATCATGGCCATCGAGGAGGTTTTATAAGATTTCAAGGCTCTAGATTGATATCTGAGTACCTAACCTGGCTTCTTGTCGGTTGAATTTCTCTCAAGGGCTGAACTGTTCGTGTACCCATTTCGGCCTCAAACGAGGAAACTCCCAGAATTCCCATATAGTAGCCAAGGCCAATATCATCCCATACGATGATATTCACATGATACATTCCCCAAAACTCGCATATTATCTGAATAACTGTCAACTACTGTCCAACATATTGTTTCTGGCCGCGGCGTATATACACATGGGGTAGTTTCTCATGGGAGCTCGTGTAATAAGGAGACACTGCTATTATGGACATGAAGCCCGAGACAAACTTAAGACATTCCTAGATCGTGATCCGGAAGCGTCTACGAAATAAAGATAAAACTAATTTTCTTCAGATATCGGCTACCATGTCTGCGACCTCGAACTGATTGGACTTTGTAAAATATCGTCGAATGTGTCGAATGTTAGATAAATATATCAGCGACAACACTGCGAAGAATAAACTCTGGATCGTTGGAATGAGGGCTTTAACTTTGGGGAACGAAGAATTCGATAGAACATACCTTAGGTAGTTAGGTAGATTTACTAAGATGGAGATTCATCTCATAAGATCCAAGGAAGTAGGAAAGTATTTATTTATGTAATACTTACTGTCTTGCTTCGCCGGCTGAGTCATAAATGACTAGTGGTACTTGAATCTTTGTAGCCACCGAGTATTCCGTATTCCGTATTCCGAATTATATGTGTTGCTATAACCCGAAGACAATTGGTATCGTAGCCCCTTGCGACCAACTTAAGCTATATTCAAGTGAACACATCAACGTGGAACATCACAGTATCTCGCCGTGATCATGTAATGGTTACACCTTGTTATCTACCACTGACATACCCTGGAATCGCCATGTATGATAGATATTACGTTTTATATTGAGTGCTATAACGAAACGCATGTTCTATTATACAATGCTTGAAGCTGCGAGCCATGTTACGACGGCGTGTCCCTAATCCAGTTAAGTAATGCAACAATGTAGTGATAAGATTTATGGCCTCGTCCGGCTACTGAACCGGCGAGATTTCGGATAGATTTTCTCTGTCGTGAATACTTCTTTTTCTAGCCGTATGCAGTCATATACGGGGAACAAATGTCAGTCTAACAACTAATAGCAAATTATAAACCGCGTAGGAGTCTTCCATGATCACGTTATAGATTTAGTCATAACAGATGCTGTGTTTTAACCACTGGCACGTCCTTGTGTTGAAGCCGAATCTCAGATGGTATTGGGGGCAATGCGTATGACAAGGAGTCGATGTCTCTACCTAATCTTTGCATCCCAAGACGACATGTTAATTATATAATGCCGAGAATAGGCGTCGTGCGTGTGGCAAGGACGTGTAAAGAATAGACCGTGATATCACGTCTATAGATTCAAGCCTTAGAACACATTTCCCCTGGATCGCTTCTCAACCGTCTCAAGCTTCTTAACATTAATATTCCTCCAAACAATGACACAGATAATTGTCAGAGGAATAAGTGCAGAGCCGACGATAACCATCTTCCTCATTACATCGCCATATGCTTCAATGACGGCGTCTCGAATTGGTGTGCCGATTGGATACTCCATTTGCTTATTGATGTCTCCGTAAATAGCAGCAGTCATATTCTTGCTATCCTCAGGGAGGAATTCATATAGCTTGACCGGAAGAATATTCGTCCAAATGCCGCCTGCAACAGCGTAACCAACAGAAGAGCCGACGGAGCCAAATAGGCCGTAAATAGCAAGGGCAACAGCAACATCTTGGTGCCTAACGGATGCCATGGTAATAAGCTGAGACATCTGATTAAGTACGCCCGCGCCAAAGCCGACAAGTACTTGGCACATGGCAAGGTAGCCAACCTGAGCGCCAGGAACTCTGAAATATATGATGAGAGCGGTACCTAATAGATATATGGGGATGGCGACCAGAGCAGGATACTTGACGTGACCGGTGTAGCGAATATATCTGAAGATGATGGCATTAGCAGGCTTCTTGACAACTAGGGGCTCTAGTGCTCTTACAAGGCGACGAATGGACCGGCGAAGTACGAAGTAAGAGAGTAAGCATTGAGCACGTAATTCGCGATACTGATACTGAGGCCTTGGACAACCTGGAGGTAAGAGCTGTAATAAGCATCCCATATACTATACTAAGTATTAGCATCGGGCTGCTCGAGTTAATCACTCGGGCAAGAATAAAGAGGAAACTAACAAGGTGGTCAAAAAGACCATGAAATACGACAGTACAGCGCCTAAGAAGGTTCTGTCCTTTAGAAACTCGAAAGGGAAGAACTTGACACGGGCGAAAAATCTCTCCCAAATCGCGAATGCGGCGAGACTGACCACGCCCATCACAATCATGACAATTACGCTTGCACTCTGCCACGAGTGCGAGGCCGAGCTCACAAGACTGAATGGGAGGAGGATGAGTGTGAATCCCGCCGAAACTAAAATCGCGCCCATAACTAGATAGGACACAGCTTGTTAGTAGTGAAGATATTCCTTGCTAAACCCCTATATGACTTACTATCAAACTCGATGATATAATGTAGAGTAGATTGTATCGGCGTGCGACCTGATTTCGGACGCAGCAGGCCTAACTTCTTTGCTTTCCGTTCGTGATAGAAAAGGATAGCAACCACTGGTAGAGATACCGCGAGTAAGATAATGGTGAAGGCACCGAATGCCCATCTGAAGTTGACCTTGGTGTAAAATAGCTCGGCAATTCGAGGGCCAGCAAAAGTAGTCGCAAGGTTAGGAGTCGAGTTGAGCGCAAAGATAAACATTCGGTTCTTGAGCGTAGTAATATCGGCTACGAAGACATCGATAACAAAACCAAGAGCGACGTTGCCGACCCAGGCGAAAACCTGGGCTGCGGCATACGTCTCAACATTCTGGCAGGTCGCCTTCATGATCATGCCAACAGTGATTAGAAGTAATGACCCGACAAAGCCTTCCATACGTCCCCTAATATCGATAATTTTGCCAAGACTAAGTGTGACAACGCCACCAATCACTCTAGCAGCGATGTTGATGACCGCTAGTAGGCCGTGCCTGGAAAAGGAGGACGTGACATATGGAGATAGGGAACTATCGATAGACGAGAGCAGCGCGGACACGAAGGATACAAGCCAAAGGCTACATTTGTTAGAGGTCGACTGTACGGGTTTTGAGTAAACATTTATAGCTTACAGAGCGAAAGTAGACCATAGGGATTTATTCGACCAGACGGTAGTGATAGCTTCAACTCGTTTGACACCATCTTGTACGTGCGTCGAGTCGTCGTCTGACTCGGTTTTGGAGCCTTCGGGTACTTCAGTCGCAGGTTGGACCGGGAAAAGGTCTTTCTCGATATCGCGACCGGTAGAGGCATGCGCCTCAGCAGGGGAGATGGTCGACATTGTAAGCCGGACCGTTGTAAATCGTGCGTACCTACCTATCTTCCTATCCAAATCGTAGGCGCAGGGGGAAAGAGGATTTAAATGAAGAAGGGAGGCTGGTCACTAGCATTTATTAAGAGGTAGGTAGTGATTTAATACAAACTACGATTATACAGATCTCGTAACACCATATAATTTTACCCCTACTTGCCTCGGGTCTAGAATCCATAGGTACTTAGATCTCAGCTGGAAGACTAACACATGATGTTAGGCTTTATGTACAAGTAGCCCTGTTGGCAGCACCCGGCGGCCGAGGAACGGATCCGAACGACGACTTTGTCGAAGACGCTTCCCCCGAAAAAGGCAATAAAGCCGGTAGACGAACAAATATTTTGACAACCTTCCGAAATCTTCCTGCTTGTCCCCGACGATCGAGAACTGCAAATTTTATCAGATGATCTGATAAGATGATTGAGTGGGGGTCTTCCCGTGGTCTTTGCGTGAGGCTGGTAGGAGAATCCCTGCTGCATGCGATAGTAGGCGGCGTCTGTGACCTATCACGGTTAACATCTGGTCTGTGCCCTTGGTTATTCGTATACTACGTAGCATTATCTACCCGCCGCTCCACGTCGCTTCGACGCCGTAGCCACTCCGTATGGGTATTGGTCTTATACATAGTAGCACTTAGACTCTATTTTCCTCTGCTGTGTTAGTACCTATCTTGGCATTAGTCATAATTGGCATTAAATATGGCAGACATCAAGTTTGCTTGGTTTGATATTTATGCGAGGGAGTCCTTCCCGAAATTTGAGCGAGTATTTTGCCTTTGAACTGTAAGGGGGGTTTACCTCTTGATTGTGATACTTGTTACGGATTAGACAGTGATCGAATGGGTTTCTACCTAGTAAGCCTTCTGTACTGCTCCTATGTCCGTGCCTACGGGCCGCAACACAAATGGGTTCGAATCCCACTGTGGTCAAACCAAAAATGGTCCAACTCAGGTTTTTCCTTGGGCATTGCCGGGCGCTGAGGGTGATTCCATCTCCGTTATAAGAAGGCGTGTTCGACGGTTTTTCCCCTGATTAAAGTCGGCTACCTGGCGCCGGCGCTAACCAGGTAGAGTAATGCTATAGGCAGGTAGGGGCTGGGGATAGGAAGTGGAGGATCTTTCATGTCATGCGAAACTCTAGCTCTGTCTCTCTAAGGAGGTCGAGGTACTCTAGACGTCTAAAGCGCCATAGATGCGCCTTGCTGTAGTTACCTAGCTATAGCAAAACCAATAGACGTTAACGTTCTCATCATCATCATCATCATCATGTACTGCTCCTATGTTCTATAGCATTTTCCTTCGTGAGAGTTAACTATTATGATGAACATAGGATACAAATACAGCGTTAAAGGATCAGGTTTAGTACCTATATTAGACATGGACTAAACCGGCCTCGTATAACAGGCTATGCTAGACGGGGAGCGAATACTTGTTTTGATCTTAGTTTTATAATAGTTCGAGAACCGTCCTTGTCGATTCCTTGATGAGCCATTTAGACCGTTCATCATCCGGCATGTGAGAATAGAACTGGAAGATAAAGTTGCTAATCAGTTGTCTCATCACGAATTCTAGTCGCTTGATTGTTCGTAAAGGCTAGGTATATAACTATCGGACCTGCCTATTGAAGAGGAAGGGTGGTGTACTCGTACACTATTATGGAAAACTAGACGAGATCGACTCTTTGACTACTAGACATGATAGCATTGTAGAACGCGTCGATAGTAATTGGAACCAGCGGATGAGTGGTATAAGTCCTAAGCTGGAGCTCAACTCGAAAACTAGAGAGATCTAGACTTGATTATTCTGCGTTGACCCTTACGTATGTTCTCACACTTATAAGATGGTATCTTGGCGAGAAGAAGTAGGCTGAAGCCTGTAAGAGACGTGTTGTATTATAATTTATGGGTTAAATTATCTATACCTCTTAGGTACCTTGCAACATCTAAGTGGGAACTTTACAGCCTTATTAGAGCAATGGAATACTTGCCTATAAATAGAGTTGGACCGTATTGTCGGATCTTAGCAACGTTCTAATCGATTAGGTACTTAGGTACTTAGGTACATCTAAGCGCATTTTAGTACCCCGCCAGGATGCCCCGCCATTAACTTTACTTTATGTACCTCTGCGCGTTATAACTTATAAGTGACATAATGCTCAATACCTTTTCCGAGGCGCGCTCAACATATCAAATTATTCTACCATCAAAATGGAATTTGACACCAAGACTCGTAAGCATCTCGATTCATTTCTCTTGCACACTGCTCCTATATTATACAATACTCTATAGCTAACCTTCTCCATCCTCCATCAGCTCCATATCTAACGAGCGACAAGTCCTCTTTCGCCTACGTATCCGCTCGAGATCGATGGCCTGTTATAATAGTCAGTTTATAAAAACAGGAACCTATTTGCTATCGGTGATACTCGACTAACCCTACACTGCTAAGACTCAAGCTATTGATGATTTATACCGCTCGGTATCCGAGTGTGAAGAACCCGAAAAGCAGAACGAGGGCAAGAGAATCATAGAAGAGCTCGCGCGCCTCAAATACGAACTCCAACACGACCGACAGCTCACGTATGTTCCAACACGCGTAAGCGTACTAATTAATCAAGGACGGAATCATGTTAACTCGCGACTTAGACCGATAAGAGACGATGGCGCTGCCGACGTAGCTATATATAACCGTGAGTTGGAGCAGTTAGGAACACCCAGCTGGTTCAACATCCCTTGGCTATTCTCCGAATGCTATCTTTACAGGTACTAGAACGTATAATGATTATATTTATGCCCGTCGAGACTCGTGGCAGTTGGCGCTGACGGGAAACATAGACGTCTTCACACGTCCTTCAGCCTCTCTAAGCACTGGAAGACCTATGATGTATTCTACCGGCAGAAGATCAAGACCTTCCGATCGTCCCGGCCTGCTGTTCTCGAGCTTGCCGCTCGGTACAAGGACTTGGTAACGCAGATAAAACATGATGGGAACTCGACTAGCGCTGAGCACGAAGAGGCCGAAAAGATATTATTCTTTGAGATGTGCGAGATCTGCTTATGGGGTAACGCCACGGATTTATCTCTCCTGACCAGTCTCACCTACGAGGATATTCAGAAGCTGCAAGGTTCCGAGGCCAGAAAGGCTTCCGAGAAGAACATCCTCGTCAATGATCTAGGTGCGACGTATGATGTGTTGAAAAAGGCCAAGTCCGAAGGGAAAAAGGAGCGCCGCGTAGACATTGTATTGGATAATGCTGGGTTTGAATTATACGTCGATCTTATCCTCGCTGGCTTTCTGCTGTCGTCGGGACTAGCTACGCTCGTTGTCCTTCATCCAAAGTCGATCCCCTGGTTTGTATCGGATGTTTTGCCAGCAGACTTTGCTGCTCTCCTTAATGCCCTGGTAAACCCCAAACAATTCTACGAAACCCCATCCGACGACGATAAGCTCCAGGACAGAACACCCTCTGCCCTCTCCGATAAAGATGTTGCGGATCTTGGCTTCCTCTTCCAGGAATGGTCTCAAATGTACGCCGAGGGGCAGCTTATTCTTAGGCCAAACCGCTTCTGGACTTACCCGGGTAGTTATTGGAGACTACCGTCGTTTGAGAAGAGTCTATACGAAGATTTGAAGAGCAGCGAGGTGGTCATATTCAAGGGCGACTTGAACTACCGCAAGCTAACCGGCGATGTAAGCATAGCTACTCCTTTGATAATTAGCCACTTAAGCGTACTGATTTACAATAGGCTACATGGGACCCGACAACCCCGTTCACTAAAGCTATTGGACCCCTCGGTCCCGGCTCGGGGGTTAATGTACTTGCTCTCCGAACGTGCAAAGCTGATGTCGTCGTCGGGCTTAAGCCGGGGCAGGACGAAGAACTCCGGGCTACGGAGGGCGGCGGTGGAGATAGCGGTGCCAGGAAATGGGCGTGGAGTGGTAAGTGGGCTGTTGTGTCCTTCTCGGAAGGGAAATAAATATCCGATGGTTATGTCAAGGGTGTAGATAAACTTTAGACTTGATAGATTGCGTCTTCGCTGGCAAGATCAAGTCAGACCGCAGTGTATATCGATAATATCGTATTTTAATACCGATGATTACGTGTGCTAGAAACAGGTCCATCCCAACGATCCTCGACCGGCCACCAGCCGTTTCCTTTGCATATTGTCACGGGTATCTGTACCAAAACCAAACGCCAACGCAAACGCACATAAAAATGATCTATCAATCGTCGTTGACACAAGGTGTAGTCGGCCCATGCAATTCTAGAACCAAAAATTGAGTTTCAACAGTGCCACGGTGCCCTGGTGTATCATAAACCAGCCAACCTCCATCGCCATCCATAGAACCTCGCCGGCAATCTATTCCTTGACCTCGACCACCTCGGCCTTGATGTCCAAGTCGGCGCCAGTATCGTTCTTCCGATCATAGATGATCCTTTTCTCGCCGCTGTCGTGTGCCACTATTCTGCCATGTCCATCAACGCTAAACGGTAGCCTATTGTAAGCCCAGCGGCCAGCGAAGAAGGTGGCAGCCGCCCATGCCCATAGTAGTAGAGCGATGGTGAAGGTGAGGCAAAGGGTCGGCACAAGAAAAAGCGTGGCGACACCGATCCAAAAGAGCGAGAACAGGACGGCGGAGATCAAAGAGACAGCGATAGTTGTCGCGGCAAAGCCTGCAAAGAGGAGCAGAGGAGCGAGGCAGAGGGTAAATTGAAAGGCGACGAAAGACTAAGGGGAGGTATGAGAGGGTCAACGTAATTATTTAATAGTTAATAGGTGTTTAGATGAAGCTTACAAATAGAATAGGCTTCTCGGTTGACAAGTCGTAAATCCAGTCGTAGGCCTTCTGTCGTGTAGGCGGGCTCACGACTCGGTCGACGTGACGTTGGCCATAGGCGAGCAATTCGTTGGCCCTGGTCTTAGCGCTCGAGGAGACGTCGTCGACTGTCATTGTGGAGGAGCTGTGGGCAATATAGAATGGATGATAGATAGTGCTTGGTTACGAAGGGCGATGACTAGAAGATTACACGGATTGGATCGCTTGGAGGATTTGGATTGGAAGATGAAAAGCAAGAGACTTGTAATGGTGAACTTAGGGGATTGGAAAGTTAACGATGGATTTGATAGATAACTTGTTGAATTAGAGATGACTTATTGCGACTGCGTCTTTGGGAACATAGCATACAAGACAGGATACGGGGAGAACATAAGATGGGAGAGTGGAAGAGACCAAGGGGCCAAGGTCGAAGATATTAAGATTGAGCCATAAGATGGTAAGCACCTGCCAGGGAGATATGTAGATGTTACCTAAGGGAGATGTTTAAATTTTCAAATGTTATTACATGTAAGTCGCACTACCTTGGACCTTAGAATTCGACATATGTGATGACGCGTGGAAGTACGAAAACGTGAAAATGTAGAAGTAACTAATGGTGAAGTTGAGAGTCTGAGGTAAAGAATGACGTTGTATGTGGTTATTTCTAAGGTTACCTTAACTACCTTATTTCTAAGGTTAACAGGTAGCTTTAATTAGCTCTGGTTAACTAAAAGTAGCGGGAACCTTAGCTCGGAAGTTCGGATCGTAGGCGGATCGTAGGCGGATCGTACCCACTAACACTTCTAGAATTACTTGAGATGGGACCTTACCCGCACAGCCCGCCATCTTGGTTGCGCTTTGCGGGCCGTTCCTCGGTATCCAAATCACCATCAGATACTACCTATTGGCTTTATATTCCGACTTCCAAAGTTGAATTCTGGAGTTTCAGCCAAGTATCGTGTTAAGCTCCCAGTGGTTTTTGCCTTTGCTAAACTTTGTCTCTACCGGAGATGATAGAAGAACTTAGGTACCTAACTTACCCACCTAAGGAATCACAAGCACCTAGAGCTACATAGGAATCAACACACCAGAGACAAGGCGAATATAATTAAAACATATAAACATAGCCCCGAGGCATAGCTAAAGGAGGAATTTAATTCATGTAATTTGATTCATGCAAAGCGTAGCGCACCCTAACCGAGAACCCCCGACGCCTAATTCCTTATGCAAGTCTGTGAAGACATTTCTGACTACTGAGTGCACCTGATATAACCCTATTCTGTTACTGATATTTGAGAATCTTATGTGGGTTAACATAGGAGGTCTCGAATAGAAAGATGAGCCGGTATATGATAGCGGTAAAGTGAGATTTGGGCATGCGTGTCGTCGGACCATCTTGTTGCACTAGGGTTCTCCTAACAATCGAGCTGTGATATCACCCATGTACGCTTCCTCCAGCTCATAATCCTGTCCGTCAAGCCTATCGATACCAACAAATTGGAAGGCCTCTACAACCCGCTCGATATCGAATCCCATACTAACGAATCTATCGATGAGATCCTTGTTGTAGCCCTGGTATCTACATAGCCGGTTAGCTAATTAGTTGTCACAATGTCTATCGTATACTTCTTAGGATCGTACCTGCTGTCGTCGACCTGCTGTGGCGCGATGGTGGTCCGCGGCTGGACGTATTGGTATTTGGGATTTGGAGGGGCACGGGCGTGGCGCACAGCCCAATCATGCGCCTTATTGTTGAAAGCTTCTCTGTCGTTTATCATCATCTTGGCTACTTCGGCGTCTTGCGGGTCCTTGGGTTCGGGGCTTTCGAAAAGGCCCTGCAAAGATAGAAGGGTGGACTTTATAGTGAGGACGGGAGACCAGGCGGAGCTTATGGTATCTAAACAGATGGCACCCTGCGCGTTTAATATATTAGCAAAACTAGCTCCATGGTAGGTACGGAGAACACCGTAGCACATCTAAATGTCCAAGAAAACCTACAGTTTGACTGCTAATGTTTGGATGCCAGACTTTGGTATCGAACTTCATAACAGGAGGGCGAAAAGGATATTCGTTGGGGATCTTGACGTCCACGATGAACCTCCCACCCTCGTAAGGAGTGCCTGGAGGACCAGGTATCCGAGCCTTGAGGTGCGTAAAGTCATCGTCACCGTCGGCGGGCAGGGCAGTGATACCGGATAAATCCGCATCAGCCTTTATGTCGGAGAGCTCTTTAGCTACCCTGCGCATCCTGCTCGTTGCCATGTTTGCCTAGTCCCCGGTGTCGTTGAGTTGAAGGTATTAGATAGAAAATAAAGGAACCGCGCTCCAGAAACTATCGGCTGAGAATATGATGTGGTAGACTTGTCGCCAAAGCAGCTGAGAGGCTGATCGAGATACAGACGAAAGGGTTATGGAAAGAAGAATGATGAGGAATGGGCTAGAAGCAAGCCAAGAGAACGCTTTGCTCTGTTTACAGGTAGTTATTTAAAACAAATACAAGTACCTATTGGATATAAGGCAGTGCAGGGTGCAAGTAAAATAAAAAGGTTGCAGAACCTGACAGTCCTGACTGTGACAGCTCAGAATGCATGAGACTTTGAATATTCATGGAAGAATTGAAAATGGGAAGGGACAAGTTGGAGACAAAACTGATAAGTTACGACAAGTTACGGCGAGTTACGAAGAGGAGTTGCAAGGTACATGTATGCAGAACCCCGCGACCCCCCGGCCGCAACTGCTTTTCGCCTAGGTAACCTTTGAGGTCATACATGTACGTAGTTTATGCAGATATCAGGTATTGCTTCCAGTACGGATTACTGCCAGACCGCCAGGCGCATGGCGGGGTTACACATGCATACCTTAGGTAGGTACATAATGTTCCGTACCTACAAGGTCCTAGAGTCATTGCATTGAATCTCATTGGACACAATATAATTTCAGATTTCTAACCCCACCATCTACACTTTTCGCTACCACTAGCCTCTTACGTATTAACATCTTTCTTTCTACCTAATAGTACAGAATATACGTAGGTTTCTTTCTACCTTATTTTATTATTTTATTTTATACAAACCTTCTTCGGTCATATCTAACCTATCTAGCCACCTGCTCAATATACTGCCAGCAGCTTATATACCTAGGTACGGAATCGTCACATGCGAGCTCCAACATGGCGACGACCACGATAACAGCAACCGTCCGGAAGAAGGATGCCAACCTCCCGCCCGAGAACGAGCGATTCTTGCGCTGCTGCGCTGATATTGCCAACGCCCTTATCGAGGACCATGAGGCTTCTAAAGACCCCAAGAGTTCTAAGCGAGATATCAACCTCAACAGCTTGCGCTCCAAATTCTCTAGAAAACACAAAATCGCCAGCATGCCCCCACTCACTGCCATCATCGCCGCCGTCCCCGAACACTACAAGAAATATATCTTGCCAAAACTGATCGCAAAGCCTATTCGTATGTCACTACTATAAAAACATTTAAGAAATGCTATTTCCGTTCCTGCTAACTGATATCTAGGCACTTCCTCCGGAATCGCCGTTGTAGCTGTTATGTGTAAGCCGCATAGATGTCCTCACATCGCCTACACTGGCAACATCTGCGTCTACTGTCCAGGTGGACCCGACTCCGACTTCGAATATAGTACCCAGTCCTATACGGGATACGAACCTACGTCCATGCGCGCTATTCGCGCCCGATACGACCCTTTCGAACAAGCTCGTGGCCGTGTCGACCAGCTCAAGTCTCTCGGGCACTCAGTTGACAAAGTCGAATATATTATAATGGGTGGTACATTCATGTCATTGCCCGTACCGTACCGAGAAGAGTTCATTTCCCAGTTGCATAACGCTCTGAGCGGTTATCAAACGACGAACGTAGACGAGGCGGTTGAGGCTGGTGAGATGAGCAATGTCAAATGCGTCGGTATTACCATCGAGACTCGGCCAGACTATTGTTTGCAGCCACATCTAACGGATATGCTCCGCTACGGATGTACGCGCCTAGAGGTCGGAGTTCAATCATTGTATGAGGATGTCGCCCGAGATACCAACAGAGGGCACACCGTGGCAGCGGTCGCGGAAACGTTCTGTCTTGCTAAAGACGCCGGGTTTAAAGTTGTTTCCCATATGATGCCTGACTTACCAAATGTGGGCATGGAGCGCGATTTAGATCAGTTTAGAGAATATTTCGAGAATCCAGCATTCCGGACCGATGGCTTAAAGATCTATCCGACGCTAGTTATTCGTGGCACGGGGCTTTACGAGTTATGGCGCACAGGCCGTTACCAGAATTATACCCCTAACGATTTAATCGACATTGTTGCTAGGATCCTAGCATTGGTGCCGCCGTGGACTAGAATTTATCGAGTTCAGAGAGACATTCCCATGCCACTGGTCACTTCGGGTGTTGAAAATGGAAATCTCCGAGAATTAGCGCTTGCTCGGATGAAGGATTTCGGTACAACGTGCCGTGATGTAAGAACCCGCGAGGTCGGGATTAACGAAGTCAAACACAAGATTCGGCCGAATCAGATCGAGCTCATTCGTCGGGATTACACGGCCAATGGTGGGTGGGAGACCTTCCTAGCCTATGAGGATCCCAAGCAAGATATCTTGGTCGCATTGCTTCGTTTGCGCAAATGCACCGAAAAGTACACCTACCGTGATGAATTGACTGGCCAGCAAACCAGTCTAGTCAGGGAGCTTCACGTATACGGAACTGCCGTTCCAGTACACGCTAGAGATCCCAAAAAGTTCCAACATCAGGGCTTCGGTACCCTCCTGATGGAAGAGGCGGAACGCATCGCGCGTGATGAGCACGGAAGCGATAAGATCAGCGTTATCAGTGGTGTCGGGGTGAGAAGCTATTATAGAAAGCTTGGGTACTGGTTGGACGGACCCTACATGAGCAAATGGCTTGATGGTCGTCCGCAAAAGCAGTCTTGAACATAAGCGCGGAACGAATATACTGGCACGCTATCTGCAGGGCCCTGGAAACAAGAGTACGGAACGGGGGGTTCCAAGAAGCCCATAAATTACTTGCCACATGCCCGTTAACCATCAAAGAGTCAGTGTCACCTCGTCTCGGCCTGTTTACTCTCAAATGTGTCAAGTGTCCATCAAGACACCAAGCGTGGACGCGACAGCTGACAATAGGTATCTTGGTTGTTCATCAAGTTTGAACATATAATACGTTCCAATTAGCAACGCTAGTTCTACATGTAAAATCCTCAAGAGCGACGTCACCAGAAGCCATATGAGAAAACCCATACCAAACCTTCCAGCATGCAGCACTTGAAGTTATATTTCAGAAGAATCCCACGACGCGGTGCTATCTAACTAAGCAACTAACCTAAAGCCGAGTCTTTGTACTGATTATGACTGAGAGAGTTACCATTTCCACACTCTAATCTTTTGTGTTAAAAGTTCCCGCCCGTTTTTTGGTAGATTGGGAGTATACGAGCTAACCTTCATGTTCAAACATGCTCTACGGTAGCCTCGACCTCTTCCGTCATCAAATCCTTTACACCTTTCAACAGAGCTACAGCCACGATAGCTAACACAACGAATGGGATCACGCTGGCCCACGCCAGTCGATACGCATGAGCGTATTGCCACCTGCTGGCCTCAACGGCTGCAGCCCAGACCGCAGGTGTTGCCGTGTCGACTCCTAACCCTATCTGCCCGGCGGCCAGCGCTTCCAGCAAAGCTGGCACACTGCCTGTAGCAAGACCTGCATTTACAGCTGCGCTTTCAACACCTGCTGCGTAATGGCTAGCGAGCTGGCCATTGATAATAGCGTTTAGAACAGCGGACCCGAAGGCGCCGCCAATAGCGCGTGCAGAAAAAGCGAGGCCCGTCGCCGTCGATAAGAAAGCGTGCGGTGCCGTGAACTGGATACAGGCTACGAGGAGCGTCAGGGGTCCTGCTTGACCAATGCCAGCAAGTACATTGAAGCCGAGTTGCGCAGAGCTCCACGAAGGCCGGATAGTGGCATAGCAGATAGTTCTATTCCACGCGTGCTTATCAGTCCGCTGTCTGACTACCCTAGTAGCTCCAAAAATATGATATAAGTTTAACTTACACGATGAGAAATATTGTAAAAGTAACGAGGAGGGGCGCTTGTAAGTCCTTGAATCTAGTCGCATACCACGTAATAGGCACGGAGGCAAACAAAACAGGGAGCTGGTAGCTGAGTTGTCGGACGGAGATTCGCCAGGCATTGTTTTCGAATCCCAAGTTAAGCGCGATCTGAGGCACGACAGAGTTCACGGCGCTGTAAAAGATCCAGCCTTCAACCGCGAAGGCGAAGATCGAGTAAACGAAGTTAGCATTCTTCCGAAAGAAGACGTGGGCAACCAGGCCATCGGATCGTCCCCTCCATTCTAGTATCGTTAGCTAATACATTGTACATTATCAAGAATCGGACCTGTCACATGTTATATCGTCAGAGACTAGAGACTAACTGTCTACTTACCGTATAGAGCAAAGCTAACTAACAGCATTAGGCCCAAGCCGACTGGGACCGCGACGTGAGGGTTTGACCAAGCGTAGGCTCCTCCGGCCCAATCAAGTCCGAGTAACATAAGAGTTGCGCTGCCGACGAAGAGTACAGATCCAATAGGATCGCAAGCCCATATATAGTCCCGTAACGACATCTTAGGGTATTCGATATGTTTCGGTGGCCAGTAGAGACAGAAGAGCCCCAGTGCGGTCATGCCGTGAAAGGCGGCTTGCATCCAGAATATGTATCTCCATCCACCAGCATCAACATTAGTTACTGCGCCAGCACCGAGTGAACCGATCCTGTCCTCATCTACTTAGCTTTGCAAAGAACGATATAAGGGCAGCGAGAGGGCAGTGGGAGGGCAGCAGGACTAGTGAATACTTACAATCCACCTACAGCACCTCCGACAAAAGCGAAGCCATTAGCGAGAGGGCGGAACTTCAAGGGCAGTATCTCGGAAGGGATCGCCTGTACGACAGAGATCGTAGCTAACGTGGTCCCAATGAGAATGCCGCCGCCGATAAGCATGCTCATTGACGTTGCCTTGGCAGACACAACGGCGCCCACGAATGCAATGAGTGGCGGCACTGTCGCGAGGAATTTCCTGTCTAATACATCTGATAAACGGCCAACTATAGGGGATAGTACGGATTGCATGAGCAGCGGGCCCTAGAGTCTCTTAATTAGTTATACCACGTTATTGGGAGAATGCAGCAGTGGATAAGTACCTGGATAACCCAGCCGGCTATGGAAGCGTCCCCCAGATCGCGGACTATGAACGCAATGACTGAGCCCGCTGCCACTACCACGAATACTTGGGCCATGACGCTGTTTGGTGTGATTAGCGATAGGGTCACAGATGAGCGAATATACCATCGAACTTACGCGAAGCAGGTTATAAACACCACTAACTACATATTTAAGCCAATTGTCAACACACACGGTTCAGCACAACACAAAATCGGTATGATTCATACCCATGATCTCCAACTCAGATGAACATTGTAGGCTTCATGGTTTACCCCTTGATCGGTCGGGACTACCTCAAGTTCCTCGTGCATCCCTGACTTCTGATCCTCCAAAGCTGCAGCTTGCTTCTCCGCGTCCGTGAGCATGGTCATAGTTATAGTCATAAACAAAATAGGGCTCTCGAAGGAAAGAAACCAGCAGACTTAAATGAGCAATAATCAATCTTTGACGTTTGAATGCTTCCTTTTTTATAAAAGTATGTCATAAGAATCACTCGAATAGCAGTGCTCATTCTTATCTAGGTAGGCATTATGATTGATATATACCATTGACCATTCACTTCTTGCAGGCGTAGGTAATATTAGCTCCATAGAAGGCCAGGCATCTGTGCCCCAAATCCAGGCATAGTACACCAACCAACCCTGACGATCGTCCAACCACTTTGGAGGATCAATGCGGAGACCCCAGATTCTACGCGGCAGTTATAATGCTTCATGGACAGCTGGGATACCATGCGGGGTTGCATCTAGAACTTTGGGGCTCTCTCTGTATTGATGCCAATAACCTCGGCGTAGAGCCAGTGGCATTTCGTAGATTTCTAGGGAAAAGGCTGGGGAAAGCTTCTAATGTTATTCAACCACGGTCTCAATATTGTACGAGCTAAGCTTCATCTTCTTGGATACTTACCTCAGGTAGGTTGCGTACAAATTCGGTAGATTTCTTAAAACTTACTTCAACTTGGCTACATTGCAAGCCTCAAAATAATAATCACACCCATAAAAGGAAGAAAGTACCTAACCTACCTAGTAAGTCCAGTAGAAACTCATTAATTACTTCTTAATATTAACTCACCTGTCTCTAACGTTACCCTTTCACGACACGACTATTATCTACCTGTCAGATATTGTACCCTTGATTGATGTCATACATAGAGTGAATGTTAAGATAGATAGAATTGAACTATTAACGCCTGTCTTCTACCCTGTTACGAGGGTGCTACGCGCCTCTTATATAGTAGATTTACCCTGATTCCATCCCTAACCGACTTATACCCTGACACTGCTGTCCTTAATAACAATGGCTTTGATATTAACTCTACCATCTCGTGTATTGTTAGGATTTTAGCACGAGAATGCCCACTTGCTCTTCCTAAGCGATAAATGGGAGAGTATACTCCTAAACACTAGAAATCGACGGTCTATATAGGTATCTGATATAAAGGGTTAACGTGTCACTAGGATAAAATGCACCTCCTAAAAGTTAAAGTGCTAAATAAATTCACCCTGAATCTAATAGTGTGGAATAGATATATAGACTACCTATATATAAGCATGTATTTAGGTATATAAGTTAGGTATAAGTATGATCCAGTCATTAGCCACTATAGCATTTATGTTCCGTTAAGCAAGTGCATCTAGTACATTTATAAGTAAGATGGATGTCCCTTCTTATCTTTTCAATCATAAATATGAGCTTTATTCCTAGAATTATTTTGAAAAAAAATGAAACGTAAATAAACGCTTATATACAAAATCCGTTTATAATTTCCTATGTCCCCTTCTCTTATCTCCATGGTAAAATAGGAGCACAGTCAAATGTATTTCAAAATACCTAAGATATCGAATGCACTGTTGGGTCAATCTCCAAGCACACATTAGATTGATTCTTTCTATTTTTCTTTATTATTTAAAATTATTTTCGTAAAATACCCAAGTCTCGTAGTTGCTCGTTCATACACTCCATTAACTTTCGTCAATATTAGTGGTAGTTTCACTTTACTTTTACCGTTTTACATTAAGACAACCAGGCGTAAAACACTCAGGGGTATTGAGGCTTCATGATATATATAAGGATGATAGGGGGACAGACACAACAAAAATACAATGCATTATTCGCCATCCGCCCCTCCATCTATCAGAGTTAAGTAAAACACACTCAGGATGTTCTCCTGGCAATAAATGCAGTCCAGCTTACCAACCACCACACATGCTTCGATATCTATCCCCCGTTCGGGAACGGTATTTAATACCCCTGGACTTTGGCGATCCACAACACATGAGGCTCGTCGAGGCCTATACCGTATCTAGTGACCCGCCCTTTCTACATTTATGTATGAGACAAGCTTCTTATAAAAGATCCCGCTTGACGAAAGCCTCCCTCATTGCGCGCCCTAAGGCGGCAGGGGAGCGTTCTACTACTACACCAGCTGCCTCTAGAGCTTTGATCTTAGAGTCTGCTCCGCCCTTGCCACCTGATACAATGGCACCGGCGTGACCCATTCGTCGTCCTGGAGGAGCGCTGATGCCGGCGATGAAGCTGACAACAGGCTTACCACCGTCGACGATATTGTTCGCCTTGAGGAAATCTGCGGCATCCTCTTCGGCTGAACCACCAATTTCTCCAATCATAATGATACCATCCGTCTCCTCATCCTTCAAGAAGACTTTGAGGCAGTCGATGAAGTTCGTCCCGCTGAAGGGATCACCACCAATGCCAACAACAAGAGATTGACCAAGGCCAGCCTGGGTGGTCTGGTTGACAGCTTCGTAAGTCAAGGTGCCGGAGCGGGAGACGATACCGATACGACCACGCTTGTGAATAAAGCCGGGCATGATGCCGATCTTGCACTGGCCTGGAGCAATGATACCAGGGCAATTGGGGCCGACGAGACGAGTCTTGGACTGCGACTTGAGGATATCGGTGATGCGGACCATATCTAGAAGTCTGTTAGAAAAGGCAAAAGCTTCGAGGCTATATGGCTTGACATACCATGCTGGGGGATGCCCTCAGTGATACAAACGACGAGAGGGATTTCGGCAGAGACAGCCTCCTCGATACCAGCGGCAGCTAGAGGAGGACTGGATACGAACAGTGATTAGCAACGCATACCCGAACCTCGTATTTCACACCAGTAACCCGATACTTACGGCACAAATATGGCAGTGGCGGTTGCGCCAGTCTCCTTTACGGCCTCACCAACATTGGCGAAGACAGGAAGACCAAGATGTTCCTGGCCGGCTTTCTTGGGGTTTGTGCCTCCAACGACCTTAGTCCCTATCCGTAGATTTCTATTAGATATGTATTCCTGACCTCGTATAAATTTATCGCGGAAACGGGGCGCAAAGGATGTAGTTACCATATTCGATAGCTTGCTGGGCATGGAAGCTGTTGGAATCCGAATATCAGCATGAGCTTTTTTTCTATTTTCTATTTTCTATTGCGATATGTGATATGGCATATTGAGGAGATCAAGACGATATAATCTTCGACAAGCGGCCAGCTTCAAAAGGACGGAGAGCGCTTACGTTCCCTGCTTTCCGGTAAATCCTTGGAAGATAACCTTGGTGTCTCCGTTAATGCGCAGGTTTTCGATCGTCTGGGAATAAGGGGAGGTCGTAGAACTGTAGGCTCGTCGGGAGAGCTGGCGCAAGATGGCAGCGCCTGGCCGCAGATGTCTCGAGAAAGCTTGCATCCTGCAGCAATTGACCTATAGGAAACTGTAGAGAAGTTTCCGATAGATAAAGAGCCCGAGTGTACGAATATAGGTACGTAGAGAGGTAGAGAAAGGTAGAAAGTTAGTGAAGAGTTATTTTCGACGATGATTAAGAAAAAAAAAGGGTTCAAGGTTCAAGCTTCAACGTCTATCAAATGCTAAATTGCAACCCGTTGTAATGCCGCAGTTCTTTCCAAATCGACACCGACCCAGTAACTGCACCACATGCACTGGCCACATGCACCTTTTTGTTTTGCCTAGGTTACATATACTTAGGTACATGTACATTCCGATCTTATCTACACTTATCACTTTTGAATTACTTAAGCTGGCCAAAGCTTTTTTTTATCTTGGCATGCATGCGTTTCCTCTTTGGTGCCTGATTTCTAAACTGACGCTCTAGGTACCGTACATGTAGGGCCAACTGAGCTTGCGACTAAGCCTTAGGTACCTAAAAGTACAGGTAAATTAGCGTCAGCGAACCTTAGCAAGCTTTCGTCTACCTCTTGCCATCGGAACCCACTCAACAACTTGAACGTCAACTTTACTACTTCATTCTCTATCCAGCACTTGGTATCACCACTATCACCACTACAAGCGAATTCAATCATCATCAGCCTTTCGCTTTGTAGACGTGGTTCTTGTCCATCAATAATTTATCAGTGCCCATAACAGAGCGCTTTGCATATTACTTTGACCCGCACCGGGCAGTAGCTTGTCAAGATGGTCAGTTTAATATTACCGCCGCTACTTATATATCTTCCCTTTACTGACACGGCGCACGCACTTAGGGTCAAAACCAATCCGGAATGGGTGGTGCCGGCCAGGATGGAAAGGATGATAAGGATAAGAAGGTACGTCGATGGACATCTCATACACCATCACAATAACAGCATCGCCGTCATCATATCAACAGCAGCGTCGTTGCTGTCAGCAGTGAAGCTCCGTTTTCAAACTACTAGTGACTTCTAATTCGTATTTCTAACTCGTATATTTTCAACAGAAGGAGAAGCCAAAGTACGAACCGCCACCCCGCCCAACCACTCGTATCGGACGTAAGAAGAGAAAGGCTGCTGGTACTTCTGCGGCTGCCAAACTCCCCGCCGTCTACCCGACCAGTCGATGCAAGCTTCGTCTACTCCGAATGCAACGTATCCATGACCACCTACTACTCGAAGAAGAGTTCGTCGAGAATCAAGAGCGTCTAAGAAAAGCTAAGGCCGCTAAAGACAACACTGGCCCTGCTCCTGATCTCGATGCTCCCGACCGCATGGCCGACGAACGTGGTCGGGTCGACGACATGCGTGGAAGCCCGATGGGTGTCGGTACTCTCGAGGAGATGATTGATGATGACCACGCTATAGTCTCCAGCACCACCGGTCCTGAGTATTACGTCAGCATCATGAGTTTCGTCGACAAGGACCTACTAGAGCCCGGTGCCTCTGTGTTATTGCATCACAAGAGCGTCTCTATCGTCGGCGTGCTTACGGATGATACGGACCCGGCCGTTAATGTCATGAAACTCGACAAGGCACCAACCGAGTCCTATGCCGATATTGGTGGATTGGAGCAGCAGATTCAAGAAGTGAGGGAGTCGGTTGAACTACCACTTCTTCACCCGGAGTTGTACGAGGAGATGGGTATTAAGCCTCCGAAGGGTGTCATACTTTACGGTGCTCCTGGAACCGGCAAGACGCTGTTGGCAAAGGCCGTAGCGAACCAGACCTCAGCCACATTCTTACGCATCGTTGGAAGCGAGCTGATCCAGAAGTATCTGGGTGATGGACCGCGACTCGTGCGACAGCTTTTCCAAGTATGATAATAGCTGTATTAGCCCTCAATATTGTATTATGCTAATATTATAATAGGTTGCCGCGGAAAACGCTCCTTCTATTGTTTTTATTGATGAAATCGATGCCATTGGCACGAAGCGTTACGATTCAACATCAGGTGGCGAGCGTGAAGTTCAGCGAACTATGTTGGAACTCCTTAACCAACTGGATGGTTTCGACGACCGTGGTGACGTCAAGGTTATCATGGCAACCAACAAGATCGAGACTCTCGACCCTGCCTTGATCCGACCCGGCCGAATTGACCGAAAAATCCTCTTCGAGAATCCAGACCAGAACACGAAACGCAAGATCTTCAATCTTCATACGAGCAAGATGAGCCTGAACGAAGATGTTGACCTGGATGAGTTCATCAGTCAGAAAGATGATCTATCCGGGGCGGACATCAAGGCTATATGCTCCGAGGCTGGCCTGATGGCTCTACGTGAACGTCGTATGCGTGTGCAGATGGCGGATTTTAGGGCCGCAAGAGAGAGGGTCCTTCGTACTAAACAAGAGGGAGAACCCGAAGGCCTATACTTGTAGTCTATTACGTGTATTGTAGAGTTACGAAGAAGGGGGTAGGCTGCGGCAAATGCGCGTTGTCGGCGCTGTAGCGGTTAATATATGATAATAGGAGACCCTGCAGTTATTACGAATGCTACCCGTACTTTATTTCGAGTGCTCTACGATTGGTGCTTTTTAACTTAGCTCTTAGGTACTTGTGTTCTTGATATATCATCTATTTTGAGACTACTGGCAAACGTTAGGTATATCTACCCGAGGTATGTAGTTGTGAAGGTCAGCTTTAATAACGAATGTACCTCTAGTACCTAACATCATGATCTAACTAGATACAGGTAAACGCGCAGGTAAATACTATTGGTTATAGCCCCATGTTACCTTAGGAGGTACATGTCATCTGCGCCTAGCTTCGAATGTCGTGATGACATCAGGTATCGTTCAGGTCTTGTCCCCCTCCAGCACCGAATAACATATTTGCGTAGGAGGTATTCACCAACTTACCTCACCTATCGGGCTTCTTAAAGGCTAACACCCAATTAAATGCTAGTCAAGCTTACACCTAAGCCACTATTATATACGCGTATTCTAAAATCAAGTGACAATCTTGTCCATGTCGCGGCCCGCGCTTTATTCTTATTCACGTATAATCGACCTCGTCCTCTTTTTAGACAACTCCTTAAAACAACTCCCTGCTTGGCTTCATTCTAGCAGTATATTATTTACCCGATTCTACACTAACTAGTCCTGCCTCGTTTTGACTCTACAATGAGCGCACATCCAAGCCATTCGCCTATTCCAGGTGATAATCCTAATTACTACGCCGAACTAAGCGGGAATGATCCTCAGTCAGTTCCATCCCAGTCTGGTACGACTCAGCAAGGACAATACAATCCCCCTTCAGGTCCTCCGTTGTCCTCTAGCACCGACCCGACTTACTACCCACCACCACCGCCTGGCCCTCCTCCGGTTACTCAACATCATGATCATTATCCGCCGCCTCCAGGTCCTCCACCTTCAAATTTAGACCAACCGTACTACCCGCCTCCGCCACCTGGCCCCCCTCCGAACCAGGTCTATACACCATCACAGGAGAACCCAAGCTACCCTCCGCCGAGCTATTCGGAAATCGAAGCCGGACCCGAGGTTATGGTGACTGATGAAAAGCCACCAGTCTTTCCACCACGTCCCATCTCATCACAAGGAGGGCAATCGGCGCCACATTTCCCTCCCCCTCCTACCGAGGCTTCACTCCCTCACATAGCTGCAAGTCTTCATCCTGACCAGGAGCACCAGCAGCACCAGCAACAGCCGTCTACAACAAACACGGATGCTCCCTCTTCTTCTACGTCAAAACCGGGCTTCGGGCGTAAGCTATACGAATGGGGTATTAAGGTCGGTACCCCTATTAACAAACTGACGAACAAGCTTGGTTCTGAAGGTTTCATGCCCACAAGCGTGGACAAGGAATGCGATAAGGCGGCGCGTATTCTCAAGAGTTTTTGCAGTACGTTCCCCCCACGCACTATTCAAATTTCATACACCTATTTAGGCAAAGTGAACCTAAGTGAACCTAACATATGTCTGTAGAAGACGGCTTTTATACCACCGCATCCGCATCAACCCAAGGTACCTCACCCTCAGGCCCAAGCGGCAAGTCCAAAGCACTAGTAAAGATCCCGCAGTCTGTGATCGCTAACGCGAAGGGGCTGGCGATCTTTACCACCTTCCGGACCGGGTTTCACATCTCAGGGGCAGGGGGTGCAGGGCTCGTCGTCGCCAGACTGCCGGACGGTAGCTGGTCACCGCCGGCCGGATTTCTTGTGCATACGATAGGTGCGGGAATTGTTGCTGGGCTTGATATATACGATTGTGTGTGTGTGCTCAACACGCCCGCTGCCGTTGAAGCTTTCACCAAACCGCGCTTCAGCTTGGGTGGCGAGGTCGCCGTCGCGGCGGGGCCCGTGGGCGCGGGGACAAGCGTCGAGGCCGCAGTGGGAAAGGGGGTTAAACCAGTGTGGAGCTATATGAAGTCGCGGGGCATTTACGGCGGCGTGCAGGTTGACGGGACGGTGATTTTACAGCGACCCGATGCGAATGCAGCCTTCTACGGAACAGACCAGATCAGCGTGGATAAGATTCTTAAGGGTGAGGTCGGAGATGGTATTCAGAGTGGGAAGAACAAAAATGAAGATATTGTGATGTGGCCCGAGGGCGGAAGGCAACTAATGGAGGTGTTGAAGGCAGCTGAGGGTAAGCGTGCTGATGAGGGTATCATGAACAAGCTTGGTAACCAGCCTACCCCTGGGGATCTCGCCCCTACACCTACACCTTCGCCGGGTCCCGAACAGCAGCATTTCTCTCAGAAGACGGATGCCGATGCGGCAGAAAAGCTAAGATTCGCCTAGGCTATATTTCGTGACTTCAATGTACGTTCAGTTCCTTACGACAAAATCTGGAAGGGATATAATTATAAGTTGCAGGTAGCTAGATTAAGAGCCAAATAGGTATCATAGTTAATCGGGTACAAATATTATTCACCTTAGGTACTTTAGGTACCTAAGGTATCATTGCTCTTAGTTAACCAGTGAACCCCTTTCTTTGACATTTAGAGTGAGAATCAACGCTTCTTAGTAGACGACAGCCAACTTCAAATATGGCCGACTCTTAAGCATACATCAAGATACCCCTAATGAACTATAAACGCAATACTTGTGCTCGCTGAATAGCTTTCGCAAACCTCTTGATTGCTTCAATCAGCACCGCTTCTTCATTCCATGCCCAGCATAGCCTAGTGCCTAGGTTGAAAGTTGACTGGGCCCTCTTGAGACTTTCGGGATCTCCTTTGACAGCGAAAATCTCTCCTGGTGCAATAGTTAGGCCGTACTCCTCACGACCAATGCGGATGATTTCGGTTGCCGATGGAAATTGATGCCCGTCTGGGAAATCTATATAAAGAAAGAATCCTCCCGACAGTATAGTTGGCACACGGTTACCCCCGCCGTCTATAGCAAATGTCTCGTATGGCTTCCCCGTTGATATCCTTATTCCGAGTGGGTATAGATAAGTTTTAATGGCTTCCACGAGGGCTTTATATCTTCTTCGATATGTCGGAATCAAAGTATTCTGCATGTGGTGTTCTAAAATCCCAGAAACTAACATCTCGTCGATTAAGAAGGAAGTGTACTGCGCTTGACAGCCGCCGGACATAGTCGCCCCGCTAGAAGCCAGGTTGTCAAAACTACTTCTCCCAGTCGCTCGAGAGATCCGCAGACTTACACTGTAGATAGCCCGTGTATAAAGTTCGGCATCGCCTCACACCACCCTACCCGAAGGCCGGGAGCAGCCAGCTTCGAGAAAGATCCGTTACTTACAGTATTCCCCCATTCGCTCGATCCAGCCATCTGCCGGTCAATATCCACAAGCCTCGGGGGCAGTTCTAGACCTTCGTGCGAGATATTGTCATCCGCTGGCCAGGCAAGAAAGTCGTAGACATCATCTGCAATCAGGAGGATATCATACTGCCGTGCTAATTCGACTAGTGCTGTACGGTGGTGTATTGACATTGTTTTCCCGCTGGGATTTGATAGTGTTGGGACCACGTATAAGATATACTTGAAAAGTTTCCTATACCCCTGAGAGGCGAATTTGGTGCGATGTGCGCCAGTATTCAAGATATCATCAGTCTTGCTATCTTCCTCCAGCTGATGTCGTAAATACTCTAGGTTGATACCTTCGTCATCTTCGGGGACACCTCGCATTCTCTGACCAAAGCCTGCGTCTAGAAACGTCTGAACAGCAAGGAAGTAAGTTGGTTCTACAAGAAACACGCGACGCGTATATGACGGGTCTGTGAACTTCTGCAGAATTCCCGCAAGTGCTCCAGAGGCGCCGTTGGTAATGATGATACGATCTTGGGTGATATGGCCGGATAAGGGACGGTATTTCTGGCTGAGCCAATCCCCAATGTGTTCACGAATACCGTCATCACCATGATCAGGACCGTATGTCAATGCCAGGTCCGATTTCTCGGGCTGCGACAGGATTATTTGAGACGCTGCTGCCAGCTTGTCCGCTGCTTGTAAGTTCGGGGTTGGCCGACCAATTAATAGGTCAATCGGTTTCATTTTTGATTCTTCAGGATCATAGGTCCTCTTAAACAATATATTAGACAATATTAGACAATATCTCTATATACGTCGGAATGACATGAGTGTGGCTCTGAGATGATGGGGCAAGTCAAGCCACAAGAATTTATAGAGGTATTTATCATTTGTCCCGCAAGCACTGCGTCTCCGAGAGACGGAGGTCGAATTTAAACTAACTTGATTTAGTCAAATAGGCCAGACTTAACTCATCTATAGCATTATTCTAAACCGTCTCATCCCAGGCAGAACGTCCTAGAATATCTTGCCAACTTTAATGCTGAACAGCCGTACTATCTTGGGAGCGATGTGAACGTTAGTGATGTCTTATTTCCTCCTAAAGAGCTAAGATTCGCGCTCAGCAATCCTACTATAAAGAAGGCGGCCGGATACTAGAAGGAGTACTAGAACGAATAGCATCAAAGTTCAAACGAACGTTAGGTAGGGGATATAACACCAGGGCATGCGCTTCGGGACGTAGAGAAAGGCCCAGTCCGGCCCTTTCCATACCTACAAGTTAACAGCCCGACCACCCTTGACTGGACTGTTTTGGGAAGGGTTTCCTGACTTTTGGCGATATATTCAAACGCTTGATATATCACCAGCTCAAAACTAAGCGGGCAAGTTGGGACAACATGTCAGTTAGGATTGAGTACAGCGATAAGTCATTAGGAAGACTTTCGAATAGCGAAAAAGATCGACTCTCGCTGGTTGCCCGAGCAACAAGCCAGATTATCATTCGAGAAATATCAAGTTGCATGTGAAAGCAAACCTACATGTATTCAATTCTCTTATACCCGAGGGAACTGCTCAACTTCCAGCAATTGTCTTTATATATAGAATTCTAGGCTTAAATATTCTTAAACCATGTTGACTTGAAGGACTGCGCCCGCTTCTTGAATTCTCCTCCAAAAGTCCTCACCGAGGAAGGCTGGGGTGAGACAGCCCCCGGAAAACTGGCCTGCTAGATTTCTGGTGTAGAGTAATGATGCAGCTGCCTGCGCTAGGAAGAGGGCAGTAGTATGGTACCCGCCTGAGGGATACGAGAAGCTTGCATATGCACGAGGCGCACTATCGCTACTCGTGTCCGCGATAGCTATAGCCTCGAATTTCAGTCGTGACGAGCGCTCTTTTTCGACATCGGGTCCTTCACCAGGTTTCGGGAGGATCAACCCCAAGATACGCCTCGAGGGCCCAAATTTTAGAGCAGCCCTCATAAGGACAAGTGTCAACATGCGCAATATTCCGTCTGTCGCGGAAGAAACTTTGATGTATTCATTGTACCGAAAATTTGGCCCGTACCCTTGGTCTGTATCTTGTAACAGAGCCCATGTCCTGTGCACCAATGCCCGGTTCTCTATGGCACCAAATGATGACGCGGACAACAAACCGAGGTTTGGGTCCTTACGCATGCCGAGAAAACCGGCGGGTGTAGGAGTCTGTGGTCTCTTAATGGGTGACAGCACCCATGGTTGTTTTGCTTCCTCGACAACTCGAGGGTCATAAGTGCTCTCAGCTAACAATGAACTAGCCGTGCCACCACTCACACCAGCCCTATCCAGAGAGAAAGTCAGTAACTATGAGGGGCGACACGGAAAAAATTAGGATTTAATACTCACTCGAACTCTGTTATGGAAAAAACCAATTCCCTCGTTTTCAGAGACGTCTTCTGCGCCAGCTCCCGCGCTGCAGCCCAGGTGAGAAGATCTTGCGGCCCGGAAAATACTCCACAGAGGTGAATTAACTATTACCGATACTGGTGAGCCAAGGCCTCGCTTCGGATGAGCCGTATTAAAGATTAGGTGCTTACGGCAATACTAGCATTTACAGCCGCATCGTGATATCTGTCGACAAACGTACGCAGCAGTGGTATATCTCCAGCCCTGTATAACGTTAGAAATTGCCAAAGATAAATGAGGTAGATACCTAACGTAGAACAGTAAACTTACACGTCAATATAATCTGTGCCGTTCTCGATACAAGACTTTACAACGACTTCTCCAACCTGCCAGTATAAGACCACGCTAATACAGACTTTACTGTTCTTAACAACGGAACCGAGTTGACTGGAATCATCAAATGCAACTACCTCGATTTCTATATAATCTTTCTTAGTTGATTCGGTATGATGGGTGTAGCCAAGCGGAGTCGTAAGTGACTGCTTACCTGGTTGTACACGCTCTGGGTCCAGGTCTTTGAGCTTGTTAGAGAGACCTTCCAGCTTGGACTTTGACCGACCAGCAATAGCCCATTTCAGATCAACGGGAAGATGTCGAACAATATACTCAGCGGTCAGTAACCCGGTGTACCCAGTAGCTCCAAGTAGGAGGATATCATATTTTCGAGACTTTCTCCGTTCTTCGACTACTCTATCCATGATATTAATATTAAGCAAATACAAAGCTCCATACACAGCGCAGCCAACGTTGGACAGTATAAAAGCCCATGACTTTAATATAATCCATCTCTCTGTCACGATTCCGGGATGCGCCGCCGGATCGGCCAAACAGAAACAAAAAGGTCGGATGAATTGATCTTGTCACATCACCATAAAACATAGTCCGTGCGTTCCACCGCGCAGCAAGTATTTCGAGCTCATGCTATTGCTTGCAGCTCGGGAGAAAAGTCATCAGGGCTCCGTCCCATACCTTAAGCCGGTAGGTAGATATGTTTCCTAACGCGAAAAGTCTCCGAGAAGTCTCCGAAGGCGGCATAACTTCGAACGGTTCTCTTTTGAGGCGGTAGGTGTATTTATACGATACTTATCGACATTTTAGTGTATGTAGTTGAATATTCGGGGCCTGATCCGAATACCAATTCCTTCAGATCGAATGATCTTGTAAAGGGGAAGAAACCGCTAAGAGAGTATCCTGAAGTAAGTTAAGTATATGGTAGAGCACTTTTGATTTGAGGTCAAGGAAAATCACGAACGTTCCTTCGCATTCTATTCCTCCAGCGTCGCGAAATAGCGAGAAGTATTCACGGCTCCTATTCAAGTCCAATGTGATTAAGCCCAAGATATCGCGGTCCCGGCATATTCTCATAGCTATTGCGTTAACTTGAGGACTTAGTTTCTTTGTAGTCCTAAGGTAAGGTCAAACAAGGAGCTATTGGTGGCGTAGAGTATAGAGCGACACCGTATAGCTTGGGTTTCTCCATATCAAAGTACGTTGTCAATCATCAAGTAAGGTCGGCCTCTCTCTGTCGACTTCGTAATATAGCTTTGATGCAGTCTACGTTATCGACCCCGATCAAGTTTCGTTGCTCGTCTTTAATATTCCAGACATCCTCAATGTCTTGCTTAATCCTTCGGAGCGAGGGAAGATGACGAGCCTCATACATAGCATCAATCCTGTCTCGTACAAATTGACGTTGGTCAACGTCGATGGATTCACAGCCGGCAGTCCAAAGTGGCCAAACCTGGGCCGATACGAGAGGTGAGCCAACTGCAATAAGGCCAAGGTGAGCCAGGCAGCTTCGAGCATACTTCAACGAAGATGGATCTGGTGCACCTTTGTTATGCCAAACCCGGTACAGATAGATATATGCAGCATATCTGTATGCCTGTACGGTATGTTCCACGTCTCCCATCGTGCCCTCAGACTGGTCGAGTGCATTGAGAATTTCTTCAATGGCGTAACCCCATGCATCAAGGTGTTTCGCGTCTTGGTCCCGCATCCTACTAATCTGCCCAACAATCCGTAGTACGGAAGTGAGTTCCCTCATAGATTCCATACCCTCGATCGGAAACTCTCCATCAAATTCAAAAACTGGACTTTTCCCCCGAGAAACGGAGGCCAATATGTCGTGATAAGAACAAAGACTAAGGAGGAACGAAGCCCTAGAGCTGTTCCATTTATTAGTCCCAGCCTGACTAATGATAGCTTTCGCCCCGGATAGATGGTCGACCCCGGAATCCACGGTGAAGAGTCTATCGGAGACTTGGAGCATTAGAATGGTGGCAAGCGACAGCTCCGGGTCTTCTGTTTGAATCGTTTGCCGCAGGGCAGAGACAGCAACGAGTCGATACCGGGTCGCTAAGGTATGAAATGAATTCTCGTTCCTTAGTATCGCCAAATGGCAAGCTGCGATTGAGCATAAGACAGACCGTAGAGCTATTGAATGCGATATCATTGGAGTTAAGTGAACAAGAAATGGGTTTTGGGAAGTCGATACCATGGATACCATCGTGACCAGTGTTGTCGACCAATGATTAAGGAGATAGCGATTTACCGGATGAACATCATTCGGTATAATACGTGATGGGTCATATCTTACTATTTGACTTGTAGACTCACTAGATAATGTCGGGATAGTCTCATCGTTTGAATATTCCTTCTGCTGCCGTGTGTTTCTGGCCCGCTTCGATTTTGGTAACCCCTGAAGGGGCTTCCATTTAAGTCTGACTCCATATCCTTGGCACGTCTTCTGGAGTCGAATACATCTCCCGCAAAATGGCTTTTGCTCATCACACTTATAGCCATCCTCTCTGCAGGTATAGCAACCAGTCCTCGTCCTCGAGAATGGCATTTTACAATGGATGTCAGTGACGTGATAGATCAAACTATACAAAATTACATAGTTAAGTTGAAATGGGCAAAGGATATCGAGTGGAGACGTGACAAACACATCCGGATTTATTAGTCAGAGGTTCTAGAACATTTAATCGAATCGGCACGGGGTGGGGACCGACTATACCCGGCGGTTTCCGATTTGACTATGAGGTACGGAATACATTAAATTCTTCGTTCTCTAATTGGCGATGCTCCCCTAATCCTCATGATCGATCCTGTCACAAAGTACTACCTACCACGAACGATTAGCATCTCAGCTGATTCTTCTTTCGGCGTGTGATAACCCGAAACTTGAGCTCTAAGTTCTTTTCGCAGTCATTTATAATTAAAGGTTTTACTCTCTTATCTGCTCTCCCTAACTATCCAGACGTAAACTTATAACAGCAACATTCTATTCATTAGGCGCCTACATAAGGTATTTACGTCGAACTACATTGCTTTTAGTTGCCATAAAGTAAGGAGTGAGCAAAAGAAAGAACAGGTAATTTCTTTTCTTAAATAATCCTACCATGTCCGAATTTGTGGCAGCTGAGGAGCCCTCAATGGATCTCCCGGTTATCGATCTAGACATCTACCGAAACAACCCGGCCACTAGTCCGGAGGTGCAGGAAGAATGCCTACGCGCGGCCCGGGCGCTCGCAACGTACGGGGCGTTGGTGCTACACGACTCGCGGGTGTCAGAATCGGACAACGAGGCTTTCCTAGACCTACTGGAAGACTACTTCGCACAACCAGCTGAACTTCTACGGCGTGACGAGCGGCCGGAACTGGGCTACCAAGTCGGCGTTACACTTGAAAATACCGAAAAGCCCAAGTGTGCCGTCGACGAACCATGCCTACGCGTCATCGAGCGCCTAGCTCCGGAGGAGCGACCACTTGACATCAGTGGCCATCAACCGGATCCCAAATGTCGTTTTTTCGTACGTGTTTTAGTATTAGTAGTTCATTCCAGGAGCTATATATACCTACCTACCTACCTATATAAGGCTTTCCACATTCTACCCAACTATGCCTTCAAAAACATATCTAAACCATAGAGGTATCTCACTTACAAGAATATATATTAACCTTCGTTGTCGCAGTGGCGCATGGGCGAGCCCGCGCCTTACGTTACGCAATTTCCGGGCCTGAACGCCGAGAACGTGATTCCGGATGCCCCTGAAATCAGGGAGAGATGGACGCCCGTTATGGAGACGTGGGGAAAGAGTATGAAGAGCGCGTGAGTATGGCTTGGGTTGATTATCCGCTTCCTCTACTTGGGAAACTCCCATTCGAGCAGTGTGGTAGATATCACGTTGACTAACAGCGATTGCTCGTGAGTTAGCGTTTCGGGGTTCGCCGAGATGGCCGCCATTGGCATGGGACTCCCCGCCGAAACCTTCACTGACGCTGGGCGATATGGGTAAGTTACACCTACCTCTCTTCCATATCCTACTGCTGTATTACCCAGGTAATCCTGTTATTCAAAACTCTAACCTTTAATTCATATGACAATTTAGCCCACACCTTCTAGCCCCAACGGCATCCGACCTTGAGAAATTTGGGCAAAAGGACACCATCTTGGCCGGCTTTCATACGGACTTAAATTTCTTAACGATTCACGGTCGTTCCCGATATCCGGGACTTCACATCTGGGCACGGAACACGGGTCGTCGTATCGCTGTCAGCATCCCGCGTCCGTCTGCCTCCTCGTCAGGGAGCTACCTGCTTGTACAGGCCGGGAAGCAGCTAGAGCACCTAACGGGCGGGCTGGTGAAGGCCGGATATCACGAAGTAGTGGTCAACTCGTCCACGCTAAACACTGTTGCCGCGCGGCGGCGGGAGCACCCCGATCGGCCCCTCGTACGCATTAGCAGCACCTTCTTCTGGCACCTAAGCAGCGATTATGACCTGGCGCCTATTCCTGCGCTAGCCGCGCGAGCCAGGGATGTGCGTGCCGCTAACTTTGACCTTGGTCGCGACGAGGGCGACGAAGTTGAGTACGCAATTATGAAAGTAGGACAGCAGGTCCAGAAGCAAGTCGCCCAATTTTCTAAATCTCTACTTCTATCATACTAACTTACTATCGTAGTGAGCTAAAGCATATCGCGCTCCTAACATGAGAACGGGTAATGGGCTATTTATCCATAGCTGCTCATCCGCAAGTCAGAAATCCCTAGTAACAATTTCGTTAAAGATGAATTGGAATATTGCCGATTGGGCACCGGGATATGATTCGAGAGGTGTTCACGCGTAGTTGCATCATAATATATGATAGGCATGCATGAAGTGCGTATATCAACAATACACGCCACTATCTAGTGGGGTCTCACGAAATCGTCGGACAACGCGATGGGTACGGATATCACAAGACAAGATCACGAATAGTCTTAGAAGATAAAGTATCTAAACAAAGGAGCCAGTCCATGTATCTTTGACTCACGAAGTCATCCTCGCTGCAGTCTATGACATACAAATACACCAAACGCCGCGCAATCAAAATCCTTCCCTGTTCAGCATAGGGCCACAGGCCTGTTACCTATGTAAAACACATCCCAAATTAAGAAATTACACTTATTTGATCGCCAAGATATCTACTTCAAGTGCCCGGGGCCCACACTCCATGATAGAAAATGAGTTGTAGAGGTATGAAAGATCATAAGACACGATTTACCGCTACCTTAGTACCCTGCTGGTCTGGTGGGAATAGGTGGCGCCGGTTTCTTAGCTCTGCTCGGAGGTGGTGGCGGAGGGGCCTTTTTTACCGCTCCCGTCGTCCCCATAGTACGTAACCCGGTGTTACTGGTACTGCGACTTAAACTCCCATAGCTCGTAGCCGGGCTTTCGCTGCGATCGCAGTCTGGACTCCCGCTACTATTGGTCGTGTCGTAATCATCTACGTAGACGCCGGGGCTCAAATTCTGGCTGGTCTGGACTCTATTTACTGGGCGCAGATTATTGCGGAGAGATCCTATAGCCGGGGGCGGTGCCATGGGCGTCTTGCGTAGTGAATCGGAAGGCGGGACTGGAGGTTCGCGGTACGACTGTTGTCTTGGTGATGGCCCATCAAACGCACCCGCATGTGTAGTTGCGCGACTAATCCCCGGCCTTTGCGCCTCGGGAGTTACTGATCCACTTCCACGGTAGGGACTTGAGCGAATGGGCATCTGCACAGGTTCAGGGGTTGGTTCGTCTCGCTCGTGA